AACCGCAGAAAGCAGCAGTTGGCTGGGTGGGCAAAAGGTGACAGGAAGCTGCCAAGGTGACAGATCTCGCAGTCACGCACAGCAGCCAACCCAGACTGGCGGGAGGGAATGTAGGAGCTCAACGCAGAGGGCAAGGTGCGACGCGGCCAAAGGGACAAGAGACAACAAGACTAGCAAGGAAGGGGGCCGCCAATCGAAGCGGACTGGGTGAGCCTCGAAGGCTGGAACTCAGCCGGGCGAACTGTGCCGCCATTCTGGTCCCTGTCGCACCGCACCAGCGCAGAACATGAAGCGGGCAGGGAAGCAAGGCGTGGAAGGCCTGGCATGCCGCCAAATGGACCGCGATGGTGGCCCCACGGATGCCGTGGTGCTAGTGCGTTAGCGGCCGCGCTCTGGCGCAGCGCTAAAATGGCAGGGTCCCACTAGGCCCTGGGGCGTCTCCAGGCAAAGCAACCTTTGGATCCGTAGCCACCAAAGTTGGTGGTGCCCCAGCCTTCAACCGCCTCGGCAGGCTGGCGATTCTGGCGGGCAGGCAAGGCGGGCAAGGCGGGGTACGCTTCCATGGGACCGCTCACAGGTGGGTGTGCCCCGGGAGGGGTGGGGGAGGGCTCCACAGGAACCAGCCCGCTGAAGCATCCAGCCAGCCAGGTGTTGATGCAAGAGACCACAGTGATGGAGAATCGAAGGGCAGGAATTCGCTGAGGCAGCTCCGGATTGGCTGATCTCGCCCAAGCAGACTGCCCCGTGCCACTGGGCTTGGGCCCATTTCCTCCAACCGGAACGGGCCTCCGCGGGTCGGCTCAGCTGTCCCTGTTTCGTTGCGGCCATCGGCCATTGCTTTTTGGCGGCCTAGCACGCCGGGGGTGCCCTGGCAAGCCTGGCAGTGAGCCCCCCCAAGGCGAGCACTTGCAATTCCACCAGGTGCATCTGTCCAGTCCCAGATGTGATCGATGCTGGAGCCCTACCACCCTTTGGAGCAATCGCAAGGTGCTGAGCGGACTGACAGGTTTCATGAATCGAACAAGCGTGTTTGCTGTTCCGCGCCAGCTGCCGTCCCCGAATAGCGCACAAAGCACTGGACGTGGAAAAACATCCATGGATGTTCGTGGAAGGGACGGGATATGCCACCAGGAAATAGCCGTGGCCCACGAGGCTGTCTGGTAACACAGCTGCAGCCATGGCGGCCTGCCTCCCGGGGCAGCAAACAACCTGGACCGGGGAAGCACTGCCGTGCCCTTGCGATGCGCCCGTTCCTTGGTCCGCGGGTTGCCAGCGAGGGCTTGTACGTCTCACCGGTCGCACCAAGTCCGTTTTGCCCCGGTCTTTGCAGCACAGGCGATGCCCGTTCTGAGCACTGGGGCTTGCACAATGTGCTTCGTGCGGATGGGAGCGGGATGCAGGACAGACATGGCTGAAGTATGTACAGAGCCTCGCAGCGACCAGGGAAAAGGAAGGGCAAAAAGAAAGGGCCGTTGCAATGAGAAGCCCGGGATCTCCCTGTCTCGCCCTGGACCGGTATTCACAGGAATGGAGATGAGGTCGAGGGGGGAAGCATCTGGACCGCTGCCACAACCAGGGGTCAAGGCCAACGGGGGGGCTGCCTGCGACGCCCGCGTCGCGACGATTTTCGGGCAAGTCGAGCTGGGCGGCCATTAATATTATTTTTTTGTATTCACGTTTACATCGAGGATTCATGGGTGAGCGACCTTTTGTTTGGTCCAACTCTGTCACTTTTCCCATATCTGCTCCGTACATGTATGCAGGTACTCTCCCCGGAACTCTGGGTCCTTCCAACGTCTTTTCGCGACCACAACAGCTGCACGAAACACAAGACGCAACCGGTGGGCAGACGCGTCTGGGCGCCTGTGGACTCCCGTTTCCGCCGTTTGTTGCCGTCGTCGAAGACGACGTCGTCGCTTGGGCGCTCTCCTGGTCTTCAACAAGCCGCACCCCGGCATTTTGTGTCCTCGCGCCCCGCTCCTCCCCTCTTGACCACCTCGTGCGCGCTCTGTTTGTCTCTGAGTAGAAGCGCCTTCCTCGCCGATTCCCTGCCTTCCTTCCCCTCCTCAGGACTTAACGTCGTCCGTCCACCGGCCTCCCAGGCTTGTATCTGTTCTCTCTTTTCTCACTCCCGTCTCTTCACTTTTCTCCTCCTTTCTTTCTTCACCTCTCACCTGCCCCTGCAAGCGCTATCACACCTCACCTGGGCCGCCCCTCGCTCACCTCCACCCTGGCCCCCCTCCCTCCACGCAGTTGAGGATCCTTCGCCCAGTCCTGCCACTGACCGTTTGGTCTGGCGCCTGCCCACCGCACCGGACTCCTGGGAATCGCATCGCATTCGCTCCCGCACCGATTGAGTCGGCCAGCTCCACCAACGATTCCTGGGACCGCCACTCCTGCTGCCTGTCGGTCTCTGCATTGTCGCACAAACTTGGGCACTTGCCTACCAGCACAGCTCCAGCAGTACACTGGGTACCACGGACGGTTCGCCTGATGGCCGCCACCTTGCCTCCGGCGCCAACCGCATACTCGCCTAGGTGCCTATCCTACTAGCGAATTTCCTCCAACCTGGCTGCCGGGACACGTCCGCACCCGCTCGCGCCCACTGCGGCCCTCTGCCTCACAAGCTGCGCCGGCCACCTTGCTTGCGAGCCGCATCTCACCTGCCTGCCTCAAGCAAACGGAAGCTGGAGTATCTGAACTGCCCCTTGCGACAGGCACGGTTGGCCAGTCGCACTGCTCGTCCCGGGTGCCCGGGCATCGACACGAGGCCCTCTTGTGTCCATCGCAAGCACAAGCCTCACCGGCCTCCTCACCAGCTTGTGGTCTGGGGACGCACCATCGACAACAAGGTACTGGCCGGGCCACATCAGCCTTGTTACACCACCCCCGTACCCACCTACACCAGGCCGTGCCATTGGGCTGAGCCGGCTTGTCATTAGCCACAGCGAGAGAGACACGACGCTGTTGCACTCCCAGCATTGCTGGTCCGACCAGCGCGTGCCCACGTCGCCAGCCCTGGGCAGTGTGTTTTGGGCAGCTCAGGTCCTAGGTGAGGCACGATCAGCTCGCTCACATGGGCGATTCAGTGATCGAGGACGGCCGCCCTGCAAAGCGCATCAAGCTCGATGTGCCGTCGCAAGACCGTCACCGTCCTAACCCAGTCCACCACCAAAACTGCCTGGACTCCCATTCATATGCTTCATCGTCATTGCATCCCGTCACTTCAGCAGCGTCGTTGACTCCGTCGCTACAACTGCAAGCGCGACAACAGCAACAGCAGCACCAACAGCAGTATCATCCGCAGCAACACCAACACCAACAACCGCACCCGTCCCTGCTGCGGGGGCATCATCTACCTGGAGGAGAAGCGCCAGCGACATCCGCAACGGAGCCCTCACCACCATCGCGCTCACTGCCCGATCATCACCACCACGCCCAATTGCCTCGCCGCGACCTCCATTCCCCGCAACACCAAGAGCATGCTGCCGCACTTCCCGCGACCATAACGATGGTGCCCGTGCCCCCCGGCGAGGAATCGCAGGCGCTTTGGTCGACCTGGACCGACGTCGCGCTCGACGGTTCGTGGAAGGGGCCATCGTCATCTTCAGCACCTCTGCCCTCGCACATGCTTGTCGCTGTGCCGCCGTCAAACGCACTCCCTTTCAACAGTCTCGATGTCTTCCCCGCACCTTCGCTGCCGGCATCATCTTTACCCAGCGACTTGCAGCCACTGTCATCATCAGGTGAGTAGAATGTTCGTCAACTGCCTTCTCGTCCCTCCCATCGCCGTCGTTCTGCACAACGAGGCCCCCGCAGCAATGCCTCAAGCTTCGCGTCGTTCCGGCGCTCGTCCTCAGTCCCCCACACCAGAGCATCATCTGATGCCAGAACACCATTCTGCACCACCCATTCACAAGGCACTATCTGCTGTCGTTCAACGCTCGCTCGCATCATCCCTTTTCCTGCGAGCCACAATTAGCCGCGCCCATGCCTTGTCTGTCGCCAATTCCCATTGTTCCCCACACCGGTCAGCGACTGCCTTGCATCTGGGCTTCGGCTGGCGGGCAGCCTCGCGCCCCCTCATCGGTCAGGAAGATCCTGGCATCTGTCACCAGCCTTTTCGGTACCTGGCCTCCCCTCTTATGGCTCGTGACACACGGCGGTCCCATTTTTGTCGTGGATGGGCCAGAGATGAACACACTGGACGCGCCTCGTTGCCCTGAATCCCTCCTCTTTCCCATTCCGCCACACGGCAACCCATCCTTGCCCAAGTACACCTTTCGACTTGCTGAAGCGAAGATTCGCATCGAGGCAATGCCATCGTTTACTGTCGACCTCATGGACTAATATCTACTTCAGCGATTGCCGGTGTAGACGTCGATATCTCCCCAACCACTCCGTCGAACCTGCCCTTCTCGCACCCTAGTTCTCATGCTCACAAAAGGCCGCGCTACTCTGTATCCTCCGCAAACGAGACGGCATCGAACACTTCACCGAATCCGCCAAAACTCCATCAGACTCGGAGGCCTATCGGTCGCGATAGTCTCGTCAGTCCATTTAAGGACTGCCTCGGCAGGTTTGGCGAAGTCCACCGGCGCCGATTTGATCGCCCATTCGATGGAAAGGTGAACGGCTACATCAAATTCAATTGGCCTAAGGACAAGCAGTCTCGGCGGTCATCTTCTGTGCAAGCGGTCTCCGTCTCAGATGTCACAGATGCCACGGAGGCCACGGGGTCGGGCGCCGAAGATGGATCGCCGGGCACCTACTTGACGCCTGTAGGCCCTCTGCCGATGTCATCCTCGACCGCTGCTGTCATCTTTGCACAAGAGTTCGACTACCAGGCCTTCGACTTCTCGGGTTTTCTCCAGCACAGCCCCAGCCCGATGGAAGGCTTCAGTCCAATATTATCTCAACCAAGAGCGGAAATGTCAACAGACCTTGCCCCGATGGGTGCCCCTAAAATGGTACCCAGACTTTTTGGATACGAAGCAAAGATGGACCAAACGGACCGAAAATTTTGGACGTTTTGTAAGTGGATTCATCCTAATTGCGTCTTCCCCTGCTTTCTGCTGCTCATGTGGCTTTGCCTCTGCCGCAATTGTCGTGGGTTCGGACGCTGACTTGTACAGACATCAAGAATTGGTGTCCAGGGAGAAGTGTGCTCCAAGAAACGAATTTGTGGCTCAAAGACTTTGCCCAGATGCACAAAAGCGACGGCGTCAGGGCCGCGATACAAAGCCTTGCCGGAATATACATCTATGACTACTTGCCAAAGGACGATGTGCGCAAGCGCGTCAACGAGAGATTCTCTGAAGCCGAATCACGGCTCAGCTCGCTCCTGGCTGATCCAGCAACAACCAACAATGAAAGCCGTGCCAACGAACTCATCACCATTGCGGTGATTTTGTCGATGCAAGATGTAAGCTGTCACATGCCAGGACGCCAGCTCAGTCACATGCTTACTTGAAATGCATAGATTGTCTTGACGGAGCGTCGACTTCCAAAGCCGGAAACTCCTCGATGGCTTTCCGGCTTCAAGCAGGGCGAATTATTCTTGCAAGCAACAGACCAGGGCTCACGCTTTTGGAAGCGCTCCAATGCGCAACTCTCATCGCTTCGCATCTCACAGTCGATTATTGTCGGTCGCGCTGTGATTCTGGCCCAGCCCATGACGGCACTTCCGGCACCCGAGACCTTTGATCCAGAAGCCGAAGCCTCCAGATTTGGCTGGCTTCTATATGGATCGGAGAGTGACATGTACGAGATACACGGCGGCTGTGGGTTCTCAAAAAAGCTCTTGCACATCATGAGCCAAATCACGTACTGTGCAGCGCGCCTGAAGCAAGACCCGGAGAACATAGTGGTGCCGATGACCACGCAATACCTTCTGAAGGAGTTGGTGCAGATGAGGCAGTGGAGCAGCGAGTCCAAGGACTGGAAGAGCGCCAAAGCTGGGCCGTCCGTAGCAGATTGGCTTCGTGGCATGCCCGAAGACTACCAGATTGACACATCTGCCGAAATGACGGATGTGACGGCCGAGGCTTGGAGACTGACGGCCATAATCTACCTACAATGCCGCGTTCTCAGGTAAGTTGCTCTTAGGTCCGCAACCAAGTCTTCCGTCTAACGTGACGTGCAAAGATTGCCTCGAAGCCATCCTGAGGTGATGTCCACATTGTCCGATTTGGCAGGATGCATCAAGGTGATGCCGACGTCCGGCTTCCAGTTCACGGCGCAAGCGCCCTTGTTCCCAGTCTTCTTACTGGGAATGCTCGCGACGAAATCAAGTCACAGGGCGGCGTCCAAGACATGGTTTGACGAGGTGGTCTCCACCCCCGTCAGAAGTGTATGCTATTCACCAAGACTGAGAGCCGGGTAAGGGATGTCCGCTAATTAATGTTGTCCAGAGTGTTCCGCCGCTCTATGAGGCGCTTCAGCGTATTTGGCAGTGGATCGACGACATGATTGCAGTAACCACGCCAACTAGCGTCGAGGCCGAACCCATAGGCCGTCGATTTGCCTGGTGGGAACAACTAGTCGAAGAAGTCGCCAACCGGGAAAACGAAGTGCTATGCTTAACGTAAGAAAAACCGAAGGGAGGTCTATCCACCCGTCTGTGCGAAGCACGCGGCAAGTCGCCCTGAAGCGTCGCAAATCATACGCGTCCATCGTGGAGACCGACGCAAGCTCTAGGACAGACCCGACACCGCACTATCGGCGTCTTCTCGCTGGTCCTCCTTGTCCTTGATCTTCAATAGGTACTGGACTAAAGGCACCTGGTCAGCAACGTGATTCTGCAGCATGTCGCGTCTTTGTCACCTACAAAATTGCGAGTCCGGCGCTTGCCAGGCGTCCACGACAGTCAAGCCGGCCTTTGCGCACATAAGCCTGACGCTGTCCTCGCCATACTTGTGGGAATCAAACCAATCGAGTTCCTCGCCAGCGTCGATGACTCGACCAAGCTTCCCCAGCACCACGTCACGCTTCGCCCGGAAGAAGAACCGATGACGTGTCGTTGGCTCTCTCTCCAGCTGAGCGAGGAACTCCCAGTCCTGTTCGCGAAACCAATTTTCGCCTACCAAGCGGTTCGCGTGTTCGAAGCCGTTCAGAAAAAACCTGCGATACAGGTCGTCCCGGGAATGGTACGCTGCCCAGATCTTTTCCTCGTCACTGGGGAGCAAATGGCCATCCATGCCGACCAAGAGTAGATCGTGTGGTTTCATGCCTTGGGCCCAGTACTTCAGGTGATTCAGAGCTTGCAACCATGGATCATTACAGAGGACCGAACCCAACGATACAAAGAGGCGAGGCGACTCAATGTTGTCGACGTACTCTTTACCGTCCTGGAACGTCCCCCACAGCCCTGCGCAACTGACCATCGAACTGGAATCGGGATGCTTGTCCACCAAATACGCAATGTTGTGGGCCAAGGATGCCTTCGAAATGTCGAGAGCGAGATACGTCGCGGGCTTACTGGCCGACTCGAATGCAGCCAGCAGATGTTCAACCTTTCGGGTATCGCTTCAAACGGGGGAGCTCCGGTTAGCAAAACGTCCACCTCAAGCGTTTCATCTCACAGATACTACTGGAACTTACCCCGCGCCGAGGTCGATGATCGTTGTCCCCGCGCTGAGGCGCGCCACAATTTCGGCGCCATGCTGGCGAAACAATTCAATCTCGTCATGCGTCTGGTAGAATTCTGGAGTGAAGATGATTTTGTTCCAGATTGGCAGACCAATGTCGTCGTACAACAGCTCGTCTGGCAACGTTGGCTTGTCCCGGGGGTTGTACACCGCCGTCAAGGTCCGCTCAAGCCTCTCGCCGACATTGCCATGCATTGCACTCCCGCCGATGTCAAGAACGTCGCCATGGGCCGGGAACGGTGATTGGGACGTCATATCTCGACCGGGCTCTTTATCGAAGGAGATAAATCGGATGCTGTCGAGAAGCGGGGCCTTGCGAACGAAAGAGAGTTCGAACTTGCTGTTAGTCGGGAAAACTGATGGTAATTCGCTTTATCGTCCGCGCCAAAACGTCTTCGCCAGAGGCTATACGGAGTGAAACGCCGCAGAGAATCAGGAACCCGGTGGCGATATTTGGACAGACAAGTGGTCAGAATCCTTGATTCGGTGACGAATTTTCGCGAACCAGCGTTGCTGAGCCGAAAGAAAGACGTGAGTGACGCTGGGAAATTTCGCCTGACTGGCAGGACCTCGCCAACTCTCTCCCCACCTGAACCAGCGGACCAGCGATTTGCCAGCTGCAGGATTGTTGCGGGTTGATGTCTCTTGACGCGGTGCCCGCACTACCGCAAATTTGCCCAGTCCTGGGCACCAAAACGAAAGGGAAAAAAAAAGACCGCTGTGCGCTGGTGCAGCGAGCAGGGTTTCAAGCAAGCGAGCTGATGGATGTCCAGGATGAGATGATGACAGCTCTAGATTCACCAGTACCTTCCCAGCTGCCTGTGAGGTTGCAACTGACGGGCCCAGGCGGCAGGCGCACTGCGCATTGCTCCGTATGCGCAACGATCTCGGACCCGCCCTGATCACGACGAGGGCCTGGCCAGAAGAGGTTCGCCATACATTAGGTCCCTGCAAGAGGGTGGCATCGCCTCCACCGCGCAGCCCCCTGTTCTGCGCATGTACTGTCCGTTAGCCACCAGTTGGGGAACTGGGGGTGGCATGGTCAGAGTTGGAGGGGGCGTGCGGATGTGTGACCAGCGCTGCCTGAGCAGAGCTAATTCAATCAGCCTGTCTCACTGCCGTGCCCAAACGGGTGTCAGCGCACATGATTCGCAAGACTGGCAATGAGGAAACGGGATTGAGCGTCTTCTCCAGAACTACTTGGAAAGCCGGGGCGAACGACTCATGCCAGCGCGCTCAGCAGGGTTTGAGGCAAGCAGTCCTGGATGGAGGGCCGTCCCGCAGGAGCTCCACGTGCGGGGACGACGAATTGGGCAATGGGGCGGCGGGAACACTGGCAGGCGCCGGTCCGAGGATCAGGGCAGATATTGGACCACGGCGGCGATCAGGCGACGGCGAGGATGAATCACTGGCGGTCTCGTACCCTCAAGGAGCGATGCGCGGTGTACCACAAAGGCAGATGGATCTGCTTTGAGGCGGACCTTACAGGGTGGAGAGGAAGACTGCGGATGATGCAAGTCATGTTTGCGGAATGACGAGTGTGTTGTATCGTACATTAGCATTATGTGTGGATCTGCAGAGGGCCTGGTCGGGCGCCGTTACAGACGCCATGTTTTGCTCAGTCCGAGACTGGATCCCTCTTGCATGTGCTGAGCCTCTGAGGTTTATGCAAGAAGAACGGGCATGGGGCATCTCGTTCCTGGTCAAGGGCCTCCGCGAGGCGCGGAAATGACATGTCTGTTCTTCGAGTGGCCACCGTTTTGGCCAGCCGCCTGCCCACCACACACACGCGCGCGCGCACGCACACACACTCACTCCCACACCACATGTGTTTCTGTCTGCCTTCTGTTTGCTTGCCTTGGGTGGCATTCTGACTGGTGGTTGTGTCATGTCTGGTGACCAGCCGGACAAGGCTAAAAGACGGGCTCCGACATGGACACAGTCTCGGCTGACCAACTAACTACCGCAAAAGTATCCATTGATGAAGTCGCTTGATCCCACGGCCGTCGTTGGTATGCCAGCCTCGGACATTCGTGGCGACGAACACGACGCGCACCAAGTAGCACCTTACTGTTGAGGCATTCCGCCCCAGAAGGGGCTTCGGTATGGCCCACTGGGACCGCTGTCGTCCAGACTTGTTGTACGGCAAGATGGGCAAGGGTGCCCGTTTCAATGGGTAGCGACCACTGTTTATGAGGCGTCTGGGACTATGGTTGCTCCAGTGGCCACCGAGGCGGAATCAGTCGCCGCGCGAGATCGAGAGAGAAGAGATGCAAATGCGACAAGATTGCACGAAGCACTCATTGCAGTAGCTATCGCGGAAGCGGTCGTTGTCTATTGGAGCCGGGTCTCCGGCCAATTGCCCCTTCTTCTTCCCATGACTCCCAGCAACGAGGAAGCCGGACCTGCACTGGCGATGTTAGTGGTGGGGGCCCCCTTGCGGCCCGGCAAGCGGGGAGGTCGAGGTGAGATGGGCTGAGGTTTCATTGACATGCTCATGGCAGGATTTGCGGACCAGTGGAGGAATGGTGAAGACATTCAGCACTGAGAAGTTGGATGCAGCAGCGCCCGGTTTCGGGTCCCAGCCCTTCCAGGGTCAGCGCTAAGGGAGTCGATGCCTCTGTTTCTCGCCCCTTGTCAGCACCAGCAGCTTCACTTGACGTACGACACTGCGTCCGGCGCAACATGGCCCAACTCAGGACAAGGACGAACGTGGGAGGAGTCCCAAGGTCTCAAGGCGTGAACGTCCTCTACGCAGCTCGCCGTTGGCTGAGAAGTGCGAAGCGAAAGAGGGGGAGTCCAGGAAGGAGGGGGCGTGCTGCGACTGCTCTACTCTCGTACGGGCCACAACGCAGATGCTGGGACATGACGGCCGCCATACAGATGCAGGTGCATGTGCAGGTTGGACTCACATTTTCAGGTGAGTGGCGCGACGCCTTGTTTTATCCCCCTTCCCTCGTTCAAGCGGGTCCGGTCGCCTCGTGAAAAGCACGACGGGGGGAACGCCTGGTTGGCCGCCTGCACACTGGGAATATTTTACTCACTTTTTTCTGCAGTTGGTACCGTACGAGAGCTCATATGGGGGCTGCGGCTGCTGACGACCTTTGCCGGTGCTCCGAACCCCCCCTCCCCGGCGCTGGCTCTCCAGACAGGCAACCACGAACGCACAACTAACTGGACAGTCGGCGCCGAGCCCGTCATTATCGTGTCGAAAGCCGGTATTTCGTACCGGCGGTGGAGTGGCCTGTTGGGGGAGTGCGTGATGCGGCAACGGCAGGGTGTAAGTGGAGATGCATCTCGGCGGATCGTTTCCACGAAGCTCCAATGGGGGCACGGCGCAGAAGGTAGGCAGAGCCGTCGTGCTCGAACAGATTGAGCGCGGCAGACAAGATGAATCAACTGGGAAATCCGGCAAGATGGCCATTGCCATTCTCCAAAGGCCGGTCGGGGGCGGCAACGGGACAAGACGCCGCCGCAATTGAGTTCTCACGGGCGTCGCCAAGGGAGGCTCAACAAGCCCTGGGGGGAAAGATGCCCGCACGGGCCGGAACAAAAACGTCGATGGAGAAGGGCAGGGAGGGGGGAGATGGGGAGGTGAGGCCAGCCTGGACCAGGGTGCAGGGGACCCGGCAAGGTGGTGTGGGGAGACCAGGCGACAGCTCGCTCGCGTGCATGTACGCCAGTGGCTGATCGAGATGCATGTGTGTGATTACGCGGTGCTCGCATTTGCACGCCAGCAGACCTGCTCTGTTTTCACGACTTTGGAGTCCATCCAGAGCAGTGTGGTTGATGCCACTTCGAGCTGAGGCGGCGCGTACGTCCGTACGACGACATGATGACTACGCGAGCGCATACTATTTCCGGCTGGCGCAATGCCCTTGAATGCCAGCCAGCTCGAGGTTTCTGTCGTGGCCGGAAGCCGTTGACCGAAACTGTGGGTTGGAACCACCCGCAGACCGAGGCGTGACGCCCAACAAGGCGCGCGAGAGATGGGACTCCAACGCCTGCACGCTTGGCTGGCTGGAACCTGCGCCGTGGCTCTTGGGCGGCGGCCCGCCCGCCTTACTATTACACGTTACTTCGTACTCTTACCCTAGCATCCTGTCAGAGAAAGGGAAGGGATCCCCGTGCAAAGCAGTGGTCAACCATGTCCCGGACAACAAATGGCGGACCTCTACGGAGTACTACCAGTCACTTTCGCCCACAGCTTGCCTCCGTGGCCGTCGATGCTTGGCTCGGGTGCCGTCCGAACCCAGCATCAGCCGTGGGACCGAAACGCGGAATACTAACTAGTACGAAGCTGGCTGGCTACATACGCACCAGGCCAGCCTCACGATTCTCTCTTGCCTGCCATTCTAGTCGTCCCTTCCCTGGCTTTCGTAACTCTCGTGCTGTCTACTCCGGTCTCGGCCAGAGATTTTTGGCCTTGAGGTTTGAAGAAACGTAGCCACTCCCTGTATATTGTGTCTGCCTTGAAAATAAAGAAAAACTAAGCCCTGCAAGTAGTTACCTTCTTCCACAACCTAAGGAGACCTCTTGAACCTAACAATCGCGCGTGTGGAAACGGAACCTTAGACGTGAACACTTTGAACGATGCTTCGACTGGTCTCTTGCTCACGGAACAATCAAGTGCCGCCAGAGGCCGACTATCAAGCTAGTAGCTTGGGTCATTCGCTCGAACTGCTCCAGGCCCGCTTGAACGAGGTATGCTTGGTGCTTTCGGGCCTGTTCCCCCCGAAAAGTTCGCCGACGTTGGCTTGACTGACTGACTCGTGTGGTGTCCCTCCAGGCAATAGCCGCACCTGGACGCCGCACGCACTGCTCCAATCAAGGCGTTATCATCCTCGAGTCCAGAGCCATTCGTGTGAGTGTGGCGACATCTGAGAGCATGCAGGTGATTCTCGGCCTTGGCCAGCAGCCGAAGTGAGACTCGTCCGTCATCAGCAACGGCATCCCGTCTGCGCCTGCTTTGGGCGGGCGTCTGGTCCCGTCGCACCCCCGGGATGGAGGCGCGCCGGGGCCACAAGCATAGTTGAACGCTGACCTGACCACGGTAAGCGGTGAAGGCGATTCCCCGGGGACTCCGTGCTCATAGAAGGACAAATATCAGCAAGCAACCTCAGCCAGCGAATTGCAATTTGCTCGTCGCAGCCTGGCATCTGGTGGATGGGTGATGGAGGGTGGTTGTCGGACCGGGGCCGCCCCACGAAGTTTAAACGGTGAAACTGAGCTGGTGCAGGGTCTTCCCAGCAAGCCCAGCATACCGGCGACGGCCCGGGTGGCCCGCCCCGCCGCCTCGGGAGCTCCCGAGCACTTCCCGTAATCAATCGCCGGAGGCGGTCACGACGCACGGTATTGACTGACAGGAGGGCGGCCGGAGTCAACACGAAGGAGACCACAAGGGGCTCGATCCAGAGATACGCAGATGCAGCCTCGCACCCCAAACGCTCTCCTGGAAGGTTCGAGAGCACGAGACTTCCCTCGCCTTCTTGTCTTCCTGCCGCTGCAGGTTGCAGCCGTAAAATGAACCGAGGCTAGCAGGGGGCGCGACGCACCCCGCCAGTCGCTCTTTGCCCATCAAGACTAGAACGACAGAGCGCTGCGCGGAACCCTTGTGCCGCAGGAACGATTTGATTTCTTTGAGTTGTTCTGGCGAAAATCTCGGACACGGCACGCGCGGCTTTCCTTTGACCAGTGCTTTGCCTTTGCAGGGAACCTCATTGGCACTGGGATTTCTCGAGCATGGAGCACAGCGTAGGCATGGCGTGATGTACAACAACGGTGATGCAGAGGTGTTACACTTTTGAGCGCCGATGCTGGTCGATTGACACACAGTTAATGCCACGCAGGGAGAATTTTGCCTGGGGGGAAGGAAGCTGTCAAGGTTGTGCCCTGCGTCCTGCAGTCCTCGCTGGAGGTGGCTCAAGGAGGCTGCCTGAGCCGCGGCCGGTGATCGGCTACAAGGAACAGGGGACCTTGAATAGACTGCGGAGCTATGGGGCATCAGGCCGTCTGTGGAGATGTCGGCGATCACCGCAGGAACTGATCAGGTTAACAATGTCTTGGCAGGCTTGGTGCAGAGCCTGGCTGAACCCGTACCCTCGCAAGCCTCCATTGCTGTACCGTGGTGATGGTCTGCGTCGCTCGCGCTGGTCTGTCCGATCCGCTCCTGCGCGGGCAGTCTCGTCCGATAATCAATACCTGTCAATAGTAGCATGTAGACCCCTGTAGAGTGGGTTGTAATGCTGCCCGAGACCATGCGCATTGCTGAAGTATCGGCGAACATGGCATCCATCAGCAATTCTCAGCTCGACTCCGCGGGCCGCTCATCGCCTGGACCTGCACACCCCCTGGGCGCCATGTTCTCAGGGAAACCCCTGGAACAGGCCCGTTGAAAGCCCCCGGCGTCCCTGGTAATCTTCAGCCACTATGGTTAGTGGTGGGGTGGTCTCAGCGAACCGACCGGGGCCCACGGACATTATTAGCCGGAGGATCAGTTGTAGCGACTAGGACATTTTGCTTTCAGCCACGCATCGCTGAAGCGCCGATGGTGTTCTGCAGCGCGTTGCTGGGGGACCAGAAGCTCGTCGTCCGTGGGACTCAGCTGCAGGGTGCGGCGCATGTTGAATGTACAGTACTTTTCATGTTGCGTCCGGGGGGCTCGAAATGCGTACTGGTTCGCGGTCATTCCATCGATGCCTGTCAAGCTGCTTCGCTTGCCCGTGTATGCGACGTTACGACCCGACGGGGGGCTGTGTATGTCGGGACGGAGAAAGCGTGCCGCCGGGCGCAACTTGGGCTCTCGCTGTGAGTTGTGTGCATGTTCAAGACAGGACGCGTGTGGCCGTCAACTGGCACGGGCGTCTCAAGACTGGTCGGCATTGCCACAGCTGGTTCCCCGCCGCCGGCGGGCCTCGATACAGTAGCCGGCTTCCAAGACGGACTTCTTCACATTTGCCGGCGGACCGAGCAAGCGCGGGGTCTCTTAGTGACCCAAACCTGGCTAACTGGCCTGCTAAACTATTTGGTTTCGACCGTCTGCCCCGGGGCTTGTGCTCGAGACAACAAAGAGTGCCTGTACTTCTGTACTGTACGTAGATTGGTCTGTTTCAAACGCCTTCTTGTAATGCTGTCCCATAAGAAAGCTTCTCGGCTTGATTACCTCCTCATGCTCTCGTGAGCTCGCTTCCAGGTGCTGGAACCCTGGTCGACAATGAACGGCGCGGTTGCCTTTTCCGTCATGTGCGCGTCCACGGCCAGTACCTGACGGTGCAAGTGGTGGAGACGACGCCATGTATGACAGGATGGTGCGGCCGCAGGAGACGATTCCTTACTGCAGATGTGACATGTCACCGACAGGCGACCCTCAGGGACGGGGCGCACATTTGACCAGCCACGCCATCACGCGCCAAGTGTCCTCTCTGGTGGACTCAACATGGCCGGAAAAAGGTTGGGGTTGATGATAGGTGTGACCTTGTATCAACGCGATTGTCATCGCCAAGCCGAATTTGGTGCTTGTCTTCGTCCCTTACCCCGGCCTCTTGTGCAGTGCTGACAACTTGCGTGATATGTGTTGGCCCACAGTGCACTGGGCCAAGGAGTCGCCGAGTCTTTCCCTGGTGCTCTATCTGCGGGATCCAGATAGCCAAATTGATTCCCCGTCCACATTCACATGGTCGTCGAGTTACTTGTATTCGTTGGATAGGACAATGAGACGATTTCGGTTGGATGCACGAGCAACTGCCCTTCCTGGATCAGAGACTCCAGGAGAGGCAAGTCATGGTACGAAGTACGACGATCCTGGAGTACACTCATGAGGCATGTTAGCTGCAGCGTCGCCGACCGGCAGAGCTCTGCGTAAGCTGTAGTCGGTGACCAGTTCCGTCCCTGGCTCTTTCTGGTGAACAACCAGTCCCACGACACGCACCGTGTATCACTTTATTTCTTGCTCACCGCCAATACAATATTCTACCATTGGGCTATCTATCGTTTTCCTCTCCAACAATGAATGCCTCTTCACCGATAACAGGTCACTCAATGCTTGCCATTGGAAGTCGTCCGACGGATCTCATGCCATCCGACGACGCATGCGTTCTTTACTGACCGGCGTGCAGTGCCAACAACGTGCCTGACCAATTCAAGATGCGCAGCGGATTTGAAGATCGCAAGAACGATGCAAGAGGAGATGCACACCGAGAGGAAACGAGGGCCGACAGTCGCCGGGACTGTTCTGTATGACCCCTTCATGTTTAGGCTCTGCTCAGTCCCGCTTCAGGCGTCGGTGCATGGTTGCAGGCGTTGAAGCTAACAGTTGGCGGATATAGCTTGCCGCTCGATGGATCGGACCAATATGACAGGGAGCGATAGTTCACTACTGATCGTCGCCTATCGAGGGAAAGGTATGATTGCTACCATGCGTGTATGTATCACAGGTACATCGAATCGAGAGTTGCACAGCCACGAGGCGGAGTTGTACGCCCGGCGTGAGAGAATACACCCGGAACAAGAGAAAAGGGAGAAGGGTGAGCAGGAGATGAACAGAGAGCTATTATTTGGACATCGGCTCGGCGCGGGTCTTGCATGATCGTGCAACCGGGCCCGCTCATTGAGCAAGCTCCAAATAACGAAATGCTCAATGTACTGACAGGATCAGAGAATGCAGGTAGATAAACAGTTACTTTCCTACCAAGCCAGTGGCTGGCGTTGCTGGAAAATACCACTGACTGTTACATGGTCGACGCCCGCAGCGGCGTGTACGAGAGGTAAGCCGCCGTCGCTCCAATCCGCTGGTTGAAACAAGCCGCTGTCGTGGCTGCATCGGGAGGCACTCCTATTCGCCTCTGCGAAAATTGAGTGAGTGCTTCGCGGCACCGGCGCGTCAACTTCCCGAGAGCGCGTCGCAACGAGAGTAACGCGACCACGGCACTGGAAGCCAAGGATGCAAGCCGTTGGATCTACAGACAGACGGCGACGGGGGCACCAGACACCCGGACGGCCTGGTTTCACAGCACCAGCCCATTATACAATCGCAAGGCACCAGTTGCCTTGGTTGCAACCGAAATTTCCTGCTTGAGCGAGGTCCAAGGTCCATCCAGGCTGTATCGGGCTGCGAGCGCCATCATCTAATGACGGATATCGGCCTTCTTTGGCCGGATTCGGGGAGCAGAAGCCTGTTGTGCACGACACCACCTTCTTATCCATACGGCCGGCAGTAGTCCCGTCATGGTAGGCGATGCGCGGTGACCCGGCCGTGCGACGCAGCGAGTAATCCCTGAAGCCGGTAAGGATGGGGCGTGTGAGGTGGCACAGCAGCAGGCGTTGGGACCCGTCGTTTTGTTTCTGCCTTCGCGACGATGCGACTGATGGAGGTTTCGCTTGATTGCCATCCCACACACCCCCTAAATAAGTCTGCAGAGGAGACTTCTCCCGCATGCTTCGCTGTCACTTGATGGCATGAGCCAGGATGTCGTGTCGTCTCCATGGGTAAATTTTTTTCGAAGATCGACGCCTTCGCGTGAAGTAGCCATGACGTATTTCCGCGTAAACCTGCTGTCTACTCTATCTGTTGAAAGTCGTAGTCTCTAAATATTCTTCATAAGCCCTCGAAATCAAGTCACTCGTTTGTTCTTGTACGTTGGGTCAGTAAATTCGCAACAGTTCAACTGAGCCCTCTTGCCCGCCTGGTCATGGCCGCCCTTAAGACTCCCAGAACCCGGGGAAGAGGTATTCGACTCTCTTCATAGCCTCGGGGTCCCGTCCCTCCGGCTTGGTCATGAACTTGACGGCTCCCTGACTTGCGCCAGCCCAGTGCTTCGCCATGACCAGGTCGCTGTTGTCCAGCCGCGCGAGCTGGTCCAGCACACCGGCGACGAGGCGCTTGGCGTTCTTGCTGTTGGCCTGCATATACTTGCCGACCATTTCGACATTGACATCCTCGAACGAGTGCCAGCAGTCGTAATCAGTGGCCATGGCAATGACCTGATACGCCATCTCAGCCTCGCGCGCGAGCTTGGCCTCGGGGAGGGTCGACATGTTAATGACGGAGCCGCCCCAGGATCGATACATGTGGGACTCGGCGCGCGTCGAGAATTGGGGCCCCTCTGCGGAGAGTCGTCAACTGCCAGTTCGGAGGTGGTATTATCGCATCAGGTTTTCCGCGCGCGGCTGGACTCACCCATGCAGATGACGGTTCCTTTGTCATGAAGAACGACACCCTCTCCATCCATGTGCTCGGCACACGTCTTGACCACGGCAGCGAGTCCTGCGTCGAATGGATCCGCGAAGCCAACATGGCCGACGACACCGCCTTCAAAAAAGGTGAAGGGCCGCACACCCTTGGTCCGGTCGATGACCTGGTCTGGAACGACGAAGTCCATGGGCTTAATCTCTTCCTGCAGGGAACCAACAGCAGAGAAGGCAATCACACACCGCACGCCAATGTGTCGGAGGGCAGCAATGTTGGCTCGATTGGGAACTTCGTGCGGGGCGAACTGGTGATGCACGCCGTGCCGAGCGAGAAAAGCGATGTTGACGCCGTTGTGCGAGAGGATGCTGATGGGTGACGCAGGAGAACCCCATGGCGTGACCGGGTTCAGGAGGGCGACGGGCTCGTACCCCTCAAGATGCGCGAGTCCCGTACCGCCAATGACGGCGATATGGACGGGCTCTGTCCAGCGCAAAGGTCAGCATCGAGCGAGCTGCATGGCGAGCGGAGGGTTGCGGTGCTCCGGGTCGCGAGCAGAGGGGGACGTTACTGTCGAAAGTGGTCGGAAGAGTGGCCATTGTGGCAGCGCGCAACGAATCCTTCGAGCAGACGAGACTACCGCGTCGTGTGCGGCAAAGCGATCAATGGGCGCAACAAAGTTGTCTCGTCTCGAGCCGGCGGTCGGGAGGGGACGACGAGTGAGACCGGGTCACGAAAAATGTCGTGCTGGGCGATACCCCGCCATGGAGGGGCTCTCGGGACCCTGGAGTGCCGATTACCTGATAGGACCCGGCGCCTGGTATTTGGCTGACCACCCGCCCACCTGTACGCGGGCACCACCACCTACTACGGAACACAGGCTGTGAGAGTGCCTACTGCCTACCTGCCGGGCCGTGTCGAGTAGGAGGTCGTTCCGCCGGCTGACGAGCAACCGACACGTGCATGGCCTTTCGAATGCTATTGATGGCAATTGGGCGAGGCATAGAATCGCGATAACGGCGACGCGTATTGCACGCCCGTCTCGGCTTCTATGCCGGCACGTGGCAGGAATTGCCCGCAGCCTGCCCTACGCCGCCGTCGCTGCGGCTGCTGTCGCTGATGCGCTGTTGCGCCGGCGTGGACGCTGGCCGTGCCCGGCAGCCCAGCAACTCCTGCCGGCGCTACAGGAGTAATGGCGATTGCTCTGGAGACGGGAGCAAAACACTGTCTTGAAACGAACAACTGGAATCCCCGACAAGCGCCATCGCCTTGTCTAGTTGCAAGGCATGCTTCGGCATGCTAAGCGCGTGTCTGGATGCTGCACAAGGCAACTTTACACAGCGAGCGTAACGCGCAGGGTCTCACGGCAGTTCCCAGGCCATCCGCAATGAACCTAGAAGTCGTCAAGAGCTGGCCGAACAGGCCGTGGCGACCGCACCAGCAGTGGACGTCGCTGTGGAGCGAATCGCTCTGCTGACAAACTCAGGTCCCGCCCGCCACCTGGCACTGGTTTAGTGCCCGGGCCGCGCTAAGAATTTTTGCGGCCCCAACCCGGAAGCTTTCAGGCGAAAGCCCGACATGCAAGCTTCACGACCAACCGCATCTCATCCTAACACGGCCTGAAAGCCCCCTTGCCTCACTCGCCAGGCTTCCTCAACAATATGGCCGACGAGGTCCCATCTCGGGAGGCGATGACGCGCCTGGCGGAATATGCAGCTCCGCCCCAGGACGCGATAGCACCCGATGGCCAGGGCGAGACAATCGAGGAGCGATGCTTCTCGGCCGCTCTCATCTGTCTGGAAGGCCACTACACTCAGTCGCCGCCCATGGGCCCTTTGACAGCTGCTCGGGTCAACTCGATGATCTCAAAGACCCTCGAGAAGACGCACACTCTCCGAGCTGCCCGGTATGCGAATCCGTGACCAGTTTAAGGACCGACACTGACCAGTGCCTGCAGCGAAGCGCTGTCGCGGAATGTCGCCATATGGATATGGTTGACGAGAATTTTCGCTGCCGCCATCCCGAGTCTGACCACCAGATCTGTCGGCCCGCTATCAAGCTTGAATGACCCCGACAAAGGCGTCAGCCCCCAGGAGAGCACAGCTCTGATCGTCATGAACCATGCTTCCGTCAAGGAAGACCTGGGTACGCTCATCAAGCTCATGCACATTGCCAGGAACTTGCTGGTGAATGCAGAGCCCGAGGTCCCCCAAGACATCTGTGCCGCTGTCCATTTTGACCAGATGGTCTACCAAACCATCATCCTCTGCGTCAACGTCACGAGTAAGGGCTATGACGGCGAGATACTAGACGAGGCTCAACGGCTCAAGCTAGCCGACATTACCGAACTTTGTTTGTGGCACCCTTGCAACTTTCACTGCCTGAATGGCCCGCTAACACGTCTACAGACAAAAAGCTGCTGGTGACCTCGCTGCAGCAAGCACACAACTGGACCGCCAAGCATGACCGCAACAAGATGTCCTTCTGGTTCGACGTGCTGTTTGACGACGACGACGGTGGTTATTCTGGACACGATGAGGGCATGGGTGATGGTTCGGGTTTCCGGCCGGAAGTTGCCAAGCAGCAAGTTCAGCATTGGCTGGACCGCAACTCCAAAATGTGTGACGCGGCCCGCCAGCTTCTCAAAGACTATGCACAAAACCAGGCCCACAAGCCTCCCGGAAATCTGGCGCCGATTCGTCCGCTGGCGTGGAACTGGATGCCTGATGACTCTATCAACGTGCCAGCCGATACCAGTGACGACGCAGAGAAGATCAACCCCGTTTGGAAGCCGGACGAAACGGACAGATTTGAGCAGGATCGGGCATACGGCCGAGTCTCCAGAGAGATCGACACTTGGTGGCTACGCGCACGGGATCCCAACTACGAAGAATGGGTTGTAGGCATGCCGTCTGTGGAGTTTGCGCAATCGCGAACCGAGCAATGCAAGTCGAACATCGTCCACCGTTATGCTCATTCTTACCGGGGCGACCATTCACCACCCCCAGAGGTGGCCGAGGAGGATTTGCTGGACCACGATCATTGCCATTGCCCCGATTGCCACGGATGTCATCATGATGATCACGAGCACGAAGAGGAGCATGACCACGATGCCCAAGAGCACGACGTTGATTGCGAGCACCACCATCATCACCAACACCACCACCACCACCATCATCATCATGACCATGACCACGATCACGATCATGATTACGCACACGACTATGTCGAAGACATGATGGACGACGACGAAGCCGACGACGACGTCTCCTACGGAGAGGGGCCGTTGACGGGCTTGCTGACTGAAGTCCCCAATATCCTGGACCCAAAGCAGATTGAAGCGCTGCACATGATTGTCAAGTCCTGTATCCTTGACAATGCGGGATCTGGTCTGACACGTGCAGGTGAAAACCTGCAAAAGACGCGCTGTCGAATGTTCCTGGCGCTCGACTGTGGAAAGAGTCTGCTGCGAGAGTTGCTCGTTTTCATTGCCGTCTGGGACAAAGATGAGCAGTCGTTGATCTTCCAGGTCACTACGCAGATAATTGAGGCGCTTCATCACAGCGCCTTGATACCCTACGCCTGGAACTCGCTGAGGATACCCAAGGATATCATATCCCCGGCGCAGACTGTGCTGTTGCGCTTGGTCAACCACATGTTTCGAGCCAGGAGCACCAACTCCACGAGTCAGGAGCCAAAGGACAATACTAGGGATATTAAACTGGTTCACTTCTTCTTCAGCTTCTTCCGGAGCCGCATAGTTCCAGAATGCGCGGCCCTGATGCACCTGCAGGCCCAGATTCGGGAACAAAACATCGACCCGGCCGAGTTCCCTGTCGACAGCTGGGACATGGAGCGAGCAAAAGACGGACTGACGCAGTATCTGGACTTCCTGACTACGGTTGCCGAGATGGCCGATACCAGGGCCAAACTGATAGAGTGGGAGGCAGTCTACGATCTCATAACCATTCTGAGTGGCCTTGAGGCTGGTGTACAGAAGAAGGCGCTCATAGAATTGCCTAAACGGGCCACGAAGACCGAGACGAGCAATCCGATGGTTGAGCGCCCATACTCGACGGCAGACGAGAGCCTGTCTCCTTCACCACCTCCGCCACCGTTGCAGGAGCCGGCCCACAAGTTCCCCTGGTCGGGCGTCAAGGGCCAGATTTTCACCATCATCGCCACTCTCCTGCAGCCGCCGGCAGGGCAGAGCAGCCCAGGCAACTCGCAGGTTCAGATGCAAATGGTCAACTACAATGGCATCGTGCCTTTGCTGAACTGTTGCGCATACGACGATCACAATCCTTACGCAAAGGAGCGCGTCACGATTTGCCTGAAGTGGCTTCTGGATGGGTGCGAGGCCGCCAATAACTTCTTTCGAGAGCTCGTGAGCCTTGCGCCGCAGCCGAACCTCAAACCCCCACCCGGTGGCACAACAGTCTCAACCATCAGGGTTGATGGGATCCAGGGCGAGGTCAAGGTTCAGGTGCGGTCCAACACGGCTCCGCCATTGGAAGGGGAGTCATCAGAGAACGCCAGCGAGTCCAAGGACCCCAACGCGGACCTTCTGGAGCGCGCGGCTTCGCTCAGCCTCGGCGCCGCGCCAGTCGCATCGAGAGGCACACTTGAGGATGATTTCATGGCGTAAGGATAGAAGGTCGTCGGGGAGCTCTTTACAACGAGGTTTATCGATTCTTCAGCAAGCGATGGGTCGCCGTGCCTTGAGTATCTGCTGTGAAGAACCTAGAACCGTCGTCTTGTCCATATCTTGAAGAAACGGTGGAATATATCCCAAGGAATAATACAATAATGATAGTCTTGAAGAGCGCTGTCGTAAATCTCGACTTGTTGATGGGTACCTTGTCGCTATGATAAGCCCTCTACCAGTGCTAGGACTTTATAATGCAGTGTTTCAGTACTGCCGGTGCCGAAATACGACATGAAGGCGTGATTCTGTATCCGTGGTCTGGCACAGCTGGACTGTTTGTCCCCCATCGCCCGTGATGCCCGCGACACTGAAGGCGACCCTCGCATTCATCCTCGAAATTGGTATACTGTGATGTTCTATTGCATGCAGGCAGACGAGGATCCGTAGGTGATGGATGAGTCCACCGAGAAGTAACTAGGAATATCTAACCAACCGAGAACTGTAGATTGTCGAGCCATGCCAGAAGAATGCCCTGAAGCAAATGCCGTGTACAAAACCCCAAAAAAGCCAGTATGAGATGAGGATAGATTTTTGTCGCAAAACGCCGCTCCTTGCCGCCACTCTCGCCCGCCCTCCCACGTTGTGGGAACCGAGCCGCTACCCGTCGTCGCCCATGGGACGGTGCGAACTACGAGCCGTTGACCTCCAGCTTGCCCTCGGTCTTCTCGACGTACTCGACGAGGTCCGCGATCGTGCACACCTTCAGCCCCCACTTGCGCGCGAAGGTAATGCATGCCTCGCCCCTCATCATGTCGGTGGCGGCGCGGACGGCGCGGCCAGGGACCTCGTCGCCGTCCTCGACGACCTCGCAGATGGCGGCGGCCTCGTGCTTGCCGGCGAGGCGGCAGAACTCCACGGCGGCCTCGGTGTGGCCGACTCTGGCCCTCACGCCGCCGGGGTGGGCGCGGAGAGGCAGGACGTGGCCGGGACGGCGCAGGCTCGTGGCGGTGGAGGTCGGGTCGGCGAGGACGCGGCAGACGAGGGCGCGGTCGTGGGCGCTGATGCCGGTGGTGACGGACTCGTCGGCGGCGTCGACGGAGACGGTGTAGGCGGTGCCGCGGGGGTCCTGGCTGACGGAGACCATGGGCGGCAGGTCGAGGGCGTCGGCGCGGGCGGGCTTGATCGGGGCGCAGATGAGGCCTGAGGAGTAGCGCACCATCCAGGCCATCTGCTCGGTGGTGACGTCCTGGGCGGCGATGATCAGGTCGGCCTCATTCTCGCGGCCGGGATCGTCAAGGACGACGAGGAACTCGCCCCGTCCTGTCGGCGGGAGGAGTCACAGTCAGCACACGTTCATGCCGAGAGAATACAGGCCGCGGCGGGGGGGTCTCAGCGTACGGAAGGCCTCAATGGCGTCGGGAATGGAGTCGAATTGACTCTGGGGTATCATTGGGGCGGGCATTTTTGGCAGAGGAGAGGATGACTGGCGGTGATGCGGTGTTGCGGTATGCGGCGCCGACAGCGGTTTCGCTTCGTTGTCTCGTCGTCGTCGTCGTCCTTCGTCTTTGTAGTGTCTTTCGTGGGGGTCGCAGGAGGTTTGTCTCGTTCGGTCTCGGCCGGCGGATGCGGATGGATTTTTGGAGGGGGGAGAAGACCCTGGCTGGCTGGCTGGCTCTGGCTGAGGGCGGGGGGGTGAACCGAGGGCGGCGGGCTGACTTTATGGAGGGGCAGCAGCGCGCAAGTAAAACCAGTTGCGACGCGGGGCCAAACCTTGTTCGCTGCGGCTACGAAGTAGAAAACCGACCGGGAACGAGGGGTATCGTGGCAATGCGATCCAGAGCAGGCTGGGCAAATTGAAGAAGAGCGGCGAGCCCCTCGGTACAAGTAATTAATGGATGTCCAGGTCTGGGTCCCCCGGCAGCGGGTGCGGGTGCGGGCGCGGGACCCAGGTGTACGGGCCAACTCGGCCTCCGACAGGCAGGACCGCAGGGCTCATGGCTTCCATGCGCTTCGGCTGCCCGCGCGTGCCCCCCCAAAAGCGCCATACGTTGGCGAACGGCAGCGACCCGTCCGCCGTCCCCATACCTATGGGCTGAGGCACATGTCAGCGCCGGTGGCGGCGGCGGGGCCGGGCCATGCCAACGCCTGCACTTCTGAAAATGCCATGCGACGAGAAATGCCGTGTACAACCACCGAGCATGCTAATGCGGCGTGATACACACGCGACCGAGACCTGCTGGCTACTAGGTACTGTAGGTCGGCAGCGGTGCGGCGGCGCCGTGATTTAAGACGCTGACGGTCGGCTGACAAAAGGGCGCTGAGTGCGCCATTGTCCCCATTTACGGATGCGGGCCGGAACGCTCTGTCAGCAGCGCAAACGAGGATGGGCAGCGGGCAGTGGGCAGAGCGAGCTGCAGGTGGCCCGGCGGATGCGACCGCCAGCGGCGCCTGGTGGCTCCCGCGCCGAGGCTGCCGCGGCACCGACAGGCGGGTAGGCAGAAGAGGGACGGATGGCCGGATGCAAGACACCGAGTGCAGACCGAGGGGCCGCTCGGCTCCGCCGCCGAGAGGGGACTGTTGAATGTCAACCCGGAATTTGAGACCAGCGTCCTGCGTGCCCGCCATCCCGCGCGCTTCCAGGGCGTGCCCTGCCCACTGTGAGCACTCTGCTTTGTCAGCCGGCTCCATCTGCCGCAGCGCCCTGCCGCATCGGTCGACTTTTTGGAGCTTGCTTCGGGGCAGCTGCCGAGCTCAACACCACGACACCAAGACCGCGATCCCCGTCTCCGATCTCGCCGCGCACCCATGGCAGCCCCGTCCCGGACAGCTGCCGTCCGCCTCAGCCGGCTACGGCCGTGGCGGCCACAGCTATTCCCATCGCCATTGAGTCCGAGCGCGCTCGCCGCCCGCCCGTCGATCTATGCGCCCGCCGCGTCGCCGTGCCCCCGATGGCACTCAAACTTCTCGTCCGTGAACCCGGAGGAAGTCTCCCACTTCAACGCCCTCGCCAGCGAGTGGTGGGACCCTCACGGCTCCTCGCGGCTGCTGCACCTCATGAACCCTCTACGTCACGACTTCATCCGGGCGTGTCGCACCTCCGCGGCGGAGTATACCCCCGACCACGACGCCGAGCTTTCATACCTAGACATTGGCTGTGGCGGGGGGATCTTTGCGGAAAGCGCCGCTCGCATGCCCATGACTCGGCGCGTCACCGCCATTGATCCCACGCCGTCCGTCCTGGCCGTCGCCAAGGCCCACGCCCGCAAGGACCCGTCTCTGAGCAGCAAGCTCACGTACACGCAGACCTCCATCGAGGAGCTGCCCGTGCCGGCATCCGACGCGGAGCGCTACGACGTAGTCAGCCTCTTCGAAGTCATCGAGCACGTGGACGAGCCCGCCGCCTTCCTGGAGCGGGTGCGTCCGTTCGTCAAGCCCGGCGGGTGGCTCGTCATGAGCACCATCGCGCGCACGTGGATGAGCTGGTTCACGACGAATCTCGTCGCCGAGGACATCCTGGGGATCGTGCCCAAGGGGACGCACGACTGGAACAAGTACATCAACGAGGAGGAGCTGCGGCGGTACTTCCTCGACAAGGGGTGGGAGAGCCCGCGCGTCATGGGCGTCGTGTACGTGCCGGGGCTGGGGTGGAAGGAGGTGCGCGGCAGCGAAAAGGTCGGCAACTACTTCTTTGGCGTGCGGAGGGCTGTCGACTCTGATGCTTCATGATACCCCGGGCGCGCTCGAAACAAGCCGTCTTCCTGGCGTGAGAGGAGCTCTGTACCACCAATGTATGAACACATGTAGAGGCGAAATTACCCAGAGCAGGCTTGGTTTCTCTCTTTGCAAGACCGCCGCGCTGTCCCAAGATGCCCAGTGCTTGCGATTGTGCCTTGCCAGACCAGCGTTGGGCAGCGATGGCAACTACGGCGGCGAGAGGCAGGAGAGGCACGAGTAGCGAGGCAGCTGTAAAAGAGGAGCGCCCAATACTTGTCCACGTTGACCTGAAAGATAGTATTCCTTGTCAATGATTACAAGGTAGCCTGACTATCTGCTACCGCTCCGAATGATAAACACAAAGGACACCAGTCCGCGAGTCGCTGTTCCTCCAACGCCTTGTGTACCGCGTCCATCTATACAGTAACTCTCAATTGCATGCACAGGCACTCTTCAGACCTTGTTTCCTTTCCCCTTCAGGCTCTTGCCACTAGACCCTCTCCCAGCTGCCTGCTCGCCTCCGGCTGGTGAGTCTGGCGCCTTGCCTTTGCCGCCCCTGGCCCCCTTGCGGCCTCGTCTGTTTGCAGCTGCGCCTTTCTCACTGCCCTTGGTTTGTCTGCGCTGCTCTTCCTCCTGCGCACGACGGCTCTCTTGATCCCACCACTCCTGGAACGCTTGTTCTTGTTGGATTTCCTGGAGCGATCTCTTCGCGACGGCCTCCTTGACCAGCTCCTGCTCCCGCCTTTGCTGTCCTATGATGTCTGCCATACTTGCACCTGGAGCGAGCTCTGCTCTTGGCGCTGGGGTGATGTAAGACTTGGAGTGCGGGACCAATGGCTTTTTCTGCGGCTGGCTCGACGGGGCTGGTGTTGCTGCGGGTGAGCTGTTGGTACGACCCTGCCCTGGAAACCTAGTATCTGGCGAAGCTGTCCTTCTTCGACTGGGCTCAGCCTCGGATGCGACCAAGGGCTTGGTCTTCGTTGGTGCGGTGCGTGTGGCATCCATTGACATCGCCTCTTTCAAAGATGCCTTGGGGATGGGAGCTGCCGCCTTCCATGGAGGAGGGCGAGTGTCCGACGTGGCTTTCTCCCATGGGGCTTGCTTCGTCTTCTTCTCGTCTTGAGCTGCAGCCTCAGCCTCAGCCTGTAACTGCAGTTGTTTCTTCCGCTCTTTTTGCGACATCTTGGCTTGCGTCCTGGCCGGAGCGGCACTCTTACCTGCCTGCGCAGCCAATCCAGCAGTGAGAGCAGACTTGCTTGAATCCTGAGATAACACGTCCTTTAGGTCTAGCTTCGAAGCGGGTAGAGCCGGAGCTGCCCAAGGGCCGCCAACTTTCCTGAAAGGCGCATCGAGCTGCAAAGGGGGCACATCGCTGACTTTCATTTCGGCGGCGTTTGCGGCCTGAGCGGGAGATAGGCTGGATGGCGTGGGCTTGCCAGAGTCGCCAGCAGGCAGTCCACGAGCACCTGGCCAACCATCGGGAAGCTGCGGCATGCTGCCCACATCCGGGCCTTGATTCTCTTCGGCGCGAACGGATGCCAGGGAAGCTGGACTGGTCGGTTTCGCGGTGTCGTCATCTTCCATATCGAAGATCATATCTCCCTGGGACTCCTTGGGTCGCAGACTGGGGCTGAAAGGCTCGTTGCGACTTGCCCGAGATCTTGGGCGAGCCCTATCTGGTGTTGGCGTTCCGATCATTGACTCATCCAAGCTTCCGACGCGGGCTTTCCAGGACGACGACAGCTTCCTATCATCCTCTCTCTGAGAGAGTTTGAAGGCCATCTCTTTCACACGGCGGCGCCGCTCCTCGTCGATATCAATTGCTAGATCCGGATACTTGTCATGAAGCAGGGCGTCGGCTCGGCCGCTTTTGGCGAACGGCAGGCGAGCCAGTTGGTTGCCACGGACGACCTCATCCAGCTCCACCACGAGGTCATCATCGAGGCCGTCGAGGAGGTGGTTTTCCAGCATACACTCCAGCTGCAAGCAGATATACTCGAGACCGACGTCCTTGAACTCCGACACCGAGCAGGCACTGATCTCGTTGAGGAGGTTGGCAATGTTCCGCGTCGTGACGAATTTCCCGATCAACGACTGGCAAATTTGAGAGAGTCGATCCAGCATGAGCTCGTTGGCAACGCCCATGACATCTAGGACAAGCTCTGAAAAGTCGTCGATGCTAGGAACTGCGACGTTGTCAAACATCTCCTCGCCAACATCCGCGTAAAGGTACTCCATAACATATTCGAAGGTCTCCGGGCGGATATGCTTCAAGTCGATTTGAAGCTTGTCCACGACCGCCGAACCATTGCGACGATCTGCAAGCCACTGCCCTTGGGAGCGTCCATTGAACATGCCTTCGAAAAAGGGACATCTCTGGCACAGTAGTTGGCCGTGGGCAACAACATCGGCACCATCGAGTTGTACTATGATGTCGCCGTCGTCAAAAAAGTCAGGATCGGCAACGGCTGCTTTCATGTCGGCATCCAGCGACGGCTCTATAGCGGCTTGCAACCGGGCAGCTGTCTCAAGTCTAGGCATGCGCAGGCTTGTTGCCACCTTCATCAGCTCCGTGCGGACTTGTCGGAATCTGTACGCCTCTGACGGTGATTCTCGGGTATACTTCCATACAGGAACGATGCTGTCCTCGTATGCGAACACCGCTATGTTCAATATAGTGAAAATGTCGACGCCTGGCAGTGTGAGGACTTGTTTCCCGTCAAGCCTCTCAATGACGAAGGCGTCGGAGTGACCAGTGGTGCCATTGCGACGCTGCTGAGACAGCGACTCACGGAGGACAGGGCTGCGCCCCGCCATAATCCAGCCGTGAATTGGGATTCTTATATCCGGGCATGCAGTTGTTCGTATCTCGGTATCGAAGCTGCCGTATCGGAATTGGCTAGCATGTAGCCACTGGCCAAGATCTTTTTCGAGGTTTTGGCTTCGAAGAATCTCGTGAGACACTGATCCTGGCTTCTCCCTCGCAATAGCCGCTTGCCACGCCTTGCGATGACCTGAGGTCCCCATTCCGGTCTCGGTTGCGGAAAAGTCTCGTAGGCTTAAGAGAGAAGCCACGTCCCTCCACAGATCTTGTTCGTCGACGCGAATCTCTTGAGACATAACATTGATGTCCTTCCTGACGGCAGCAAAGGCTCCAAAGGTAGAGCTTCGCACCTTGACGCAGCCAGTAATGTATGGGACGCGCTCAAACTTGAAGTCTTTCTTCTTCGCATCTGACCTCGAGAAGGCGGCGGTCTTCCCTTTGATCCGCTTGACTCTTTTCCAGACGGCACCAGATTGTGTGCTGATGATGACGGAGTCGTGTTCGCCGACGCTGACAGAGGCAACGCCATCCTTCCTCGAATCCCATATGCATTGTGGCTGCGTCACAGCTCCTCTGATCTTGACTGGATTGGTTGTGGAGCCCGCTGGCGGGTTCGCGTCCACCTTGTGGTTGAGTTGCATGGTGTATAAATCGCCTCGAGCCGTAACCGCCGCAATGGTTTCACAGCCGGAGGCAATGAGACGGATGTCTTTTCGGCCAGAGTCATATCTGTTGGAGAAAGACGACAACGTCAAGCTGTGGTTGGTAAGGACGTCGAGCGCGGGAAACTTGACAAGATTGTAACCGTAATTGGTGAATACCCAGACCGTATGGTTTGACAGGAGACACGTGGTGGCCTTGTCGATAGCAGACACCATCTCGATGGGTGCTGAGAGCAATGACGCTCCTACCTTTCTTGGAATTGGTTGAACTTCGAGTGTTCGTGAGTCGGCATCCATGAGGGCTAGTTGACCCAGGTTACGCCCCCAGCAGTAAAGGGCCGAGTTCGTGAAGGCCACTGAGTGGACTGCCGATGCAGCAACGCCCAATATGATTTCTTTCTTCAATGGCCCAAAGACTTGGCGTGGCGTGAGGCTCACGGGCTCCTCGTCGGACCGGGCCGGAGCGGGCAACGAATAACCGAGCTGCGAGTCGGCGTTCGATCCCCACGTCCACAGCTCACCATTCCCCGCAACAGCCATGGAGTGGTTTTGACCAAGGGCGACGTGTCGTACTTTTCGATCAGAAAATGGGCCTTGTACGGGCACAAATTTGAACTGCGTGTTTTCGTCGCCGAGACCCAGTCTGCCTGATCTCCCAACTCCGCAGACGTACAGGTTTGATACGGGGTCCGTCGTTACAACTGCGGTATGCAGCTTGGACATGGCGACATCTTGGATGATGAGCGGCCTATTGCGTATAAGAGTTGGAATACCTTCCAATTCTGGCAGAGACTGAGAAGAGTCCAAATCGTGTTCTTCAAGATATGCTTGGTGGAAGCGGTGTAGGAGCTGGTCGGGTCGATGGAGTAGAATTCGCTCTGGGAACTGCCGATCGTCTCCGTCCCCGACGCCGAGCGAAAGGTTCTTGTTGCTTCCAAACACAAAAAACTCGCCACCCTCGGTAGGGGCCGCGGCTCCGTGAGGATCACCGTCATTACTATAGAATGTTAATCATCAAGTAGTTGAGCCGGGAGAGAGGCGGTACTAACCTTTGGAAGCCATCCTCATCGCTGTCTAAGCTAGCGGTCCCATCGTCTGATCCATGCAGTTCTTTGCCAACCTTGAGCGACCTGGTGGCGATGGTGGAGTTGTAGAGGTCGAATGGGCTAAGCCCTTCGTTGTCTTTGGTCTTGATGAGATGGCCGACTTTGCCCACGGAGAGCGCATGGTTTGTCAGGTCACCACGCTCCTTCGCCAATAGAGCGCGTGCGATGGACACATTTCCCGCATACAGTGATCTGTGAAGAGCGTTCCAGCCGCTTTCGGGGTCTTGCACATATATATCGATGGCGGGGTGCTCCAGAAGTGACTCGACGAACTCGTAGGCGTTCGGGTCGGTTGACGAGGCCGCGCGCAGCAACAAGGTCAGACCGGCGTGGTCGCGGCTGTTCACTTCGTTCCGGCCTAAAGCGACGCCGCCATCCTTGGGCCTGCCATGCGCAGGTGTAGAAGCCGTCGACCTCCGAGCCTTGGCTCCACGAGGTGGCGTTCCAAACCCGCCCGGACTGGCACTGAAGTGACTCCCACCGTGTCCTACGGCCGGACTCCTGGCACCGGTATTGCTGGTGCTGGCCGGGGCCAATAGACGTCGAAACTGTTCGACATTGCTTTGCCAGTAACTTGTCCAGAGGAGGTGACTCATGGGCGGGATGATGGAGACGAGCGGTTGTTCCAGACGCTTGAAAGCACCTCGCTGTGATTCTCTTCGGATCACGGCTTATTTAAAGGTGCGGTTTGTAGCGCCGGACTGCCCAAGTGTGGGTGAGGGCACGCGGCGACTATTCTCTCGTGCTCTGGGGTGGTGGGCGAGACGGCGCGATACGGTCGTGGTCTTGCGACAAGGGCTGTTGGTCTTCGGTCGGCGGCGCGTTATCGGATCGTGCCTCGCGTGCTGTCGGTATAGATGCGTACAGTGGAGGGAGACGTCAACAAGAAAAGGGTTGATTCGGAGACTTGAGTATAAGCTCGTGAGATCGAGAGGGGGTTGCCAGGCGTTGGAAGGGGCTAAGAGGGATGAAATGCTCCGTCACGGCCGACGAGAATGCCTCGATGAAGGTGCACGGGATTTGTGCTTGTGCGCGTCAGCGGGTTCGTAGCGGGGTACGGCCAGCACATGCCGAGATGCGGGCGCCGGCAAGGTACCCAGTACTCTGTACGATATCAATCTGCAGGCGATTAGAGCCCCACCACGCCACATCCAAGCTGAGGGCTTCTGTGATGGAGGGTGGCCAATGAGCCGCGAAACCAAGAACGTGCTGGATTGTAGGGCAGATAGGGTTTTGAGCAGCTCGACGCTGCACCATCGGACTTTCACACGTGGTTCAATCCTGTTCCTGTTATTTGCCAACACTGCCGTACTGGGAGCGCGCAAGAAGAAACAACCGGAAGCGATGTGCCTTCACTCAGGGAACGGGCGGCGCCAAACGCGTCCGCTGGCTGGGGAGTGTCAGCATGTGTGTGAATGATGAGCAGTGTCGCGCAAGTAAAAACAGGCCCAGGGCCGACGGGAGTTGGATGCAGCCGGCGTGTCTGGTTAACGCGTTTTGAGGACCCAGTGAAACTTCTTGAAATCTTCCCCGCGATATGCATGCAGCTGGATCTGTGATCCCCGCGCTGAGTGCCCCGCGTCTCCCGTTCATCTCGGCAGTGTCTATAGTGCCGTTCCGACGGCCGGCGATGTTTTCATAACATGACCCAGTTGCCGCAGGGTGGGGGAGGATGTGATACCTTTGGGCGTGGAAAATGACGAGGCGAATCGGAGACTTGTTTATTTTCCCCTACCTCCTATAGCCTTCGTTCCTTTCGTTCCTTTCGTTCCTTTCGTTCCTTTCGTTCCTTTCGTTCCTTTCGTTCCTTTCGCTCCTTTCGTTCCTATATCTATTTAATCTAGGTAAGACGCAGCTATGATCAGAAGAGATATAGTTCTCCTTGCTAAGTAGTGTAGTAATATATATCGTGGCACGATTACTCCTATATGTTTATGAACCGTAGTGTGTTACTTTAATATAGGTGGCATACTGATCGGTGGTTGATAATATTGCAGTTTGTAGTTACGGGTGTAGTCATTAAAGTGCTCAAGACCACGAACACGACACATAGACAAGAAACAAGCAAAATGCAATGCCAGCGAATGGTCTAAAAGTCTTGGTCTAAATTCACTCAGTAAAGACTCGTCCTGCCCGGAAATTCTTGCTCTATCCGTAGTGGAACTTGCGAAACATATCAGACACCGTAGTGAAGACAACCAGCAGGACACCACCACCAGGACCCAAACGAAGCACCTGACAAGGTAGTTAGCATCTGCATCACATAATCGATGGCATTTCGTATGCGTACCTTTGGCAGGAAGCCCTTGTAGAGTGCAGCTGGGCCTTCTTCCCGCAGGACAGTGAAAACGGCCGGCCAAGCCCAGTTGTACTTTGGAACAACCCCAGGAACTCGTGGAGTGTTCTGTATACGACTTTTCACGACGTCCAAAGGAGTATTAACTACAGTACCAACGGTTCCGCCGATGGCGCCGGAAATGAGGTCGTTGAACATCTGTCCGCGCTGGGTCTCAGCCTTGGGCATCATCTGGCGAACTTGGAAAATGCAGCCGAAATAGCCAGCGTTCCAGAGAATGTGGCGCCACATGGTACTCTCCAGTCCTTGATACAAGGCCAGGGGGCCTTCGTTGCGCACAGTCTTCGTGACACAGTCGACCATGCCGTTGTACTTGCCAGCGGACGCCTTATCCTGAAGACCTGCCAACTATCAGCCAACGGCGCTGAAAAGGTATATCCAGGGAGACTTACGAATCTTGACAAGCTCAAAGGGCACAACGACAAAGGATTCGGTCGCACCAGCCGTGGCTCCGGTCAGGACAGAGAGGGACTGGGTCATCTGAGGCACGCCGAACATCTTGCGGTAGGCCTTGCCCCATTCATCGTTGGCAGCAAACTTGGTGGCTCGCTTAGGGGCTTCCATGAGAATTGGGGCCGAGATACCGCGGTAGAGACGAGAGAAGCCCTCGGTTTTGATGATCTTCCTGAAGCAGTCCAGCATCCCATTGTATGCTTCCGCGCCTCCACCCTTGCCCGTCTGGAGTTGACTGAGAGATATTCAGTACTTGAAACTGGTCAAGAACGATTCGGGCACGCACATTCTCGTCTTCGCAACATCGAGCGGGTACCTAGAAGCAGGAATTAGTGGAATTTGTTGAATGGTCGGTTTCGACGTCAGGGCTCACATGAGCAGAATCTGTTATAGTAGACAGGTTGTCAGCAAATGCAAGAGCTATGGACCAAAGGAAAGAATATGCTTTACCTCCGAGACGCCAGCAACGGCGCCTGGCAACATGTCAGCAAGCGAACCGAGAAATTATGCGACGGCGAGGTTTCTCAGCCAGGAGGCGGACGAACCTGCGGCGAACTGGTAGGCGAAGGGAAGAGGCTTCTCCTGCGACATGATGGCGACTTGCGAGGTTGTGTCCGTGACTTTCGGGAAACAACTGTCGCAGGAGGTCGGAATTGTGTGGCGCGGAGGGAAAAGCGATGCCGGTGCTCGAGGGGAGGGCGATTCTACGCAGGGTCGATTTTAGCGCTCCGTTGCCGGGGATATCCGCCCCCACAATCGGCTGTCCGCAGCCCGCGCACGCCGTTAGGGTTAAGGTTCGCACCGGCCCCACATAAAAATGCACATGGCCCGCGGGGATCTCAACGGACGGTGGGGAGGTATAAGCCAATGAGAAGCCCCATTCAAGTGCTACCACGTACAGATTCATGGCCACGCTGTATGCGCCAGGCGCGCGTCCATTTCGGGCTAATCAGGGGAGAAACCACTGAGGCTCAAGTCGGCAGTAACCGGCAAGCCAACCCCCTGTGTCAATCGCGATGATTAGCCTAACCAAGACCGTTGTGTCTACTGTCCGCCTCCTCATTTTCTTGTGAAATAGGCGATATGCAGGACTGACGAGTGTCACCATGTCGCTCGTAAGAGCCACGCGATTCTTGCTCCCTCGTTCATTCACCGATCGAGATCCAAAGGTCGCGTTGGTGCAAGTAGGCGAGTTGGTACCTTGCCGCCTCCTACCACTCCTTCTGAGCGATGCGAGACGTTTCTACACGTGATAATGCCCTCATCTGCCAGCTGTACAGTGTCGACAGCCAAATACAGCTCTCGGTAAGCCCGTAGTCAACAAGAATTGTAATGAGCATGTTATAGACGTTGGGCCAGCCTGGCATAACGAGGGTCGCCATGCTTATGGTTCCCTCCACGGAGACGCACAACCTGACCTTGGCACGCCTGTCCTATGTATGTAGCATAGTCGCCAATATTTCTACGCCAGGGCGATAGCAGTGAGATCTTCACGGGTCTACTTCCGGCGAATGAGCTGACTTGAGCATAGTTTTCCCCTTGAGTTACTCACTGTTGCAGACGGTGGCTCGTGTCACGGGCGCGAGTTGGTTGAATGCGAGAGTGCGAAGGAACGACAGCAACGACAGCAACGACAGCAACGACAGCAACGACAGGCTCGAAGTGGTCGAGGTGGTCGAGGTACTTGGGATGCACCAGTAGGCGCGAAAATTGGGCACAAAGGGTTCGGGACGGGACGTGCGGGACAAGAGTCTCGAGATGCTCGGGGGGTTGAGGAGGTTGAGAGTTTCAGGGCGACAAGCTCGAAAGGCGCAAAAGCGAGGAGAGTCGGAGGCAGTTGAGTCCGAGAGGAAGCAAAGCAGTTGGTACGAGTCGATCTATATATATAGAAAGATTGCTGTGGGTATTGCTTGATCTCGCACGAGGCGGGGGTCATCTGCATGACCAGAGCATATTAATAAATGCCCGCCGCTGTCGCGTAGAATACGAGCCTCTGAAGCAGGTCAAGCTCCACAGACTCGGGACGACTGCCAGGGCAGGGCAATGGCCTATGATGGCCCTCGCCTGCTCTGTTGACAATGCCGTCCACGTGCATCCTGCGGGGGTGTCCTTTTCGTAAGCAAATGGTAAATGGAACGGATTCCAGATCTATGGCGACGCGGCCGGGGAATCTTCACAAGCATACTAACGCAGCAGTGACCCAGCTTCTGCACGACAGGCACAGCCGGCATTGGGCTGGGGCTGGCATGAACGACACCCTGCGCGATCAGCATCGGCCATGGACAATACGGGCTTGGTATGGAGACCGGAGCCCGTTGCCCCGCATCCACCCGTGGATGTCCCAAACAGCGGCCGACCAACTGGAGCGCTGGGCACACCCCACTGAAGCTGGCCTGACCCGGCGCGAGGCGCAAGAAGTGCCAGGAACCGCACCGGGCTGTGTCAGCCGCATCGCCTCGCATCCTGGCATCTCACCCGTCTCCTCCAGCCTTGGAGCTCTCCCTGCCCCCCCGAGCACAGTCATGCTCCACAGACGGATGCAGCAGTGTCTGCTGCCAATGAGTACGGCCGTCGCTCCTCTGTCTTTTTGTCTCTCGTTTTGGCACCTTGGCCTGTCTGCGTAATTGCTCTCGTTTGCATTCCTACAAGGCGCAGCTTCGCTCGTTCTCCTGACTGCGCCCTCCGCGCCGAGGTCGTCGTCATCGCAAATGCTCCCACGTGCCGGCACCGCTTTACCGGCTGCGAGCTGCGAGCACTTCAGCTACTAATTCGCTACCATCGCCTGAGGCTGGGCAAATACAGCGACGCATTCCATCTGTCGACCACAGAGGCACCTGAGACGGCCAGCGGCGGAGCCTCGCCCGCCACGCCATGCGCCTAACGACCGCCATCGCTCTCTTGGCGACGTTCACCTCTGATGGCGCCGCTCAGTTCGTATCCCAGGACGCCAGGGCGCAGAACCTGACCGTGGTGCGCTCGCCTGGCAATGCCAACGTCACGGTTTCGTACAAGCAGCCCAACGGCGTCTGCAAGACGGCATTTGACAGACAAAAACAATACACGGGTTGGGTCAACGTTCCCGGCGACTACCCCACGAATCTCTTCTTTTGGTTTGTCGAGGCTCGTAACCCGACGGAAAATCTGACGGTTTGGCTCAATGGCGGCCCTGGCTCAAGCTCCATGTATGGCTTCTTCACAGGAAATGGACCGTGCGCGGTGATTGAGAAGGGCTTGAACAAGTATGACACTGTTGCGAGGGAATGGGGCTGGGACCGCGCCTCCAACATGCTCTTCATCGACCAGGTTCGTGCCCTTCTCGAACGTTGGGAACTCCAAGGTTCATGCTCACATCATATAGCCCAACCAAGTCGGCCTTTCCTACGACCAGCCTACGAACGGCACCATATCAATGCTCAACGGATCGATTGCCGAGCCACCGGTTCCTCAGCATGACTCTCCACCCGATTGGGACTTGGTCAACGGCACATTTAGCACGAACAACGCCAACTCCACCGTCAACACGACACAAGTCGCGGCGATGGCGACATGGCATGTCCTACAAGGCTTTCTTAACACCTTCCCGCGGAATCGGACACGATCTAGCGGTTCGGTGTCAGTCAGCCTCTTCGCAGAGAGCTACGGAGGCACGTATGGGCCAATTTTCGCGGAAACATGGGAGGCACAAAATCAGAAACGGCTAATGGGCACCTTGAGTCGGAACTCGACGCTTGAGGTTCGTCTGAAGTCGTTGGGGATCGTCAACGGGTGTATCGACAGGGTCATCGAAGCACCCATGTACATCAACTTTGCCAACAACAACACATACGGAGTCAAAGCATACACCGACCAGCAGGCCAAATTCTACCTGGACAAGTTTGCGGGACCAGGGGGCTGCAAGGAACTCGGAGCGCAATGCCAGGTCGCGGCCGCTGGCCAGGATCCCACAGGGGCGGGCGACCAAGAGATCGTCAACGACCTGTGCTCTCGAGCGGCGGAGTCGTGCACAGAATTTGAGAACCTATTTTTCGACTCGGACAGGGGCGCGTACGATCTCGCAGCTCCGTCGGCGGATCCGTTCCCACCAATGTATTTCGTCGACTATCTCAACCAGGAGAGCGTCCAGCGCGCAATCGGCTCGCCCATCAACTACACCTCGGCCAGCGACAGCGTCTTCAAGAACTTTGGCAGGACAGGCGATGTTGCTCGGGGTGGTAATATCGGACGCTTGGCGAAGCTTGTCCAGGACGGGGTGCGCGTGGGCCTTATCTACGGCGACCGCGACTACATCTGCAATTGGTTCGGCGGCGAGGCCGTATCGCTGAGCATCGCGCAGCAGGCCGGAGGCGAGTACGCTACCAAATTCCCGGCCGCGGGCTACGCTCCCATCATCGTCAACGACTCGTACGTCGGCGGCGAGGTGCGCCAGTTTGGCAACCTATCGTTCAGTCGCGTCTACCAAGCTGGCCACGCTGTTGCGGCGTACCAGCCCGAGACGGCGTTTCAAGTCTTTGCGCGAATCCTCCTGGGCACGTCGGTGTCAACAGGCAAGGATATAAACCTGAGCACCTATAATACGACGGGTCCGTTGAACTCGACCAAGACAGAGAAGCTGCCGGACAAGTCCAAGCCAACGTGCTTCGTCCGTTCTTTTGAGTCGACATGCGACAAGGATGCCCAGAACCTGGCTGTGAGCGGCAACGGCGTGGTCATCAACGGAATACTGTATAGCAAATCAGAGGACTGGCCCTTGGCCACGCAGACGCCCACGTCTACGACCAAATCGTCCGCTTCGGAGACCATGACGGGCGTCTTCACCGCGACGAAGACGCCAACACCGACAAACGCCGCGGGGGCGCTTTTCAGCTCTAATTTTCCAGTATGGGAGATTTGCGCCTCGCTGTTGGCGTTGCATGCGTTTCTTGGTCTAATATAGGGCACAAGCCTTGGTTATGGCTTGATCACCTTGGGGAAAACATGATATCTGCGGAAGCGACAGCGATATAGCAGTTGTGCATAAGAATTTGGGCATATCGGACTGGCCCGGTATATGACAGGGCGTTGATGGAAATAATTTCTTGGGAAAGATTGGCAAGGAAGCCAATTCAATAGACAGCAACCACGTTACAGGTCGCGCGCTTATAGCCAATGCCCCTCGTTCCTCTTGCTCCCCTTGCCCTTTCCACAGAGTTTCCACACAGCTCGGGATGGCATAATACGTCTGCCGGTCTCGGCAATGTTGAGTGGCCGAGCTCGCCAACTCAGGGGTATCATTTCATCTATCATCAAAGTGCCACATTTCTAGCTATATAGCCCATCACTCCGGCTCGGGTTTCGGCATCCGGCCTCGAACACGTCTTGCACCGCCGACAACCATTGACGCTTCGTCTTCTTCCTCGTCGTCCTCCTCGTCATCTTCGTCCTCATCGAGGTCATTATTGCGCTCAGTCTGCCGCGCGCGCTGGATGCGTCGAAGCATCGGCTCATCGAGGAAAAAGTCTTCCTCAAAGCTTGCACGCGAGAAGGTCTACAGGGTCCAACGTTAGGATACGATTGGCATTCAAGACCGGTATTCAAGACCGGCACACCATCCAGAAACACCGTTGACTCACCTCAGAGCAGCCCGTCTGGGGACATTGTACAACCCCCGTGCGAGGGAGGTAGTCCAGGATGGCGCTCTTCTCGAACGTGTGCTTGCATTTGACGTTGCTGTACGGCTCTTCCATGTCCCGTAATGTCAACGGGCACTTGAAGCTTACGAACTCGCGTGCGACGGCAACATCGTCGTCGTCTTCCTCGCCGGCACCTGCAGTGGCCCTCCGGTTGTTGGTCCCGGGGCGGTCCATGACGGGCTGGCCGTTAGAACGAAACCAGCGAGACGCGTCCGGCAATGGCGCGCCACCGTCTCCCGCAGCGGCGTCGTGCCACAATTTCTTGAAGCCGGCGTAATCGTTGTTCTTGGCGTAGCGCTGGAAGGGCGTGAGCTTGCTGTAATCTGCGTGTTTCCGCGTACGCAGCTCCTTGAGAGTGTTGAGTGTGCTGGGCACGGGCTCCGCCTTGCGATCATCCTCTTCATCGCCGTCTTCGGGGCCGAGGTCAGCGCCGCGACGCTCCTGCGCGGCCGCTGCGATGGCAGCGTGGGACGTCGCAGCGGTAGTGTACAGCTCGCCGAGGATGACGGCCTCGTCCTCGAGCTCGTTTCGCATATCGATGAGGCCGCGAAGGGTCTCTTCGGATTCGCGAGTCACGGCGTCGACTTCATCTTCGAAGGAAGCGAGGTGCTCCTCGAGGCGCTCCTCCTCGGGCGACTTGTCGGTGATGCCCTTCTCGCGGCGGCGCTCGCGAAGGCCCTCGAGCCGCTGTTGCTGGGAGAAGAGACGCTCATGCACATCTCCAACACCAAGACCAAGCCCTCGGATGGACTCCTTGATCTGTGACTCGTAGGGCACAGTTCCGCGGTTGTTCGAGAGTTGGCCGAGAGCACTGCGGGCGGTCTCGTTGAGCGGACATGAGGGCGGCTCGTACGGAGGCAGGTCCGGGACGGCGGAAGCGGCGGCAGCGTTTCCGCGGTTCACCAGACGCGGCATGGCAAACAGCCGGGGGGGGCGCTCAACGAGCTTGGTAGGCGGATTTCACGGCAGATGGGAGACAGGGTGGCTTCGGCAAGGGCCGCAGAACGAAGCAAGTTGCGATGCGAGGTCCAGGTTGGATGGCGTGGTGGGGCAACGCGACAGGACGCGTCCAGGCGTGGAAGTGCCCTCCGGGAACTGCAATTGGCCCGTGCAGGGGCGGGTGCTGTGCCTCTGGGCAGCAGCCTGGGGCAACTCTGGCTGAGGTGCGTCATGGGTGGCAGATGGCAGGGACCATTTCCCCCAACCGCAACCCACGCAAAGCGGACCCCGGCACCTCAGCTCATCGATGCGAGGGCAAGGCATGAATCTTGCTCGCAGGCCTCGTGCCGTGACGTGGCCAAGACATGTCACGAAATTCTGTTGCGACCGAGCTTCAAGTCTGCCATTGTTGCATCCGCACTGCTCGTCACAAAGCACGAGGCTTGAGGCACTACGAGCCGGCTGCATTGCCGTCGTCACAGCTGTCGCACCAAAACGTGACGAGGCTCCCACAGGCGTGATGTCGCACAGAGAGAGGGAGCAGTCGATGGCGATGCCGATGGCGATGCCGACACGATGCGACCCGACGCGATGTTATGTGATGACGCCGCCGGGACATGACGATGCGGCTCCTGCCGAGGCGGCAACGGCTTGAGCCTAGACGGACGGCGTCAATCAGCCCAGGGCAGGGCATGGCAGGGCAGGGAAAGGCAAGGCAGCAAGGGCCAACGGCGCCAACACTCGGACGCCGCAGCCTGAAGTGCCGGTCCATCATTGAGGTTGGCAAAAGCCCGATGCCAGGGATCGGGCGCGATTCGCGACAGAGACGGACAACGACATGCGACATGCAACATGCAATTTCGACCACGGAGCACCCGTCCACGGACGGGCACGGGTTGACGGGGTCTGGACCGGCGGGGGGCCAGACAGAGTGTCGACTTGCTCGCGCGGCCCAGATCGCCGTGGCAGATGACGCGCTCGGCATCGACATCGATCGTCAATCGACGGGCTGGCACCTCTCATCGGCCCAATCCGGACGCCTACCGGGAGCCGTCCGTGCTAGCGCCTCAACCCAGCACGCCCAGCGCCTGGGCCAGGCTGCGCTACCGGCCTAACACTTCGTCGCCTCCAGTCCCTCCAGCGATGTTTCCAACGCCTTGGGCTGACCGGGCTCGTGCTTTCTGCTCGGCTAGGTGCCGGGTCGCGGCCAACAAGACGGTCGTCGGGTGCCCGGGACACCCCCCTGTGCATGGCGCTCCCCGGCGCCGCGGTCCCTGCAGACAAGCAAACCTTGAGTCTGTCCCCGCGTCGCCTCCGATCACCACGGTGGCCTGGCGATGGCCGCGATCTGGCCGCTAACCTTGGCCATCGCCCGTCTTACTCTGCCCATGGCTGGCCGGACCCGCTCGTCCGCACCTAGACCGGCGGCCATGCGTCAAGCAGGCCTGGCTGGCGTGCTGCGTACGTGCCCGTCGCCCCAGCGTCCCGCGAGCTTCACAGGTCGCCGACTACTACGTGCGCCCATCTGCGGCCTCGTTCTAGTCGCCTAGTGGAACCGGTTCACTCGGTACGAAGCATGGCATGGTGGCAGGGGGCGCATGATCGAAGATTCCAAGGTACTACGGACTAATAACTTACCTGCCCACTGCCGTAGCCCTCGCTGGCTGCAGCTAGGCCAGGGCCTCATCGATATCCGCATCCTCATCGACATCCATACATTGCCTCCACTTATACGTGATATCCGCATCGGCTCGGCCTGCGCCTTGATCCCCTGATCCTCGCGGCCCGGATCGACACTCCATACCTCTTCTACCCTCCTTGCTGCCTCTCATTCCGCCTTCTCCTTCTCCATACACACATCACCCGTCCATCCAAACATCCCCCTTCCCTCCCACGCCTACAATCGCGGATACACAGCCATGGCGTCCAAAGCACCACCTCCAATGAACCCCTGGGAGGTCCAGGCCCTGGATGTAAGTCCTCCCCCGTGCTGCACGTATAAGTCACGGCCGTGTGGATGGCATCGCATGATGGAGGCTGCGTGGCTGACGCAAGGTCCGACAGTATCAATTCCCTACCCAGTCTGCCGGTGACAATGACAACGGCGCGGCCGCGGCTCCGCGCGGTAGCTGGCGTGAGCTCGAGGACCCCGTCATCTACCCCGGCCTCTACTCTGCGACCGGATACGACATGATGAGCATTCTGGTAAGCAAGCCACCCGCCATCCCATGCGACTCGTCATTTCCCATCGAGTCCCCTTGCTCCCACCACGCCCCCGGGACCGTTGCCGAGAGAGACCCTGACCCGAGTGGCCCATAGCTGCGCATCATGTGCCGCCCGAATCCTCAGATCGAGCTCGGCGCCGTTGACTGCTCCGTCGCACTGATTCTCTGCAACCTCGACCTTCCCGATCAGCCCATTGTCTACGCTTCCGACTCCTTCTGTGACCTTACCGGCTACTCCATGTCTGAGGTGATTGGCCGCAACTGCCGCTTCCTGCAGACGCCTGGCGGCGTGAAACCGTCCCGCGCCAGCGCTTGCACCGACAAGTCTTCGATTCAGCGCATGCGCAGGGCCATCCGATCCCGCCAAGAGATTCAGCTGAAGGTCAAAAACTTCAAAAAGAACGGCCAGCGCTTCAATAACGCCCTAAGCATCATACCCATCGACCTGGACTCGACCGGGATGCGCTACGCCGTGGGCTTCCAAGTCGAGGTCGATTGAGTCGTCCCATGCCGCAGACGCACTTTCTTTTCCTTTACATGTCTCTCCACGGGTTCCGGCGGCATTTTATTTGATTTAGTCGCCAGCATTGCTTCTAGGCCCATGATACCCAAGCAGCGGCGTTTGGTTCATTTTTCACGCGGGCTGCATTTTGCGACGGCGCAGGCTCTTGGCATGGAGCAGGTCATAGAACCAGTATTATATGCGCCCAAAGGCTTTTGTACTCCTTTTTCCCCCTTACCCTCGCTTTTGACGGCTTGCATTTCTATTTGTGCTTATGAGATACGACCGGGAAAGGGATATAGATGCATAGACCACACGGCTATGAGGCTTCGGTTTAGACATCTGGCATTTTGGGAGGCAACGCGCACCGCGCACCACCATGATCGTGAGCCTAGACTGGTTTCGAGCGACAAATATGTATCATGAATTGATTGACAAGTCTGCTTACTTGACATGGCCATCCACTCATGTATGCATGATAATAAAGAATAAGGTCCGTTCTCTCGTCCTGATCTAGCGATAGCAACTTTTCGACTTGTGATAGCTGATAAACCCGTGAAATGCCCCCAACACCAGCAAAGTAATGTCCCGTCTGTTCCCATCGTTGCTGTCGTTCCCACGATAACCCTGATTCCCCCGGTTGCCCCCATTCCCCTCGTTCCCCCGGTTGCTCTCGTTTCCCCGGTTCCTGTCGTTTCTCCGGTTCCCCTCGTTCCCCCGGTTGCCCCGGTTGCCCCCGTTGCCCACCTTTCCCCCGTTACCTGTCTTCCTCCCGTTTCCTGTCTACCCGCAAATACCTCCCTATATCTGTCTACTCAGTGTCGGTATCTCCAGTCAGATCGACGGCGTACTCCGATCTGACAAACAAACTGCTCTCGTCCGAACGAGGCACAGCGCCGCCGTTGTTGCTGCCATTACCATCATTGCTGCCCATAACAGAGCCAAAAGCTTGAGGCCCGTTCGATGATCCGGAGTGGCTATAAGCCACTGAAGCCTGGTCGAACGAAGGGTCGTGCACGAACAAGGAGTTCTCATGTTCTTCCTTGACCGAACCCGGGGCGTCATGCATGTCCACGTCTCCTGGTTCGTGATTTCCACGGCTGCTGCCAGGAGCATCTTCCATTTCCTCATCACTATCCCCGGTTAAGTCTACCATGACGGCAGAACGCGAGCCAGCCTCCTCGGTGTTTGTTCTGGCGACAGTTCCTGTACGGCTGGAGCCCGAGCCCGAACCGACATTGTCGCCGTCGTCGTCAGAACCGTCATCGTCCGAACCTGATCCCGAACTCGACCCTGAACCTGCGGGTCCACTGCTTCCGCTTCCGTCAGAGCTGGAGCTGGAGCTGTCATCGTCCGATGAGTCGGTGTCGTCTGAAGAATCGGTCAGAACGATGGCGGTGTTGGACGAGGTTCCGTTCGACTGCAACGTGAGCGACGGGGAAGGACGGGCAGGTGCCACGGTGCAAGTACGCCGACCCAATTCTGGGCAGACAGCGCGGAGTGTTTCCCATTGCTCCTCAGAAGGGTCCCAATGGCGATTCAGGGGCGCTAGGCGTCTCAGGGCCGATTTGGCGAGCTCATTGCTCTCCTTTGGCAGCAGAACCACCCGGTTGATGTCGTCCTGGAAGGTTTGGTCCTTGATTGGCGTACGGACTCGTCGTTCAAACCAACGATCCCAGTCGAGGAACTGTACCGACTCCAGGCCTCGAAGAAGTCTGATGTTGTCGATACCCTGCAGGCCGCGCAGATTCCGAGAGAGTCTGACGTTCTCTTGTCCAAGCGTCTTGGCCTGCAGGAAGCGCATCACCTGCCGTGGCTCATAGTTGCGCCTGGTATACATAGAACGCTTGTCCAGGGTATCGCTCACACCCTCCTGCAGGTGAACCACCAAGGTTCTGAGTCTGAGCATCTGAGTGAAATGCATCAGCGGCCTGGTTCGGCGCGAGGTGAATTTTCCCTGATCAGAAATCGGGTATGTCAGCCATTGCGAGCCTGTCCACAGGATCTCGAGATGCTGCAGACGTTGCAGTCTTGCTCCCTGTAATCTCAAGGTCAGCCCACAGAACAAGGCACCCTGGGAATGGGAGAACGAACGATTCCGTTGCAGAAGAAGCCAAATTCGCCAAGAGATGAGAACGCAAACGTGTTCATTCCATAGAAGATGTTGCAGCCGATGAAGTGACAAAATCTCGACGCCTTGAGAGGCGCCAGGAGCACATTCGGTTCGACTGCGGTATGCGTGAGACTCACGGGAGAACTTCCCACGTGAAAGCGATGCAGCCGGCTATACTGCCGAGCTCGTTGCTGTACTGGAGGCTCCTCTTGCGAGTCCAGACGCGTGAGGACATGAACAACTTCACCGGGGAAGTACAGTGCAAAGCGCAGAACGCGAGCAATGATGTTCAGAGGAAGCGGAACGGCCCCTGTGTAATGGGCCTGTGAGGTAAGATATCGGCTCGGTGGGATAATGTCGGCCTCTTGATGCGAAACGAGGACGAGATCGGGATGCACTCTCTGAGGATGAGGAGCCGTGTTGCTTTCTCGACAAGCCAGTTTGTAAACTTTCTCATAGGTACCGAAGCCCACTGTCGGTACTCCGGTATGAAGCTTGTGAAGATGGATCCGCCAGGTCTTCCGTAAAGAGTTAGAACTTGACCTGCATTCATTGAAGCGTTCAAATACTGACTTCTTTAGTACGCCGGGGACGAGGCTGCAAACTCTTCACCAGCTCTTTGAGAGCCTTGATCTGCTCTCGGAGCTCCCGATTCTTGCGTTTCAGATCTTGGACCCGTCCATGATATGCCCGGATGAGCTGCCGTCGGCGGCGTGATTTGTCCTTGATCGTCTCCAGCTCCTGGGTTTGCTCCGGCGTCATCCCTTCGTGGGACACTTCACCTTCCGTATCGCTGGCGAGTAGCTCGGCGATCTCAGAACTGTCGTCGGTGGAAGTATCGCTTTCACTGCCATCGTTGGTATTCTCTCGGTCTTCTTCGACGTCTTCGTCATCAGTGCTGTTCTCCACATTCGCATTGTTCGAAACGTGGGCATTGTTCGAGTCGTTTGCGCCGTTCGTGCCGTTCGTGCCGTTCGTACCGTTCCCATCACCACCGTGATCATCGCCATCGCTCATCGAAGGGTCGACATCGGCCATTTTGGCTCTGACGCGGTTGTTCGATCGTCGGGCAGGCTAGTCGCAGCTTTCAGAACTTAGCGAATCGCACGAGAAGTCTGAGTACATGCAGTCGCAAGTTCGAGGTGATGGAACTCTTCAAGAAGTTGTAGCAGTTCAATGCTGAGCTGAAGATGCAGTGCGAAGGGAAAGTTGGCGAAAGGGAGTTGGGTTGTGGAGAGAGTGGGTGAAAGGAGGGAGAGAGGAGCGGGAGAAGAGAAGAGATGGAGGAACACTGGAGTAGGCAAAGAGGCACTGATTGAAGAAGGGAGAGCAGGAGAGATGGGCGTCAGAAGAGAGAGAGAAACGTACGTCAAGAGAAGGGAAGTAAGAAGAGAAACGTGAGGAGGGAAAGGGAAAGAAGAAAGAGAGAGAGAGAGAGAGAGAAGCCAAAGGGCGAGGTTGTTTAACAGTAGAGAGAGAAGGGAAGTTTCTCAAAAGCTGTGTAGGAGAGGAGGAAGAGAAGAGGAGGTGTTGTATGGGTGAACAATAGGAGAAGAGCAGGAGTTGCTGGGGCTTCGGAAGTTTCAACCCACACCACGCTCTGTTGAGCGCACGACGAATGCAAGCCAGAGCCGAATGATGCGCGCTTCTCAGAGAGTTTCATCAATGTCAATACGATCCCATCGCCATTTTCTCAATGAGGGATATGTTCGTAAGGCCTCATGAGCACAACGTTTACTACGGAGCTACGTCGCGAAATCACCCAAGTCACTGCACCGGCACAACATGCAAGACTTTGGCACAAGTAGTACCTACTCGGCAGCTACTCCGCAGCCGAAGGTCTTCTGGAAGCTTATTAAATAGCAGTACTGTTGCGCCTTTTCTTATATCATGAAGCTATTGGAGAACTGGCGATGACTGTCGCTCAAAGGACCGTGGAGTTGACACGATCGGGCAAACGGATCGACCGTGCATTCAGCTGTGATCCTCAAACAACCCGGAGATTGTCTACTATTGTTTGCAACTATGAATGCCCTCCGCTATTGTCCGCCCCAATGCTGTAAGTGCTCATGATGCCCGCCAGTCAGGCCTGGCCGCCCCGTCTAGCGACGATACTTGCTGCGCTCCTGCAAAGACGTCGACCGCAGGTTGGGGACGGCCTAGCCACTAAATAAAGTTCCCAGGCAGTGTAGCTACAGCAGAGCTTTCATCAGCAGCGGTATACTTGACGCCCCGACGCTTGGCAGCCTCGCTACTTGTCCCCTCAAACCTCTCGTTGCATGTGCCGTCGTTGCTCACACGCATAATTGATACATGATGGCCTGGAAGCCAAGTTAACCGCACAGATTGAGAAATGTGCTTTATTGGAAGAAGCGGCAAGCAAATCCATGTGCGGTTTGAACGACCTTCATGGAGTGATGGTCCACAGCGTTTGAAAGTGGGCGACCAGGTGTATCCTGCCTAACGGCCGAGTATTTCACCTATGCATCGGTGTACATACTACGGATCATAGTCAACGGCTGAACAAGCCTATTTAGGTTCAGCGTACTACACCGAGTGGCTCAGGGCTCAAGAATAGGAGCATTCTTCACTTTTGTGGCGAGGAGTGGTGGCTGCCACAAGCCACTCGGTATGAGCCTGGAAGACCGCCGACGGCGACAGGTTTGGGACGGCTCCTCATCAGTGTGCTTCCTGGCAAGTCAGCAGCTCCGAATACTGTATTATCGAGGGCACCTCATGGGTGACGAGTGCGGTCGTTGGTCTTCACAAGCAAGGCCACCAGGGTGGGTGCGTGACTAGCCAGCAGGGTGCTTGCTATCCTATCTCTCACCTATCACTTCCCGCATCGTGCGTGCGTCCTTAGCGTGGAAGCCGGCGAGTGGTGTTGTGTCCGCAATTGACGCCGCCAACCAGTCGTGTTGGCGGGCTCAATTCTCGAAGTACTGCCGGTCCCGACATTACTGCCTGTTGGTGCCCCCCGGTACCTTATCGTGACTCCGATTGTTGCCTCCAGTCCGACTGCGGCCACGGCTGCCGTTGTTGCTCGCTTCTGCCGCTGGAGCTGGTGCGGGTGGTGGTGCATTGCCGCTGGTGCTTTTGCTGCCGATTGCGACAGCTCCTCTCACTCGTGCCGCCGGTGATGCCATCCCGCAGGCCGAGTTGGCAGTTGTGCTCACAATGCGCGGGCTTTGCGTGATCGGAGGGTGACCACTGCTGCTCAGGTGCGAGCCGATGACGAAAGCCGGGGGCCTGGTGCTGCTGTTGCCATCACGAGGGCCACCCCCTCAAATCACCTGTGACTCGACGCGGTCCCCTTGCTCCACTGGGGAGAGCCCACAGCCCGCTAGCGTCTGTGGGCAGTGAGCCTGCCCAGTGGAGAACCTTGAAGTCACCCAGGCGGGCACGGTCGCACAGCGTCACAGGTACCTCCACTGCCTGCAAGGTCGCAGCGGATGTCGGGTCCTGTGGAGTTGCAGTCATCGGCGCCAGCACCCCTCCTCCTCCCTGTCACCCAGTCCTAGCGGCCGCACCGCACCTCAATGATCAGCCACCTCAGTGCCGCCAACAGCAGCAGCAACCGCGACGCTTTCCTCGCCTCGCCTCGCCTCGCACCGCACGGACAGAGACAGCCCGCTCGCGCATCTGCGTCCTGCACGCATCTTCGGCTCCAGCGAGTCGTCTCGCCTTTCCCTTCCTCCACTTCCCGGCCCTTGCCTCTCCTTCTGCTGTCGTCCTGCATCGGGTCTGCGGCCTTGTGCAGCTTCCCCGTCTGTGGCCCCTCGGCTCCTCCAGTCCGCCATCTCATCAGCCTCAACTGCGGATCCCGCGCAGGCAACCAGCGACCTCCAGACGGTCCACGGACGATACACCCCAGTCTGTTGCCGGTTCCGCGATCCACCCTGGCCATCCATCCATTCACCCTTCGCTCTCAGCCAGCCCAGAGCTGCACACCCCGGACCGCTCGTTGACTGCCGCCTTGTCCTGTCTTGTCCTGTCCTCGGGGTGATGCAGCTTGGGCTCGTCCCCAGCGAACCCATTTCTACACTTTGAATCATCCGCGCACCATTGTTCACCCATCGTCCTTCTCCGCATCGACAACTCATTGCCCAGGGCACTCTGATTTCCATCTCCACGCCTCACCGTCCCTTCCCGTCACCCTTCCGTCCACTACACGTTCGGCTCGACAATGGAAAGGGAAGCCCGGTTCTCCATCAATGTCCCAAACCGTTCCTGATCCGCCCGCCATCCCGTCGCTCCCTGTACCCTCTCCTCGCCCGCCATGCATCAACAAGCTCGTGTGCCGCCGAGGCTCTCCTCGCCGACATCATCGCCTCAGGCGAACCAAAGCCGACCCAACACCGCCAGAGAAGCTGCGCTGGGCTCACGACCGCGAGCAGGCTCCAACGTCTCTGGCAGGGACAGCTTGAGCTCCCCTACCGTCGAAGCGCCCTCATCCCCTAGCCTCCCGGCCGAGTCAATAAAGAAGCTGGACCAGATCGTGCAGGTTCGTGCCTGGAGCCCCCGGAGGCAGGCACCTTGATGTCGAGTTGCTTACGTTGGCCGCAGAACTTCTACGCCAAAGCCGCAGTTCTTGTTCTTGATTCCAGGATAAAAGTAAAGATCACGCGCGGCGCGAATGGCATGCGAAAGCCGAACAAATGGGTACGGCCCCGAGTTGGCAATACGGAAGACCTCGCCGATCAAGTCTAACGTCCCATCCAGTTCCAAATCGAGACCGACGAGATAGACGATTTCCGAGACGAGCTCAAGGTATGGAAGAGCTGCGGTAGTCTCGACAATCAACCTCCACCGATGATAATAGAAGTCTACTTGGACACATCCTCCCTTAAGGAAAGCCAGAGCCTTGTCGTCATTGACGACGATGGCAAGCGATGGGACGTCATGGAACAGCTGAACGCATCAGGACTGTCGAGCAGCAGCAACTCCCCCGTTTCGGCAAGCAAGAACACGCAGGTCATCCTGGAGCGCTGGCGCGTTGAGCTCAAAGCCACTGGCAACAGCCCTTCAGAGGACTTCGGACTGATCCTGCCGACCATCTACAAGAAGGCCATTGTCTTCTTCAGAACCCTATTCCTTACAACCCGTCTGTTGCCTGCATGGAAGTTCGCCAGCCAAAGCGCAGCCAAGAATTCCCACCCGGCGCTGACTCCTCGCTGCCGCATTCGCATGTCTGAGCCGGCCCGATCGACCCCTGACCGCCTAAGGCACTCCATCGATGGTAGGCGAGACCCGGTGACCGAATATATGTTCGGCGATCTCGACGTTCCTGTTGGTCGCCTGAGTGCTTCTGTCACCTATCGAAATGACTGCAGCTTCCGGATCGACGACGCGGAGTCCCTGCTGAGTTCTCGGTTCATGGGAGTTGACGAGAACTTCTTCAAACCGTCACTGCCACAGCATGGAGACCGGTCGCGGGAGGCGAGGGCCGAGGTCGGCTCCCTCCGCGACAATCGTCGAGGTCCCGCCTTAAGTGAGATTCATCAAACATATGGCAGTCTTTCAACCTTCCATGGAGATGGACCCCTTGGTACAAGTCCAATCTCAGCGCTGAGGGCAGTGAAGCCGCCAGGCTCAGACACAAGTTCTCCTCCTGCCTCATTTCCAGCTCATACCGGCATCGACCCTCCCAACTCCTTGCCCATACGCCCATCATCATCTCGGGCCCAGCGGCCAGGTGAAGGACCGGCACGGAGAACATCGGTGTCTTTCCAGCCATTTAAAGCTGGGTCTCTGTCTGGGTCGCCGGTACCGAGGACGTTGGACTCGGAGTCGCCTGCATCTACGCATTCTTTGAGTCGACCGGTTGGCTTGCCCGTCGGATCGCAGCCCAGGAACCGCTCGTCTTTGACGGCGGGCATGCCTGCGTCTCTACGTGGCGGCCCGCCTGCTTCGGGGACAGCCGACGCCCCACTGGTTGGGTCTCCTCGACCTGCATCGACCAGTCGATACAGCAGTAGCTTCACTCACCGCCGCGGACGCCTGTCCATTGGTAGCGCAACCAAGGGCGGTGATGAAGAGCAATCGAGCAGCGGTCGCCAGAGCCTGGCGTCGTCCGTGGCACAGCCCGGGTCGGGCCTTCTGGCGGAGGCAGGACAGGCCAGCTCTGGCTCCATCCAAGCCGAAGAGGATGATATATCGGATTTCCTCAAGGCGTTGGATAGCAAGAAGACGCTCAAGAGCTTTGAGCCTGCGAAGCGTGGCGATTCCGCCACCAATAGGACAGTAGCTCAGTTGTCCAAGTTTCACATGATGAGGGAGTCCAACAATGCTTTGGGGGACTCAATGACATCGTCGATGCAGATGCATCGCTCGTCCAGCTCGTCTAGCAGGCAGCTGACGAGCGTGCCGGGCATGGTTGCCCCAGCCTCTGTGTCGACATCAACGTCCCCGGGCAAGCCAGTATCGCCTCACACACCACACACGCCGGCCATTCCTTCCAGGTTGAGCGAGAATTCCATCATCGACTATAGCACGTCTGGCCGGGTGGTTTCGAGAAGTGGTCGTCGGCAGATCGCTACGGTTCCGGAGCCAAGCAGAGAAAGTACCATCACCCAGGAAGGTACAACGGCCATTGATATCCCGTTGTCACCGCGGCTCGAGTCGTACCAACGGCGATCGAGCTCAGTTGCTCAGCAGACTCGGGCCCTCGTCGACGATGAGGACAATGATCTGGCATTTGCGGCACATCGTAGCATAAGTCTCGGCGCCGATGACCGAGAGCCTCCAACGATGAGCACGCTTCTCGGCAGGCAAATGCAGCTGGAGGACAGCTCGGCAGTGCGAGATGATGTTCCGGCTGGCCTGCAGCCTGCCGCAGAGATACAAGCAACCGACTCGACCGAGGTCATGCAAGGCGGATCTGCGGAGGACAACCCGCCGGATAGCCTGATACCGTCATCGGTTCAATCGAGCTCGCCTTTCCCGCGGCGACGGTACGCCGGTCTGCAAGCAGCGGCTGCGAGGCAGACGCCGCCACAATCATCCCGTGGCAGCTTCACTGGTTCCCTTAGTAGATTGGGCAGAGCTGACGAAGAATCCGAGCCACTTGTATTCGACTTGTCCGAGATGGACGCTCACGGACGACGCAGCCTGGAAGAGGCGAGAGGTGGAAGCGCTTCGGCGTCTGAACAACATGGTACGACGAGACGTGGGTGGGCATGATGTCGCATGTCTTGTTACTGAGGCCGGTGCCCTCCTTTTGAGAGGCACGTGGCAAGCATGTTCCAATATATGGAACGATGGGTGCATCGAGTGCGCGCGACTGACCGCAACTACATGCACCCACTGTGTATTCGACGACTGGATTCGTGGGCATATTTTGTTTGGCGTTCAGGACTCAGGATCGCATTTGGTTGACACAGAATGGTTCATTCACATGACGGGCAAGGCCCAGCCGCTTTACAAATGGTAGGAGTGTGAGGGCTAGGAGTCCTGGAGAGCCACTGGGCCTCCATTGGGGGCTCGTCGTATACTGTACTGGGACAGGAGATGTTGGATTTGCGTCGAGATTGAAGCAGGCATGCAGGCGCTGCGATACGTACTGTGAGGTCAATACAAGTGTCTTGAGGAGAGACTTACCCCATAGCGACCGGTTGTCGTACCCTACTCTATGAACCCTCACAGCCAGGCGTGACGACGACTTTCCGAGGAATTGCGCGGCAGGCAAGGATACTTGCTGCTGTTGTACGTGCGTGTGACGCTGGGCGCGCTCTCGCAGGTGGCGCCGGATGAAGCTCGGGTGCTGGCACCACGTAATCAGTGCAGCGCCGCAGGAGGCGCGGAGGCTGGGTTGCCCCCCGCAGGCGAGCTGATGACGAAGTTCAGCCCGGCTAGTATGACGGATGGCCACCCAATACTGCGGCGGCCAGGCTGCGCTGCTCCCGCATGCCCCTAGGGCGAAGTACATGAACTGAGCAAGGCACCTTGCGTCGCCACCAACCGAGCTGCCTCCACCACGTCGACTCCTCCACTTCCCAAACACGAGGCGGACATCTGTCGCCAGGGATCAAATATCTTCCTTCTTCTTCGAAACGGCTACCCGCATCTCCCGACTCTACGGACTGGGTGCTTGCCTGCGAAGAAGCGAAGCGCCACGACCCCAACGTTGCAGCCTGCCCCGAAGCTATCGCAAGCTCGCCGAATCTCACGTCACGCGTAGCTACCGGCCATGTTTCGCACAGCAGCGACAGGGCCTTTTGACGAGGCCGTCGGTAGGCAACCCCCGAGCTCACCATTCACTATGACCCTTTTCTCACTGCGGCGCAGGCAAGGCGACCGACGAGAACCTCACGTCCGAGGACTGGGGCGCCATCATCGAGGTGTGCGACAAGGTATCGGGCGACCAGAATGGACCCAAGGAGGCCGTCCAGAGCATGATCAAGCGGCTTGCGCACCGCAACGCCAACGTGCAGCTGTACACGCTTGAGGTTCGTTGCCCTGTCGACTCCTTCCAGCGCTTCCTTTGCCCTCCCGGAAACGCCTGTGCGCTCGAAAGGGAGCGATATACGTGCTTGAATGCTGACACTGCTTCGCCAGCTCGCCCACGCCCTGTGCCAGAACTGTGGCAAGCCGATGCACCGCGAAGTCTCGAGCCGCGCCTTCACCGACGCTCTGCTGAAGCTGGCCAACGACCGCAATACCCATACCCAGGTGAAGGCCAAGATTCTCGAGAAGATGAAGGACTGGAGCGACATGTTCAGCAAGGACTCCGAGCTGGGCATCATGTACGATGCGTACTACAGGCTAAAGCAGAGCAACCCGACGCTGCAGGCTCCGAGCGCCCCTCAAAAGCAAGGCCTGACCCAGTCGGATCGTCAGAAGGAGGAGGACGAGCTGCAGATGGCCTTGAAGTTGAGCCTGCAGGAGGAGGAGCGCAAGAAGGCGACACCGGCCGGTTCCAGCTCCCAGCCCGGTCCGAGCGGGCAACAGGATTCGACCCCCGCGCCTCCAGTATCCTCCGGCACGACCGCGGCGACCGTCAGCCGAGTGCGCGCTCTGTACGACTTTGTACCGTCCGAAGCCGGCGAGTTGGAATTCAAAAAGGGCGACGTCATTGCCGTTCTCGAGAGCGTGTACAAGGACTGGTGGCGAGGATCGCTCAAGGGGAAAACTGGCATTTTCCCCCTCAACTATGTCGAGAAGCTGACGGACCCAACGCCGGATGAACTGCAGCGCGAGGCACAGATGGAGGCCGAGGTGTTTGCGGAGATCAAGAACGTGGAAAAGCTCTTGACGCTGCTGAGCGCTTCCAACACAGGGCCTCGCGAGGAGGACAACGAAGAGATCTCGGTATGGTCCCCAGCCTGTGGCGGTACATGGCGCGTCAGGCATGACTAACAAGCAGCAGAAGCTGTATCACCAGACATTGGCGATCCGACCCAAGCTCATCAAGCTTATTGAGAAGTATTCACAGAAGAAGGGTATGGGAACTCTGTCACCGTCACCGACAATTAGTGTATCACTGACACATGATAGACGACTTCACGCAGCTGAATGAAAAGTTCATCAAGGCTCGGAGAGACTACGAGGCTCTCCTCGAATCGTCCATGGCTCACCCACCCCAGCACAACTATCACCAGTATGCCATGCGACCCGCGCCTCCTGGCCAGGGCTATGGCCCAGGCGGCGCTGGCTATCCCGTCCAAGGACAGCCCACTCAGGAACCCCAAGGGTTTTACGGCCAAGGCCCAGCGGGTGGTAAGCATCGATCCTCATGCCGGATTTAGTTGATAGGTTGTTTGCTCACAACGTCGCTCAGATCACCAACAGCAACCACCCTTCCACCAAGCTGCTTCTCCGCCCCCCAACTTCCAGCCTCCGGGCCAACCGCAGGGCACGCCCGCTCCCTTCTACGTCGCCGGCTCTGAAGTCCCGTCGCAACCGCAAGGAGGAGCACCTCAGCAATACCCTCCGAGAGAGCACTCCCCTCGGTTGAACTCCCATGGCAAACAGCCGACCTCGCCGCCGCCCCAAACTTATACCCCCTACTCCCAACCTGCTGCCCAGAGCCAGTCAACCCCTTACGCACAGGCGCCGCCCGGCCAGCAGCGTCCTCAGAGCACCTACGGCGCTCAGGAGCTGGCGACATCTGTCTACGACTCGCCCATCGCGCCTCATAACCCTGGCTTCGCGCCTCAGCATCCCGGCCCAGGATACTCGCAGGAAGACCTTCACGCACCGACTAACCCATACTCGCAGCCGCCTCCGCAGCAACAATACCAGAGCTACAACCCCCCAGACCAGGCACCCCCGCCGGTTCCCACTGGTCAGGCTCCTTCAGCACCCCTCAACTCGTCCATGTCTCCCCCGCCGCTCCAGCCCCATGGCTCAGCTTACGATGCGCGCCACGGGCTGCCCAGCCAGGGTGCCGGCGGCGAGCAGCCGCAGTACAAGCCCTATGTTCCGCCAGGTGACGGCCCCAGTGCCCCGAACCCGAGCGACTACTACCGCTAGGCTCGAGTCTGCTAGGAATTATGAGCAAGTGTGTGCAGGTTGAAACGACTGCTTAGTGCCTTAGGTAGCATGGGGACAAGGAATGGCGCATTTGTCTGCTGTAGATAGCGTAATGTGGTCGGGTTACTTTGCAAAGCCAGCCTTGGGCCTCCGTTTCGGTTGTCATTGAATGCTTAATGTGTACACGAGAATGTCTTCGTTGGTGTCACAGACATGCCAGCGGCGGCCGCGGGCTTGTATCGTTGCCGTGTGTTCTCTATTCTGCGGATCATGTATACCGTTCAGTAGTGAGAACATTTCTTCATCAGCCCGCTTGCGGTATAACAGCCGCCGTTTATGTGCACGCCCTTGTACATGTATAGCCCGTATTGTCAGGCTTCTTTAGTCTAAACCCACACACACCCACAAGACGCCAGCGCTTCTACCAAGTCCCATGATGAATGACCGATCGATCGTACCCGTCCACGCCTCCCTCCGCTAGTCCCACCTGCGGCCATACACGGAGCTCTCCTGCCTCACGGGCTTGCGGCGCAACACGTTCATAGCCTGGCGCGCCTTGCGCCGCTCCTCGGCCTCCGCGCCGTAGTCGCCGTCGTCCTGGCCGTCGTCGTGCTGGTACCCGCCGGGCTTGAAGAGGTCGACAATGTCCTCGAGGGCGAGCTTGAGGCCCTTGCCGCCGTTCTTGGCGCCGCCCTCGATGGTCTGCTCGGCGAGCAGGCGCTTCTTGTTCTGCAGGTCGATGATGCGCTCCTCGACTGTGTCGGCGACTGTGAGCCTGTAAACGGTGACGTCGACGGTCTGCGTGAGGCGATGGACGCGGTCGATGGCCTGCTCCTCGACAAACTGCAATATCTGTTAGCGTCTTTGTTTTCTAGTAAATTCACCACACCAGAACACGTGTGACCTACCGGGTTCCAGAACGGCTCGATGATGACGACCCTCGTCGCCGCCGTCAGGTTCAACCCCAGACTACCGCACTTCAAACTGCACAGCAGGATTCGAACTTTCTTATCCTCGCGCAGTCGTCGGAGGCTCTCCTCGCGGGCGTCGTTCTTCATGCTGCCGTCGTATCTCGTAAACTCGAACCCTTCGTCGTTGAGGAACGGCTCTACCAAGTCGAGCATCGACGTGAACTGGGAGAAGACGATGAACTTGTGCTCCTGCACCTCGGCCTGCAGGATCTTGATGAGTTCCCGTATCTTGGCAGAAGCGACGCCCTTGTCGGACTTTGAGGGCCACGAATGATAAGAGCTGTCTTCAGAGGAGTAGCCGTCGTCGGTGCCATCGGCGTCGGATTCTGAATCGCTTGCTTCGTCCTCAGAGGCAGAAGCGCCATCAGACGTAGCGTTTTGCGACAAGTCTGCAGGCTTTTGGGGCTTATCTTCGAGTGTCTGGGATGCCATCTGCTTTGTCAAGGCTGATACAGACAATAATGAGTCGTCATCCGAGGCTTCGTCGACCGATCGATACCCGTCCTCCTTCTTGGCAGCCTCGTCGTCCACGACAAAGCTGCTGAGGTTGCTCTGGTCCTTGTCGTCAAGCGCCTCGTCCGCGGAGTCCTCGGAGCCCAGCCAATCACCACCGCCTTCGGCGTTCTCATCCTCTTCTCCTCCCGCCTTGCCCAGGTTGAGGGGGCCGCGCTCTGCCTCTCCCACAAGCCAGCTACCTTCGGCCTCGTCCTCGTCATCGCTATCGATGACCGCGTTTCGATTTCGAGGCCGGCGGCGAGCCTGCGGCGGCTTCTTCTCCGTATTCTCATCCGCGTGCTGTCCATCCTTTGCTCCCACCTGCGCCACTTGCTCGCGCTTCGTGGTCTTCGTTTTCTTTTTGCTCTTCTTGGATCTTCTCTTCTTCTTTCCGGATTTTGTATGAGTCTTGAAGTACTCTAAGTCGTCGTGACATTCTGCGCAATTGTCTCGTCCGAGCTCTGTGTCAACAGAGCTAAGTTCCCGACCACAGACGCTGCAACTCTTGGATTCGATGCCCATTCCAGCAAACATATCTGCCATGGCGTCCACGTCTGTGTCTTGGGACTTCTGGCTGGATCCGATGGACATGGCATCTTTGTCCTTTTCTAGCTTGCCTTCCACCAGCTTCGGGTGATTGCATGCTTGGCGAAGACGGAGGAGGAGGGTGAAGGCGTTGGCGTAACTGATTCTTTCCTTCATCATGGCCTCCATCTTCTGGTCGGCCCTAGCTGCCAAACGGTTGTAGAACCGTCGCTCCTGCGGCGTCAATTCTGCCGCGACTGTGACAACATTTCTATTGGTATGTCTGAACCCAGTTGTCGATTCTCCCTCACCAGACGGCTTGCCACCTGGGTTGAGGGCACCGTCCTCTTTGAGAATTTCTTTGGTCCTTCTCTTCATGAAGCACCTTAAGATGCTGTGAAGGCGGCGGATGGCTATGTGGCCCTTGCCGTTCTTTAGAGGAGCGTCAATGTGTTCTTTCCACTGCTTGAGGTTGTCGTATGGAGCAATTCGCAGAAACTTGACAAGTGATTGCAGCTCGTCGAGGTTGTTCTGCATGGGCGTGCCGGACAGACACCATCTGTATTCTGAACGCAAGGCGTAGCACGCCTTGGTGGACTTGGCATTGCGGTTCTTGATGGTGTGTGCCTCATCCAAAACAACTCGCCACCAGTGAAGGCCGAAGCATCCAGCTTTGAGGCCACCTTCGGCGTCGGACGAATGGCCATGTTCCGAAACCAGGATTTGGTACGTCGTGATGACCACATCGTACAAAGCCAAGTCCTTAAAATTCTTCGTCCGTTGCGGCCCATGATGTACCAGAACCTTGAGCCGGTGTGTCTTGGCAACTCTGTCTTTGATCTCCTGCTCCCACTGACGAATGAGAGCTAGTGGAGCCACAACAAGCGTCGTTTTTGATACGCCCTCGAACTGTTTCTTCCAACCGGGCTCGTCCTTCTGGGGTTTCTGTTGAGTCAAAATGACCGAGACTGTTTGCAGCGTCTTGCCGAGACCCATGTCGTCGGCCAGGAGCCCGCCCTTTGGAACCTTGCCTCGCTTGACCGGGCCAAGCTCGCGGCCACGCATCCAGTTGACACCCTCGACCTGATGAGGCAGCAGCTTGACTTTGAGACCGTCTACCGCTCCATCGTCGCCGATGCGAAACTTCTTCGGCTGGTCCGTCTTGGTTGCTTCTGCCGATGCGGGCGATGTCGATGCAGCAGCGGCTGGCTCAGACTGCAGATCCTTGTTCGGCTCCGATGAACTTGGCGTCTCTTCGGCGTCATCCTCATCGTCCATCCCGCCCTCAAGGAGAGCCTTGAGGTCGGAGCTCGCCTTATTCGGATCCGTGTAGAAAACCTCGTCCTCGTAGCTGCTCGTCGCTTTACGGGGCGGGATATTCGAATTGAAGACGGGCAGTGGTGGGGGTTTGCGGTCTTGGTAGCTCGGCTGTCGTGGGCCACTGATCTTGGTACCGCCAAGGTGGTGTTCGGGTCGGCTCTTCTGCTGAATAAAGATGTTCGCCTTCTGCTTACGAGACGACATCATCTTCGTTGGGTGGCCAAATGTCGGGTGGCTTGTCGCTCCGGCCGACGGGTCTCGATATTTACTCTTAATAGAGCCCCAGCCCTTGTGGCTGATCAAGGCCGCAACATCGTCGTCGTCGGGGGACCTTTCGCGTCCCAGCTGGCTCTCTGATGGTTTCTCGATGGTATCGAGAGACTGCAGAGGCGCCTTTGGTGGCGCGCGCTCGTTCACCATGGCGCCGATTTCTCTGAGGGCGCCAGCGTCGATTCCTGTCTTGGAGTCGCGGGATGTCTTGGAAAAGCTGGGTAAGTCCCTGGAGGAGAGGTTGGTCCGGGGCTTAAATGCAAACGCAGCGTCCGGTTTGCCGTCGACGCTGGGGCGGTTGTTGTTCATGGGTCATGGACGTCGTGCAGTTGGCAGTGGGACAATCACTGCATCGTCCGTTGTGTTCACGTTGACGTTGTAGATGACATAATAATTGCCCCAGCAACTGGCGTTGGCGCTGCAGGGACCAACTCGGCCCGGTCACAGCGGGTACAAACAAGGGCACAGCCCCACAGTGCGGTCCCCGCCTCACCACACGTGGGAGAGTCTCGGTCTGCAGCGGGCGTCAAGTACCGGCGCGTACTTCGCGTTTTATGCACAATGACAGTACAACTCCGCCGGAGCGACGCATCGATGGGTTTTGGTATCTCTCGTACTACTACATCTTAATGTAAATTGTTGCAAAGTCGCATTCTTTTTTTTTCTCATGCTCACCAAGGGATACTGCGGAACATGCACCGTAGCCCTTTCACAGCCAACCTCCCTGCCTAGCCGCGCCTCGGTGCCTGCGCATCTCAGGCGCGCTGCCCACAGGTTGTGCGTACCCGCTCACATCAATCGAGCATGTCGCACAGGCAAGCAAACATGCATCTAACCTCCCTGTTGTGTTGAACATGCTTTTGATGCTGGCCGGGCAACAAGCACGAATCCATTGAGCTGCGGAATCACAAATGCCTGTCTCTGCATGTCCTTCTCCCGCGTTTCGCCTCGGCGTATACCAGACAATTCGCAACGCTTGCTGTCTACGCTTAATTCCTCAACCTTGCAGATCGCCTCCGCCCTGTTCCCAAGTCCGCCGTTGGCTCGTCCTCCACCTTTACCTGCTGCTTCTTCTGTTTCTTGGCAGGCGGGCCATCGTTCTCGGGCAAGGCGGGCTTGCGCGCCGTCTTTTTCTTGCGATGCGTTTTGTTGTCGCCATCCCCGTTGGCTTCAAGCTTGACCGGTTCGACCTTCGCAGTAGCCACGACGCGGCCCGACTTCTTCTGGACACCGGGTGCATAGCAGCTCGTCCGTCCGCCGACTGTGATGAAGGCCAGCTTCTCTCCGTTTGGCAGCTTCGCAGAGCTACCTTTGTCGCCTTTACCCCAACGATGGTTGAAGAGCCAGTGCTCCGGAAACTGATCCGAGTCGCCCAGCTTGTCCACCGCTGTTTGACACACATAACGAATGGCTTCGTACAGCTTGGCAATCTCTGCGTCGTCAAAGTCGTCGCAGTACTGCTCCGGATGCAGTTTGGCCTGGTAGAGCGTCTCGTCGGCAACCCAGTTGCCCACGCCGCTGATCATGGTCTGATCCAGCAAGAGAGCTTTGACGGGTACGTGGCGAGACTTCATTTTTCCGCGAAGATACTCCTCAGTGAACACGTCTGTATCAATGACAGGATCCGGTCCATTCTCGACGAGAGGCGAGTGCTTGCGTATATCGGCACCCGGGCAATCGACGAGCCGGACGCGCCCGAATCTTCTGGCGTCGGTAAACGCCACTTCTACGGCGGGCTTTCCTTCTGTCGTCAAGTGGAACTTCCAGAACTTCGGGGGCCATTGCTCGAGGTCGCTGTCCTTCATCTTCTTGTAGTAATTTGTGTATGCCGTCTTCTCGCCCTTAATGTGGACCCAGCCTGTGATAACAATTGTAAGTCGTCTGTGCACAACTCAGACTTAGCGTATGGGTGCTCACCAGTCATCCCAAAATGCATGACAAGATGTGGAGGCTTGTCCAACGTGATCCTATCCGAGGTCAGCGGCGTTCACGAGGCGCACGGCATTGTGGCCTCACCAAAAGTACTTTCCTTGATTCCCCGCCGAAACAACCTGCTGGAATTAGCCCTTGCTTGTGCATTTGCAGACTGTCGTTTGTTCACCTTCTTGCCTTTGAGCGCCGACTCAACGGCCGCGCCACTTGTGCCTACTTTGCCAAAGACATTACCGTCATCAATGGCAGATGCACTGGCAATCTTCTTTCCAACCAGGTGCAGCCGGAGGAAATGCACGATTCGCGCGACTACCAAGCATCAGTCCACGAAGCCAGGAGCAAGGCTGCACCCGCGATAACCATACCTTCTGCTATCTCAGGCATCACGAAATCTGAGGGGGAAAATTTGATAGCAACGGTGGTGAAGGAGAGTGTGAGCGTGCGTCTTCCCAGCAGCTCGCCGCGCCTCTGCCGCGCCCTTCACGCTAATTCCCCAACATCCTGGCACGCCGACGACACGAGACCCCGTGACCTGCTTACGTGAACCCTCGTGCGCTCCACCACACAGGCCCCACACCAGCAGAACATTTTGTTCCCGCCAGCGTTTTCGCAAACTTCTCTTGTCTTTACATCCTCCAGCATCCCGAGCTCAAGGTACGTTTTTTGTCTTGTCGCGCTCCGCATCCTCCTTCCTCCCTTCCTGATGACACCCATAACCGCAAACTAGAGTCTCTGACCAATGGAATGACGACTCAATTTTTACACGTCAGTCTGAAATGTCGACGTCTAGCACGCTCTGCCACATGCACTCGAGCCATTGGAGCTTGTGCTGACTTTTCATCCCAGGTTGTGTGTCCAAGTGGACAATGGCTTCTGCGGTGCGATGCGCCTGACGCCCTTGCTCGCGGACTTGATGTTTCTGCGTCTCCTACCATAGGTACGTTTGTGTTGCGCGTTTGTGTGCCTTCTCCCCATCGGCTCCTGATGATCAATTTCGTAACAATATACGCTGGAAATTACCGGCTGAGTTTTTCTTTGACGACAATAAATGGCTATTTCTGATCGCCCCTTTACTATCTTACTTTGTCCAGCACCTGGGATGGTTCGTTGGCTAACAGTTTGAAAGACCTACAGACAAGGTATGCCAGCATAACGTCCCATCCTCGATGAAAGATCTTGCATGATGAAGCGGCACTGGGCTCCGATATACCAATGAGTTGAGAAGCCATTTTGCGGCAGGCCTAGAAAACCTCGCCCACTGATCCAAGCTCATCACAACACATTTTTCGAAATTGTCGGGAGTTCTTGTCGACTAATACGTCGATCAGTGTCTCGCCAGGCTGTCATGGCGCCGGGAGGAACGCATCGTCGCAGGATGCTGCACAACATCTCGGTAGGTTTGTGCTGCGTGTTTCTCTATGCCTTTTATGATGATACAGATGACGAGTCTTATTCGAGTTTTCGATGCAGACACTATCTTTCTTTACCATTCATGCATTACCTGATTTGGCACACATTCTTCTCGCTTGGCACATGGCTCGATGGTCGGACTGTTGCTAACAAGCTTGAAACAGATTGATTCATGCCCATTGGTTAGTCGCCTGGCATCCCCCAAAACTACGGCCTTGATGATGAACGCGAATGAAAATGACAAGCATATGTCTGAGCTTACGCGACGAAGACAAATCATCCGCATTCTTTTCTGAAATATGGCCATTCACGTTGATGCTACGGAAGCTGCGGTTGGCATGAAGCTAACGCTGTCGAAGTCTGGAACTTGAATTCAAACCGCCTACTGGGTTGCACTGTTCCCCCAATGGTACGTTCTGCTTGCGTCCTGGCCACATTTTCGCTTTACATGATGTACACATATCACGACGGTCAACTTAGCCATATGCATTGATGATATCGCCTGTGACAAGGCACCTTCTCCTGACAATCACTTCTTCTCAAGCAATTTTTGCTGCATCCGCTGGTCATTTGAACGCAGACTGACCTGGAATAGGCTACTAGGAATGTGTCACGCCTCAGGCATACTCTTGTCGGGCCCTGCAGGTAGGTCATAGGTGACATTGGTCAGTCAAGTGACATGGCCTTTCACATGCGTGATGTTGGTGTAGTCAGAACGACTGCCTTTGTCCATCTTGAATACTGGACGAGATGAAGCAACCCCATTTATGGCAAATACAGCTAGTACATGAATCAATGCTTTTAATCTGTTACATATCGGCCACGGCTTTGTTCTGTTGTTCCAAATTCTATAAGTGATCTGTTTGTCTGTTCGTCCGTGGTATCTGTTGTATCATGTTGCAAATGGCACGCGCTTGCGGCGCCTGTTCAATATCACAGTCTGTAATTGGTGTGGTTGGGATGGTGCGCCTGGTGCGCGCCCCGGTCGTGATGAATCATGGGCGCCTGACCAAGACCATCATGGATCTGGCTGCCGTCTGCAGCGAGGTATCTGACATGACGCGTTAGAGCCTGCTTGGAAGCCCGTGGTGGCACAGTGAAGGGGGGGCGGGCTTACTGGCTCGCGACGTCGAGACCAGTGTCGTATTCTCCGATGCCGTGCGAGGTCGGCCAACTGCCGTTGGCCAGCTCTCCCCAGTCTTGTTGGCCGATGGCCGAGTGGTCGTGCTCGAGTTGGCTTGGGTGCTGGGGGTGGTGAAGATGGTGGCCGTGAGGCTGATGCTGCTGCTGATGGTGCTCAAGTGCAGCAGCAGCGCCGGCCGCCTGGTACGGCGAGTACGGGTCGTGGTTGTTGGTGAAGTGGTGGTTCCCGTACGTGATGCAGAGCGTCTGCTGCCCGTCGTCGCCGCCGCCACCCTCGTGCGGGACGACGCGACTGGACGATGGGTTGCCGTAGCGTCCGCTCCCGTAGACGGCCTCAGGAGTCGCGTCGTCCTCGTCGTCCTCGTCAGGCAGCCGCGAGCTGCCGTTGTGGACGACGACCTCTCGACCGCCGTTGCGGTTGTACTTTCGGACGCCCCATTTCGAAAAGTGCTCCATGTAAGAGCGGCGGCTGTATTTTCCCGGTCAGCCACATTCTGCTTGCCCCCGTTTTGTCTTTTTCCGAGCAGCGAGGCGGATTTTGTGCCTTTTTTTCTTCAAGGACAAATGGACGTGTTTGCGTCTCGGCAAGTACCGAGCGCTGCTCAGGCGCTAATTATAGGGACGACCCTCCCCAGCCAGCCAAAGAGTGCGAGGCGCGGGCTGTGGATTTTTGGGGGTGTATAAAAAGCGCGAAGGGGAATGGTCAAGGCAAGGTGTTTTTTAAAAAGAACTTGTTTCTTTGCGTACCAGGCGTGGAAGTTGTGCCTCTGCGTCATGATCTCCATGACTCTGCCGAGCTTGTGCACCTGGTACAACTGCACCATCTCGTCTCGGTGCTTCTCCCACTCCTTCATGGTGATGGTGCGGCGGCGAGTGGTAACTAACTGGTAAGCAGGCGGCGGGCGAGCGGCGGCGGCGGCGGTAGAGGCGGCAAGTAGCGGCGGCAGAAGCAAACAGGCAAGATCAACTAGTAGACTGGCACGCTGGCGTCGTCGTCGTCGTCGTCGTCGTCGTCGTTCTTCTTGTCGCTGTCCTGTCCTTGGTCGGCGCCGTCGTGGTCTCCTGGGGGCGTGGGATGGGACAGCAAAGTGTTCATCCGGTGCTGCTGTCGTTGCTGGTGGTGAGAGCTGCTCTCCGTCTCTGGAGCTGCGGCCAACACTGGTAAGCGACAAGGACCAGCCGTGGAGGCACCAGCAAGGAGGAGATGCGGCCGGGAGGAGGCCATTCGTGGGTTGATCAACCACAACGAAGCGCCGCACACACTCACACACCCTGGGCAGCCTGGGGGCAAGGAAGAGGGCACTCGGGGGGTAAAGAGTAAGAAGAGGAAGAGGGCGTGGACAAGGAAAAAAGATCTAACTAGATGATCGCAGGATCTGGGCCTGCCGGGCTTCCCTCTTCCTATCAATGCTGTTCTCCCACCCCAGGGCAGCGGCGGCGGCAGCGGCTGTCGTCTCGTCAGACATCACCGCCCATCCGTTGCCTCTTTCTTCCCTCCCTCTCGGTCTCTCCAGCACGCCCATCCACGCTCTCTGCCCCCGTTCCCTCCCTAGAGGCAGCCCGGCGCAGCGACAGCTCAACGCAGCCTGGAGAGCCCAGCGTGGGCAGAGCTGCCAGCAGAGCCCAAGAAGGCAACCGACCCCCCGGGCCGCAAGGCGTCCGGCCACAACCCAGTCACCCGTCCCTCCCGCAGCGGGCAACACCACCACCACCACCACCACCACCACCACACCCACACCCACTTGCACGCGGCGGAGGCGCGCTGGCGCTTGATGACGACTTTTCGTCAGAGGGGACCTGGAGGGCAGGGAGGGCGAATGGGGGCAGGGCAGAGCAGGGGAGGGGAGGGAAGAGAGCGAGCGACAGACAGAAAGAGACCCTCACTGGCTGGGTGCCTTGCAGCTCCTCGTGCCTCGCCATTCGCCCAGCGACCGGGACGGGCGCTAAACGGCGGGCCAAATGTGCAGGCTTGGGGAGAAAGAGAGAGCCTGAGCGAGGGAACGGAGAGGAACCAGTTCCGGGGTTTCTTTCTTCTCTTTCCGCGCTCTCTCGCCCGCCCGCCCGCTCGCCCGCTCTCCCTCCCCTCTCACCCGCAATTGCGGAATGAGAAAACCCCCCTCCGGCGAGGTGACCCGACCGCCCCCCGGGGCAGGATCGAGGAGGAGGGGGCTTGTCCGTGGTCACATGGGCGTGCTGCGCGCGCGCAGCGCTGTGGGTAGGTTGCGCGCGCGCATGCGTTGGTTGGGGGCCGGGGCTGGCGTTTATACACTTCTGGGGTGTCGGGGGCCGGGCTTCCTTCCCTCCATCGCGCACGCCCCCCTGCGAGGCGGGCGAGGCGGACGATGAGAGATGATCTGTGTGATGCGAAAATCTACTCCCCCCGGTGTCAGGCGTCGCAAGGAATGGTTTCAAGACGAGGCAATTGGGCATTCACCGCCATGAGGTTTCTGTCGAAGGGTCTGCGAATCGGCTTCCTGGGAAGCCTGATAGCCATCCTGGTACAGCTGTCGCGCAGTTGACAGGGAAGCAAGGTATCTGACATTTCGGTGTATGCGCCGTGGCCCGTTGCGAATGGCGCATGGGTCACCAGCCTCACCGTTCTAGCAAAATTTGATTACTGCATATAGTTATTGTCGTATGTGAAACTCGAATTGAACCGGGCATGTGCTGTGGCCTGGATGCCAACTCATCCCATCACGCCTACGCTTCCAACCCAATCTTGCCACTCCAAGCTCGACGCCCGAATGCTTCATCACCACTCATTCATCAAGTGAGGCAAGAGGCTAACCGTCGCGCGCCTCACTTAAGCCGCCTCGAATTTCTTCTCGGCGGGGACAGCCCCGGCAGCCGGGGCGACAGGCGACGTCGCCGTAGTCGTTGCCGGGGCCGCCTCACCGCCCGTCACACCCGCCTCCTGTGCCTTGTGCTGGTGGGTTGGAGTCTCGGCCACGGGCGAGTTCATCGCCAGCTGGTCCTCAGCCCTTGCCGCCTCGGCCTTCTCGCCCGATGCCGTCCTGGCAACAGGAGACGTCGCCACGGGCGACTCGGGCACGGGGGACGTCGGCTCCGCGGGACCTGTGGCGCCGCACACGGTCTGGATGATCTTGAACCACTTTTGCGCGTCCGCGGCGGTGTGCGCCTTGAACGCCAGCTCCGCGCTGCCTGTGAGCTTGCTGCTGATCGTCTTGCTCCGGTCCTTGCCCTTGATGTTGAACTTGTCGCCGCTGGGGGCTCCGATGACGGCATCGGGCAGATAGATGGAGAGCTCGGGCTTCGGGTCTGCGCGTGTGTCATCCGAGTCCTTGAACTCATGCAAGAACTTGGATGGCGTCACAACGTAGTAACCGGTCGAGTAGCCCCATGAGAGCTTGTTGCGAGACTTGCGCTCCAGCGATCCTTCGATCAGCGGCTTCGTGGCGGCGTGGTCCATGTTAGGGAACTGGATCGCATCGACTGAGCGCGCCGGGTCGTTGGGGTTGGCGAGTCGGTCGGCGCTCCGCTGGGTGAAGTTTGTCCACTCAAAGTCCAGGGGGATGCATTGGACGGTGCCCAGCATGTCGCCGTACAACGCGCGGGTCTTCTCGCCCTGGCCACCGACCAACTGCACAAAGGCTTCCATTCCCTGCTGAAGGACCTGGAGGACGTGTGCCTCGAATGTCTTGAAGTTGTTCTGCACCGAAATGAGGTCGTTCTTGTGGTTGTTCTCGGCAACAACCTGGTTGCTCAGTCTGTGCAAGACACCGCGGTGTACGACATACGGATCGTCGTGTCCGTTTATCTTGCCGCCGGTCGAGTCGAACGAGGCCGTTTGCTGTCCGAGCAGCTCAATGTGCTTCTGCGTCGTATTGCGAAGCTTCTCGAGCTCTTTGGCGCCGCTCTGGGCACCGCTCGAGAGCTCCTTGGCCTTGTGCTTGATCTCCTTGTGCAGGCGCTCGAGGATGGGCAGGACGGAGCCTTTGATGCTCTTCTCGGTCTCGAGGTTGGTGTTGATCATGGCCTGGGTGTTGGAGCGCATGTTTTCGAAGAATCCAGCGATACCGCCGAGGCTCTGGTCGAAGTGGTGGCCCTCGCGGAGGGGGTTTGAGATAGTCTGTCGCACGACTTGTCAGCATGCCACCGGTGCAGCAGTCAAGGGGATTCACAAAAACGTACCTTGAGTGCCTTCTCATATTCCTTGGCGTGGCGGCCGTGGATCTTCTCAATGGCAGTGACATACTCCTCGAGATAGCCGACCGCGTGCTTCCACGCCTGCAGACGCTCGGCGAGCAGTCCAGCCGTCTGCGGATTCGCGCAAACCATCAGCCATCATGCTACTGCTGGGAGGACGCAGGCTTTTGTCCGAGGTTGTCTTACCGTCGTCGGGTCAAAGTCGGGCACCGCATCTTCGGTCTGGGAGCTGAGTCCCGTGGTCGCGCGCGAGGGCAGCGAGGTCGTAGGTGAGGTCGCGGACGCCATGTTCAATTATTGCGCGCGCGGGTATCTCGGGGTCGAGTGAGGGGTGAGGGGAAGCTGAGGCCACGTCGTGGTGGAAAGCAGCGGGTGCTTAACTATCGCTATTCTGGCAACGCGGAGCGAACTGTTAGCGGTGAGGACGTATGAGCGGGACCCTTGCCAAGCAACGCGACACAAGGCCAGAGCCTTTCTCCATGGAAGCGCGATGGGACTGCCCGTCAGTCCCTGTCCTTGACGTCCATCTCAGCTGGGCCCGTGCCAAGCTCGTTGGGTTCAGGGTTGACGCCGAACAGCTCATGATTCCACCCACGTCAACGGCCAAGCATCCCAAGTCACACAGAACATGGAACACGCATGAGAAGCGGGACAGCACAACACTCACAAGTATTAGAAGGGGCTTATCGTGGCAAGAAGCACGCCGTGCTGGAAAACGAGACCGCAGAGAGAGAATTACGAGTGCGTCGCAGTCCGGCAGATCGTGGGCGCTTGGGCAGCTCTTTTTAAATTACCGACTCCGCGGATGGCCGTTCCTCCCTGGGCAGGTACGAGCAAGGTCCGTCACCTCACCTGAACCCTTCCAGCTTCCCCTCGCCCCTCCCGGCCCTCCCTCCTCCCGAAAAATATTGGAGCTCCAGCGGGATGGTCCCTTTGTGACGTCAACCACGGTGGGCCATTGCAGGAAATTCGGCCCCGCCGTGCAGTGGCTGCTGAACGTGCGTGCTAGTGAGTTAGTGAGCCTCTCCTCATTGCTCAGTGTTTCCTAACAGGCGAAGGCGGCCCCTTGCCACACCATTCCTCACTCAGTAGGTATGCGCAAAGACACCACTGGTCGATCGCAAACAAGCTTTCGTTCGAATCAGGGCTGTGCGGCCTGGGGGCCTAGCCGCCTCCGTAGTCATGACGGGATTATTCCTCCACACGGGCAAGTGCGTCAACCCTGATCGTACCGTCACCGGGCTGGGCAACTCATCCCACTCCCAACACAACCTTGTTGCATTATGAGGTATTGACAATTGTATGTATACGCCCCAACGATGCGGTATAAGTATTATCGTACAACTCTATGGCGGCTCCTGCTGCAAACGTCGTGTCGCGTCTCTGATGCTCATCTTCATGTCCTGCCAGCGGACTCTTCTTTCCAATAACCCCAAACATGCAGTATCATAACCCGATCCGTGCGTCCGAGGCGCGTACTTCATATCATCGAAGTAGGGTGGTGGTGTAATCCTCGGGCCGTGCCCAAAACCAATGAGGGCGTATGTGTCGATGCCCCATCAAAGCAACTAACGCCAGTCTGTTCCCAATGCCGTTGACGCCGCCCCCTCCCGCCATGATTAACGTGCTCAAGCTATCCAACTTGGCGCAAAAGAGGAAATGATTGTGTCATCGATCCGGACACAATGCCGAAAACAAGTCGAGGTAAGTGATCGCACCATCTCAGTTTGACATTGTCGGATCAACAGACCGCATGGTGCCGTTGCTGCGCCCCTCGCCAGACCCGTCCTCCGATATAGGTGCAAGCTGCTCAGGGTTGAGATCTGTCGCCGGGGGGGTGCGGGGAGCGCTGAGAGCTGTCAGGTAGTCCGGGACGGGGCCGGTGGTCGTCTGCGTCCGAGACCGCGCCGGCGTTCGGACCGCCGTTGCATAGCTCGGTACCCGGTTGAGCTCCGCGAGCTCGGCCGCGTCCACGTCGACGTGCTCCACCGAATTCCTAGCGCTGTTGTCTTCTTCGCTGTTGCTCCTGGTGAGATTCGCCGAGTGCGGCTCGGATCGCGGGGCGGAGCCATGTGCCCCCGATGTCGGCGACATCCTGCCCGATGCTGAATGCATCGACGTCCAGGAGCTGTTTCGATGTGATGAATCCAGCGAAACGTCCGCAAGACGCGCGGATAGAGCAGTCGGTGCGACCGGGGCACTGTGAGTCATTGCGGCCAGATTGTCTGCGGACCCTGTCCGCGAATGAGCATAGAACGGGCTGCTCACGCCTGACTGGATACCGGGCGTCTGCATGCCAGGGGTCTGGAAGCCCGCGGTGTCGACATCTTCGTATAGCTGGTCGAGGACGTGCTCGCCATAACCAGGCGGTGCAATGGCTCCAGATTCCTGGTCGAGGCTCGGAGCTCCAGGCGCTTGGTTGACCAAATTGCCGTGTTCGTCGAATGGGACGTTGGGAGAAATGAAAATCGATACGGGCAGTGTGGCACGGAGCTGGATCGTTCGGTTAGCATTCTCTGTCAACTCAGGACTACCTCTCGTCGAATGGCTCACCTCCGAGATGTGTCCGTCCGGGTTCTTCAGGGCGACGGTAAGTTTGATTTTGTGTCGAACCTTGATGCCGTGGTGGTTCAGGTCCTGAATGCACTGCCGAAGCCTCTTGGGAAGGCTAAGCGGCTTCACAAGAACCCAACCCTCCTGGCCCGTGTCCTCGATCATGTTTTGCCAGTGCTCCTCGCGGTTGACCTCGAATCGCCATGTCGACACTTCGCGCTCAGTCCTGTGCTCTCGAAGGTTGTAGCCCGACGCCCCTTGAATCCAAGTATCTCTGATCTCCAGCATCTTGGCAGTAATCTCTCCGAGCTCCAATCCCTTCAGCAGTGGCGTAAATCTCATCTCCATGTTGATGGTCCCACCGAAGACAACCGCCTTCTGTGGAATAATGATTGAGTAGTCGACCTTGTCTGGCCAAGTGTTTTCGACGCTCATCGAGTGGAGGAATTCGAGAGCACCGGGTTCCAGCGTCCGGATGATGCGCAGGTGCTTGTAGGCATGCAGGTCGTACGCCAGCTTGCCTCGACCAACGGTGGCCTTGAGGCGATATGTGATGGAGGCTTCGGGGATGCCCTCGACGCTTTCGGCCGTGTCGCCGGGGAGAAGGAACTCGAAAGGGTATTCATAGTTGCCAGCAGGAAGCGTCATGCTCTTCCCATGCGTGCCGACGAACGGCGCCCATCGGTGATCGAGAATCGTCGTCGTCTTGTCGACTTTTTGACCGGACACACCAGGCGTACTTGATTTGTGGTCAGTCCAGCTGTGGAAACGGTAATTGACGTTAGATGAAATGCATGATCAACGCCTAGTTGCGTTGCAGATACAGGACAAGATTGGAACAAGCGGACTCAAGGGCGATAACGTACGATAGTCGCAAGGTCCCCGTTAGACGGAGGCGCACATCCTCAATGCGTAACGACGAGGAGAGGCAAAGGACCACAACACCCTTAAGGAATTGGCCAGACGACTCATGGTCGTTGCCCCGAAAGACGATAATGTCCTGGTCTAGCCTGTGGGCGGCGCAGCCGTGTTAGCATAGCTGTCTCCGAACCGTTGGCCGGATCAGGCGAGTATGATGATGGCGGCAGGGACAAGATAATTGGAGCTTGGGAGACGCACCGAATGTCAAACAGACTGTAGCTGTTGCGCCCCGTCACCGACGAGAACGGCTTGAAGGACGGCATGGTCCAGGGCCGCAGCGGATAGGAGTGGTGAGATTCAGGATTTCCAAACGGTCGCGCGGCTGCTAGGCAAAGCAGCCAAATGGGGGAGGGGAGAGTATGCGGGAGAGCAATCGGGTGACAGGGCGGCGGGAGAGGTGGGCCGGTGATTACTTTTATTCCCACGATGGCATCCCACCAGAGGCTGGCCGGGACTGGGACTGGGATGCAGGCGCCGTCTCCCGGTTGTCTCTTGTCTCGAGGGTTCCCGTTCGTGGATTGCGGTGCCCGATAAGTCGCACCGGTGGGGCGGCCCGTGGATCAAATGTGGGAAGCCGGGCAGTGTCGTGTCGAGCTGCTGGGCGAGGCGTCCGTCTCTGGCGCCGGACAGAAGCACACCAGGCCGGTAGGGCATGCAGCAGGGCAAGGCAAGGGTCCTCGGGGAACGTCAGACGGTGGACCTGCTGTTCATGCTGATGCAACTAGCGATAATACCCAACGCTGCTGCCGACAAGGGTAAGGGTTGCAAGTGAGGAGAACGAGAAGGGCTCCAGTTGATGGGCGCGCTCAAGGTAGAGAGAGGGAGCAAAGCTAATGAACCCAAAGGCGTGAGTCTCGTGGGCCCAGAAGATGCGAAGGGCTCTGGCGAGGACGAGGGCAGGTGGGAGGTTGCGCAATGACGGCCCGAGGATGGACGGGGAAGGCGATGCTTTTGACAGACGTCGACCACTTGGAGAATTTCACAAGCCTGGGCAGGAGCCGATGGACGTCAAGTCACGAGCGGGAGGCAAGGGTCGCAGCCGGTGGAACCGGCCGGGCCAGCGCTTGATTCATCGTCATTGCGCCAGCCAGACCTTCCTTGGGTGGCTTCCAACTGAGCCAGTGGCTGCTTCCAGATGGCAGCTGCGAGTAACTTGGTACCCCGTACGGCCGGCGGGCGCCCGTCCCTTACGTGAGGTGAGGTACCCGTCCCTACCGGATGCGTGCATGTGCACGTTGCGTCGCGATGGAATGCACAGGACCAAGTACATGTACATGCTCGACCGACCCTTTCGAGTGAGTGCACCTGGAAAGCTCCATGTCTCAGCGACGAAATCGGCACCCGGCGCGATAAAACCCGCCAACGGCGCCCGCACCTACTACTCCTCCACGGTCTCGTACCACGAGGCGGACGCCCAAATGGCCGTCAGCGTGAGACACCCTCCGGAACAGCGGGAGCGTCAACCGGCCGTTCCTGGCATGTGCTCATGTGCGTTGCATCCGGGCGACGCTGTGCGATGCATCGACAGGCAAGGCAGGGAAATCTTCAAGGCGGGCCCTGACAGGTGCGCCGCCGCACGCACGGCCTTGACCGAACGCTCGGTGAACCTCGGGTTCTCGTTTCATGAGTCGTGTGGCGATCGAAGCGGCCGGCTGGAATGGAACCTTGGAAGCATTTTTCTGCTTCGCGTGCGCTGCGCGGCTCCGCTTGTCGCTGCCCAAGAGGCGCCCGTAGGGGCCGTAGCGGACCTTCAGGGTGATTACAGTGGGGGGCTGAGGGGCAGCCGATGCCGGTGCGATGGGCGGGCGGCGCTTGGCTCCGGCTCTGGCGCCCGCCGCCGTGAACCTGGAAAATTGTCATGCAGGCCCGGAGGCCAGATAGTAGGTTGGCGATGATGTGCTTCTCCCCAAGGCGGCGGTGCTGTGCCAATGGGTTCCCGCCGGACGGGCGGCAGTCGACTTGGTTGGGCGGCATGCGCGGGCGGGCCTTGCTGCGCCACCTGAAGACGTACTCTGATGCCAATCGACGGCGGCAAGGAGGGTGCATGCATGAAAGCACTGGCGACAAGCGACCGCTCGGCTATCAAGCCACGGCGGGCTGTCAGATTGAAGCCCGGTGCCTGGGCGGCGCCGCCCTGCCGGGCCACCCTCTCTTCATGCACCCGCTGGTGCTGAGTATGTCGCAAACCTGCGCGCTGAAAGCAAGCCAGGCCCGGGACAGAAGTCTACTCTACCTCGAACCTTGTGTGCCATATGCCAAGTGCAGTGCGTGCTAATGCATCATGGTGACGGCTAATAGACGCTCAGCGGTGGGGGTGACCCTGTCCTGGCGCGCTCGTTGTGCTGATGGAAGCATCAGCCAGCCACTCTGGCAGATGCCGCATTGTTCCCGTGCGAGAACATCGAACGATTTACATGTCCCAACCGGGACTGCAGCCCAGTCGCGCCACCCGTGCTTCCTAGGAAGCCTCGGCGCCTTGCCTCGCCACGACGATGCCTCCCTGCCTGCCTTGGGCGGCAAGCATGCTTGGAGCTTCAACGCCAAAGCACTGTAATCATTCCCACTTCACATCGCCAGCACACACGCACGGCACTTGTTGGGCCAGCCGCCACTTTCAACCGCCGTCCCGCACTGGGTCCCGCCGGGCCCGCCTGTCTCTTGGCTTGCACGGTGGACCTGGCGGATGCGATCTGGCAAGTCCCAGCGAGACCCATGCCCCGTCTGTGGATTGCATCATCAACTACGATTGCAGCACCCTGCCCAGCCCAAGGTGCCCCTCTCCTAATATCCCTTTGGCCCTTTGGGCACAGATAAGGGGATCCGACGCGCGCGACTTGAGAACAAAAATTTGCGACATATCGCTCACCGTTTCTTTGTCCGGCTAGGTCCCCCGGTGGTCCCTCCTCGTACAGGACAGTAGTGCAAAATGCTATTTCTTGCCCTTTTCTTCTTTGAGTCATCTTTCACGTCGGCGCGGCGACCGCTGAGAAAAACAGGCTCGAAGGGGTGGGCCGCTGCACGTCGTGAGCTGGCACCCACGGTCGTGAAGGAGCCTCCATGCCTACTCAATGCCCGCTTGGCAAGACTCCTACTTTACCGCCGGTCAGCCAGAGATAAGCAAACCCCTCGATGTTTTGCGCGAAGTAATTCTCCCGCGGTTTCCGCCAGGCGACAGCACGGGACGCGCATGATGTGTCGGACGTAGACCGCGCGGCCGCCGCGCGACCCCCAGGAGCAATGAATGGATGGATGAAGGAGCGGAAAGATGTCCCAACGGCCACGGTCGTACCATTCTCACATGCCAAAACCGCCGCCGTTCTAGAAGCACTCGAGCGCGTGGCAGGCTTCGCCCCTAGCCACTGGCACCCCGAGCGGGCCGGAGTTGATCTTTGGCCGGCCGCACCGACCGATCGTCTACCGCTGCAACAGATGCGACCCTGATGATGCCCAGCGTGCAGCAACAGCTTGGCCATGCTGCCTCACGGCCCACGTGTGCTCCATCGGTCAACGCTTTGTGCTTGTTTCCAAAGCTATCAGTGGGGTGCTGTTATCGGCCACCCGGTTCCACATGCAAGAGAGTCTAACGACGTCGACAGGGATTCAGGGGTCAGGGGCCAAGCCTTCATCAGCCTCACACCGCGGCCGCGTCTGCAGGACGCAAGCCTTCCCGCTGCCTCGTGGAGCCCTGGGAGCCCTTGCGTCTCGGGTGCCGGCAGTGAGACGGCCCATTCTTCCGGCTGGGAGTGCGCTGAGCAGCCAGCAGGACTCTTGGGTACAATGTTCGCACCCATCTTATGTGCAGTCCGAAGTACCACACCGGACCGTGCTCTCAAGGAGTGCAGCAAAATGCGCACCTGCACAGCCGGACGTATGTAAAGCCGGGCTATGCCCGCTTCCTGGGATATCTGACCCTCTCACATGTCACCCGGCATGAGTGCTCCCCGTTTCTGTTGGCTCGCGCGGCGCGGGAATCATGTTCAGTTCCTGCAGATCATCGCGCCACGTACACGGCGGGCGTCATGAACGGCTCCGGCAAATTGAGCCAACCATGTTATAGTCTGAGCGCCCAGTGACGACATCAATTACTGAAGCTGGTATATGCAAGAGGGTTTGCTTGCAAGCAAGTCCACATGATCCATGACTGTACACCATACACAAAATGTTCAACCCAGCATTAGCTAGCGACAACCTTCACACGCCAAAGCACACATCACGCCGTTGCAGCCTGGGCCGCTGCTCCTTTCCCGGGTCTGTTCCACGTCCTGACGTGGCCTGTTCATCCCATGTCAGCGGAGGTGGCTTGCATGTGAAGGCTGCTCGATACCTACCGTTCTTGCAGCTTGTGATGATCGCGTCCTCGGTGAAATCGAGCCAGCAAGCCGGGTGCGTGTCAATGACAGTCGTCTGGTGCAATCATCAGTACAAGGCATCCTTTCCACGAGCAAATGACTCACAAGAACAGGCGGCAGCATGGGGATCCGAGCCCGCGGCTCAACGGGATGGGAAATACCATCCCCGTCTTCGTCTCCGTCCAGGCCAGAGTTGGAGCGCATACGACCGCCGACGGGGCTGGTTGAGTCGACGCGCTGCGGGCCTCCAGGAGGCATTGAGATGGACCCTCGCTGCCGTGTTGCATTCTAAGCCGAGTCAACGTGTGTCTAACGCCACTGTGGGTGCGTGTTTCCCTACCTTCGGCCGGTGCAGCATGCCGACGCCAAAATCCCACAAGCAAAGACGGCCGTCCTCTCCAACGCTGCCAAACCGGTAATTTCGATCATCGCATCGCCAAGGATCGAAAGCCAGGGCGGAGACCCAAGACTGGTGTCCCTGGCACCTCGCAACTAGCCCTGAGTCGGCCACCGACCAGACCGAGATCAGGTCGTCCTGTCCGCCTGTCAAGACATACTTGCCGTCGGGCGTCCAGCAGACACACGTCAGACCGCCGTAGTAAGAGTTGAACAAGTCCAACAACCTAGAAAGCCGTTAGCCTGATTGGTCGGGCGAGCATTGCCAGTGAGCGCAATTAGACTTACTCCTCTCTCAGGTAGTCAATAACCCTGAGTGTGCCATCCTCACAAACCACAGCTAGATGCCGATGGTCGGGAGAGAAAGCAAAAGCATTAATCCTCTGGTTCGACAGCTTCCAAGCGGCAACTGGGTTAGTTTTCTGGTTCTTGGAGTGCACTGATTTCTGGATGAGAATCCTAAGCCCGTGATTCACGCCGTTTGGCGCATCGCCTGCCTCGCTTCCATTGACGCTAGAGCCCTCCTCTTCTGGGTTGAACGGGGCGTCCTCTTTCTCTTTGTCGTAGACAACAAGGGATCCATCCATGTGAGCCGCGAGAAATAGATTCTCCGAGCCTGGAATCCACCTGATCTCGGACACGGGAGTATTGTTGATCGCGCCCTGCTACTTGTTAGCTTGCGCTCCCGGCTGCGAAAGAGAAAGGTGCTCCTACATTCTTGTTCAGTCGGGTATAACGCTGAGAGATGGGTTCCCACCAAATGACTTCGCCTGTCGAGAAACCCATGATAACATCAATGTGCGACGCACTTCGCGTGGTCTTGTTGACGTCATGGCACAAGCAGTGCGCTTTGGTGAACAGAATCTTGGTCAGGTAGTCTTGCTGTTGCGGGGTCAGAACGCGTTGCGCCACGACCACCGTCTGTCTGCAATGCTCACCTTGTTCGAAGACGACAGGTCGATCCACTGAAAGGCGCGGTTGATGTTGGCAAATGCGAAAATGCCGTCGCTTGGTCGGTCCGTGAGCCTTCTGGACAGACTCTCGTTGACGATGACTCGCGAGATGAATGACGAGTTACTCTTGGTGACGTTGTTTTTCGGCTTTCTCTTCTTGTTCACGTCTTTTGTCGGAGTCGGCGTGAGCAATGCGTTGCCTTCGCCGAAAGCCGGAGCCGATCCCAGGGTGATGGAAGCGGTCGGCGCATCGCTCGTCGAGGTACCACGACCATCCTCGCTGCTCATCCCGCCCTCTGTAGAGTAGCGAGACTCGTTGGGATGTTCATGTATGGCCGCCCCTGAGCCTCCCAACGACAGAGTCGATTCCGCTGGGCCCTTGTAGACAAAGGGTGGTGGTCGCTGGTCGAGGCTGATAATGGAGAGCTTCGTACCGGCTGTCGCTGGCTGCGGATTGGTTGCCAGTGGATTCGGGTTCACGATTGGCGCTTCGGAGGGATGTGGAGGAGGCGTCGCAAGATACAAGTCTTCCTTGAGCACATAGGTTCCTGCAGCGCCGTCAGTTCCCACCACTGTCTCGACTGCGCCGGCGCTTCCCCACACTCACCCTCTCCGACGAGGAACTGCCATTCGGGGCCTGTAGGATTCGATATCGTATTGTTCGTCTCGATCATCGGCACGATGCCCGTGAGGCCGCCGGGGTGGTAAGGACCGCCCGCCGGATAGCGCGGCGGCGGCGGTAGGACGCTGGGCTTGTGAGCACGACCGGACGTCCCCAGGCTGCGATTCGAAGGGCCGTACTACTTACAACATCATGAACTGCCTGCAATGGGTCCGCGAGACGGGAGGGGTGTTCGGTGCAGGCGTGCGCCAGTTGCGACGTCGGTGACGGAGGGCCTAGGACGTCGTCGGAGATGGGGGCGGGCCAACGTGCGGGGGCTAGCCGACGGCGACAGGGAACGTGATCGGACGGAACACTCGTGGATCTCGGGACGTGCACGAGGCCGACGAGGAGCGACGAGGTATTAATGCGCAGGCGTCCGCCGGTGTCAACAAGGCCGGTTCGGCATGCGAGCGAGGATTAGGCGAGAGGCAGCAGTGGTTGGCTTGGCCCTGACATGCTTTATCCGGATGAGCTGACGCGAAGACCTGGGGTCGTCGCCGTTACTGTGGGGTAAATGGCGACGGTCCAGAGGGGGATGGCATGGCCCCCAGGCCAGTTGGCGCTGGTGGCTTGCGCGCAGGAACGATTGGACTGGCGCGCATGGCTGAGGCGTCAGGATGTTGCTCGGGCGGGCTGTTGGCCGCGACGAGTCGAGGACGGACCTGCATTCCCACGGCGCTGCCCGGTCAAAGTGTCCGAGGCCTGGCAGAGATCGAGAAGGGGAGAAACGGGCGCAGAGCAATCGATCAATGCGACGTCGCAATGGGCGCCGTACACGTGAGTCGTCCTCCAGGCATGCAAGCGTGGTACTAAGGTATTAAGGTGGGCAGGCCACGGAGGGGACGTTCTAAAGAGACGATCAGATCAACCCGGCGGCCTCTGGCGAGACCACGGGCGCATGTGCAACCGGTGTCTCCCGACCCGAGTCGTCACTTTGCAGTCGAGTTGCAGCAGTGTCCGGGCACGGTTCTCGATCCCGTCGGGTGTCATACCGCTTTTTGTGGCCGGGAAACAACAGCGCCCGCTAATCTGCCACGTTCCATGGCACCCGGGCAATCACCTCAGCACTGCCCGCCCAGAGCACGACGCCCGGATCATCACCCACAGCAGACGGCACCCGACGTCCAGTCCCCTGGACACCTGGGGAGGGGGCCTGAAGCTGCGGCGGGAACACCTCACTGGGCTCCTACCTACTCCGTACATTTTAGCGCCATTGACACAGAGTGGAGGCTTCGGCACGATTTGACCGGCGATCATACCACGGCAGCGCCCAATCCCAACACGGCAGCAATTTAAACCTGGACGAGGCGCCACCTGGGCGGCACCACTCCCGAGCCTCTGGGCCAGCACCGCCAGCTTGTCATCGCAGCTTCTCGTCACTCCGTCACGAAAACCTTGCTTCGAGGGAGCTCCCCACGGCCCGTCTTGCGGAACCGCGACCCGCCACCTACATCTCCAAGGGCCAGTGCAGACGACATGGGCTCTTCTTGAGGACAACCTGCATCTCGCAAACAAGTGCCCGCCGGAGCTGTCACAGCCGAGCGCGCATCATGGCTACAGGTACGGCCCATCTGATCCCGCCGCGCCGACGGCCCAGCGTCCCTTTTGTGCATCCCTGGACCCCCTGACTTCGTCGCTGCGTCCTCTGCTCATTGATTAACGTTCGCTCCTCAAGTGCGCGTCTGCGTATGCGGCGACGAGAGCACAGGCAAGTCGAGCCTGATAGCGTCTCTCGTCAAGGACCAGTTCATGAGCAACAAGATCCAGCCGGTGCTTCCCCAGATCACCATCCCGCCCAGCATAGGCACGCCCGAAAATGTCACGACGACGATTGTCGATACGTCCGCCCGCCCTCAAGACCGGACGACGCTACGAAAGGAGATTCGGAAGTGCAACGTCATCCTCCTCGTATACGCAGACCACTACAGCTACGAGCGCGTTGCCTTGTTCTGGATGCCCTACTTCCGCTCTCTCGGTGTAAATGTCCCCGTCGTCCTATGCGCCAATAAGTCCGATCTTGCCGGGCAGGGAAACACCCCGCAGGTTGTCGAGGAAGAGATGCTCCCTGTCATGGCCGAGTTCCGAGAGATCGATTCGTGCATCCGCACCAGCGCCCGCGAGCACAAGAACGTCAACGAAGTCTTCTTCCTGTGTCAGAAGGCGGTGACGCATCCCATCGCGCCTCTGTTTGACTATAAGGAAGGCCACCTCAAGCCCGCTTGCGTCGCCGCGCTGAAACGGGTCTTCTTCCTCTGCGACAAGGACCAGGACGGCTATCTGAACGACCAGGAGATGCGCGACTTCCAGGCTCGCTGCTTCGACAAGCCTCTGACAAGCGATGACCTCGACAATATCAAGCTTTCCATTTCCAAGTCTCTGCCGAACACAACCATGGAGAGGGGCATCGACCAGGCCGGCTTCTTGCAGCTCAACAAGATATACGCGGAGAAGGGCCGCCACGAGACGATTTGGATCATCCTTCGCAAGTATCACTACACGGACAGCTTAAGCTTAGAGGACAGATTCCTCCACCCCAAGTTTGAGGTCCCTGAGTTCTCATCTGCGGAGCTCAGCCCAGCTGGATATCGCTTCTTTGTCGACATGTTCTTACTGTTTGACAAGGACAACGACGGGGGCTTGAACGATGACGAGCTGGAGGCCCTATTCTCACCGACTCCAGGCCTGCCCGCATCGTGGATCGACTCATCGTTCCCTTCCTCGACGGTGCGCAATGAGGCTGGTCATATTACCTTGCAGGGGTGGTTGGCGCAGTGGAGCATGACGACGTTCCTCGAGCCAAAGACCACTATAGAGTACCTCGCCTACCTGGGGTTCGAGCCACCGAACCCCAAAGACTCTATCACCGCTGCGCTGAAAATCACAAAATCCCGCAAGAGGAGAAGACGGCCCGGTCGCGTGGAGCGGAATGTTGTCCTTTGCTATCTGATCGGTGCCTCGGGAGCCGGAAAGTCTTCGCTTCTCGATTCGTTCCTCAACCGACCCTTTGACGGACTGTATCATCCGACTATCAAGCCCCGTCGCGCCGTCAACAGCGTCGAGCTCCCCGGCGGCAAGCAAGTGTATCTCATTTTCGAAGAGCTTGGCGAACACGAGGCGGCGGTCCTCGAGAATCAGTCCAGGCTGGAGTCGTGCGATCTAATTTGCTACGCTTACGACTCATCCGATCCGGACTCGTTCTCTCACATCGTGGACATGCGCACCAAGCATCCCCACCTCGACGACCTACCGTCGGTGTACACGGCGCTCAAGGCAGACAAGGACAAGACAACCCAGCGCAGCGAGCTCCAACCTGACCAGTACGCTGCTTCCCTCAGCATGAACCACCCGCTCCATGTTAGCGTCACCTGGAACAGCATCAGCGAGCTCTTCGTCGCTCTCGCTGAGACGGCCACGAACCCTAGCCTCGGCTTTCCCAAGACCGAGGAAGAGGCCCCCGACCGCACAAGTCTGTACATGGCGCTGGGTGCGACAGCATGCGCCGCCATCGCTGCCGTAATGATCTGGCGGCGATCGACCAACGCCGCCTGAAAGCCGCAACAGCCTTCCAACCTCCTCCACTCTTGAGACTGACCCGCGTGTTGCCGCGTTACTGAATTCTCACGGCCCATGAAATACCCCCTCCCTTGTTAATTAGTCACGCTTGTATTGTCTCTTGTGCGTTACGAATGTCATGTGTTCAGGTCGTGGCAGAGACGGGTGGTGGTTCAAGTGCTCGCATGGGATGGAGTTGTCGTCCGCCTTTTATGATACCCAACTCCTCAAACTCGTGCCGCGTCGTTCAGTATAGCGCAAATTAATAACGACTAGGCTAGCGAAGACTTTTTCAGAATTCAGTCTTTTGGAAATTGATCGGCTCGTCTCTCGCTATATGATGGTACACTTGCCCCCTGATGGCGGGGGTATGAAACCGCTGTCTCCCTTTTCCGTACACCCATTAGACCTTGTAGAAGCAGAAACCAATGTAGAAGCTGGCCGCCTCCATCTCCTCGTCTGACACGAGCAACGGGCCGCCTCCCCTCTCCCGCACGCCCATCCGCTCGCTCAGCGGGCCCAGCTCCGGGTCGTCCTTCTCTGCCTCCCAGATCTCGGGGAACGTGCGGTGGAACTGCAGCTCGAGGTTGAAATCCTCGGCAAGCGCGCGGAAGGCCTCCCAGGGAACCACGTACTCGGGCACCTCCTCGACAGCCTCGTCGAGGAAGAAATTGTACTTCCAGCCGAACGCAGGTCGGAACACGCCGTCCTCGGGCGTCTTGCCGGGGAAGCGGACGCGATAGATGGAATTGCCCCACTCAGCTGTAGGCTCAGCTTCGCCCTCCTCCAGCTCTCCGTCCTCAGGCTCAGCCGGGGGAGGTGTTCCCGTAGGTGTGGTCGTCTCGCCGTCCTTGGGCTTCTCCTCGCCGTTCTCTTTGGCCTTGTCTTTGGCGGCGTGCTTCTCGTTGAACCTGCGAACGTGCTCGCCGAGCACATCAGAGTTTGGGATGCAGCCGATGAAGCGGCCGCCTTTCTTGAGAGCGCCGGCGACGTTCCGCAGCATGGTGCGGGCGTTCTTCTCCGACTCGAAAGCGTAGTGCATCGAGAACATCATGCTGACGACGTCGAAGCCGCGACGGTTCATGGGCGAAGGGTCGAAGCCGACCTGTCGGATGATTTCGACGTCCTCTATGCTCTCTCCATAGCAGTCCTTGACTTGGAATCTGGCGTCAAACAGACGCGATGGTCGCCCACCTCGGAATCCACCTCGACCGCCTCGACCGCCCCGGGAGCTCAGGTTCCGGTATCGGTCTCTTGCTTGCTCGATACTGACATCGGCGGGATCGAGGCCGACGTACAGCTCAATAGGCTGAGGCGCCTGCTGCCACTTATTCAGATCGCCGCCCTTGCCGCATCCAATGTCGAGCACCAAGAGGTCCTTGCCGGAGGACCGGCCCATCTCGCGGGAACCGGGCGTGTGGTCTTCATCGGGCGAGTAGCGCTGGATGATGCAGCTCTTGATCCAGTTATTGAAGACGCGCAATCCCTTGATCTTGCTATCCCTCGTCCGCCAATCACGTCCTCGCTCAGGGACGCTGTTGTAGTGTTGTCTCACAACATCGTGTACGCCTCGCACGCGGTTCTGCTCGACGGCAGCAGCTTCGGTCGCGGCGGCGGCACGCTCGCGCTCTATCTGGCGCTGGCGAATGGCCTCTCGCTCGGCCTCGGAGAAGCGGGCGCGGGCACCGGGGCGCTTCTGCTTGCGCGGCTGCTCGGACGGCGAAAGCTGGCGGCGCTTGGCGGCCTGGAGCGAGTTCGCGTTGTAGGGCTGGGGCAGGTCGTCCTGGACGTCATCTTCGGCGGGTCGCTTGTTGTTCTTTTTGGAGTCGCGCTCCGAGAGCGACACGGAAACGGGGCCATTCTCGCGGTCCGACATGGTGGGCGTGTCTGTGCGGCAGTTTTGACTGCGGCGCAACTTTTGGGTGTGTTCTTGGTGAAGGGCGAGGGTGAAGTCGGAGCTGAGAAGTTGCGAGTGGCTGCTGACAGTAGCGGGAGTTGGTCGTGCCGCACTGTGGGGCCCTCCGTTTTGTGGGCGAACAAAGGTGATTTAACAACAGTGGCGTACCAGAGTGTTCGTGGCCGTCCCCCCAATGTGCGCCTTGATGATGCTGTTTTCCGATTGGGGGCATGCGACGGAGTAACTGGTAAATATCAGATGGTGCGGTGCTTTTTATATTGGCACGTGTTACGAAGTATTTGCAGCCCGACCTCCGAATCGAACAGATCAATGCTTTGGCAGTCCGTCTCAGCTGGCGCTGTGCTTCGTTGGGTCGTTTCAAGACCCCGGACCACAATGAACCGACCAATGCTCAAGCGAATCGTGCCGACCAAACTGAAATCCGGATATGGGGCTGACAAGGTCAGACTATATGATCATTATGAACAGAGTGTGACTTCTTGAGATTTGCGTCGGGTAGAAAATCCGCACTCTCGCATGTACTGAGCCACTGACAGAGCACAACGCCGTCTGTGGTACTGATGGAAACTGGTCAGGTTTCTGGCAGATTGACGAATGAGCCCAACTCCAGGCTCTTTCCTTAATAGTCAGGATCTCTCTAGATGCCCCCCGCATTAGGTATACCGGCCTGATGCTATCGAAAGACACATGATACTCGGTAGAAAGGGCAGGTACAGGGTAGGCTAGATGCGCTGCTGCCGCGTGTTGTGGCAGCCTTGCTCGGACCCAGCCCAGCAGCTCCACCTTCGCAGCCAGTGGCCGCGAACCAGCGAGCTCCCTCCAGCTTCTCGTCATCACCTCTGTCCTCCATCCACCGCATCCACCACGACCGCACCTTGCAAGATTTCTCCCATCGCATATATCGACGCAGTCGCCGTTCCTCCGAAGCCGCATTAGCCGCAGCTCGGACGTTGCCACGATGGGATCCGACCCTCAATACGCCAAGTGGCCCCTGCTGCCGCTCTCGCAGCACGTCTTCACCCTCAGCAATGCCTACGCTACCCGGACGGCCCAGCAGGCCGCCGTCAAGGCCCTGCAAGACGCCATCGCCGAGGACAAGATGGCACCGTTCTACAGATACCTCGCGCACCCCATCGACGGCATCCTCAACACGTTCGGCGAGGGCGGTGCGTCGGGCCCGGGCAAGCCTCTGAGCAGGAAATCCAGCCTCGTCGGCATGGTGGCCACCAAGACGTCCAACACCAGCATCAGCTTGCCCTGGGACGAGGCGCTCTACGCAAAGCTGAAGGAGGACAACGATAAAGAGCTGGAGCAGTTTCAAAAGGAGGAAGATGAGGCTGTTGAGCAGGCTGGTGACACCGAGGTCATCGCTGCCAAGGGCAAGCGAGCGGAGTTCTGGGCACGTGTGGGCGACAAGGTACGACATCTGATGGATTTAAAGCGACGGAGATGCTGACTAGTTTACAGGACAAGGCGATTGCAGCATACGAGGACGTCTACGAGAAGACGGGCATCCTGGGCACCAAGATCGACCTCGTCCTGGCCATAATACGCATGGGCCTCTTCTATGGCGACAAGCCCCTTGTCAAGAAGCACGTCGAGCGGGCAAAGACGCTCGTCGAGTCGGGAGGTGACTGGGATCGTCGCAACCGTCTCAAGGCCTACGAGGGCCTCCACCTCATCACAGTCCGCTCCTATAACCTCGCCGCACCGCTCCTGCTCGACTCCCTCTCCACATTCACCAGCTACGAACTCTGCACCTACTCTAGCCTCGTGGTGTACTCGGTGCTGGCCGGCTCCGTTTCCTTGAAGCGGGTCGACTTCAAGTCCAAGGTCGTCGATGCGCCAGAGATCAAGGCCATCATGGGAGACGGAGAGGATAAGCTCCTGGCCCTCAGCGGCGCGCTGAGTGCCGGGCCCGGCGCCGATGATACCACCGGCGACCAAGCGCCCCAGGCGGCCACCTCCAAGGCCGTCAACCTGACCACCCTGGGCTCCAGCACAGAGCAGCCCGAGGCCGAGATGGCCATCGACTTCAGCCCTCTCGCCCTGCTGGTCAGCAGCCTCTACAACGGCAACTACAAGACCTTCTTCAAGTCTCTCGCCGACGTCGAGGAGCAGTTCCTTAACCAGGACCGCTACCTCCACGAGCACAAGAACTGGTTCATCCGCGAGATGCGCCTGCGGGCGTACCAGCAGCTGCTGCAGAGCTACCGCGTTGTTGGCCTCGAGAGCATGGCCAACGACTTTGGCGTCACCGTCGACTTCCTCGACCGGTAAGTCCTACTGCGCCACGCACCTTTATGTGTTTGAACAAGTGTAGCTGACAGGCGTTTATAGTGATCTTGCTCGCTTCATCGCCGCCGGTCGCATCCCCTGCACCATCGACCGCGTCTCCGGGAAGGGTGTCATTGAGACGAACCGACCCGACGACAAGAACAAGCAGTACCAGGATGTCGTTCGCCAGGGTGACCAGCTGATTACGAAGCTGCAGAAGTACGGTCAGGCCGTGCGGTTGAGGGGCAGTGAACGGGCATAGACTGGCGGAGTACAGGCGAACGGGGCGATGATGCGAACAAGGGAATGCAGACATGCGCGGGGCCAGTCGCGCAGACTCATGTGCCATTACCGGGTGTATTATACGAGGTACTTAGAGGAACCTGTTTCCTTGCCGGCGCAATAGAACGTCGAGAGTGGAAACACACGATATCACGCCGTGGAATGCTCATGGTGAACGAAAAGGTGCCTGAGCTCTGATGTCTCTGCGGCTTTATTCATTTGTCTACCATTGACTCACTGGCCTGGTGGTACCCATCTTCCAAGCGACGCATACCCATGTTCTATGCTGAAAGTGCGCGCGTTTTTAAAACAATGCCATCGTCTAGACCTTCCCTCACCCAAGTGACAGACATCGGTTTACCTGTACTTGTCCATAAAGTCTTGGTGGAACTTGACGATGCTGCCCACCCACTCCGTGCCGGGCGCCAGGAACGTCGTGCGGAAATGCAGGGTGCCCTCGGCCTGTCCGAAGCCAGATCCGGGAATGACGCAGATGCCGGTGGCCTCGAGGAGCTGCATGGCGTAAAGCTCGTCGGGCTGGCGGCCCTCGGCGGCGGCCGCGTCGACGGCCTTCTTGGGGAGGCGGATGGTGGGGAAGAGGTACATGGCGCCTTGGGGCTCCGCGCACTCAACGCCCTCCATCTGGGAAAAGGCCTTGTGCAGGGCGGTGGCGCGCTCGCGGAGACCCTCGTGGATCCCGGTGTACTCCTTGTTGTACAGCTCGTACGAGGGCTCACCCTGCTTGGGAGGGTTGACCATGAGCTCGACGAGGCACTGGCCGATGACGGGCGCACAGAGCATGATGGAGACGAACTTGTAGATGTTGGCCTCGACCTCGGGGTTGAAGCCAACAAGCTCGAAGTAGCCGCCGCGGTGACCGCACTCGCCAACCATGCCCTTGGAGATGCTGTGGAGTGAAGCAAGTTCCAAGGAGTCATACTTGCCGGGGTTCTCCTTTTGCATCTGGCGCAGGACACCCTTGAAGCTGTGGAACTTGCCCACGAAGACGTTGGTCTGGTACACCTCGTCGGCCATGACGACCAGGTTCTCCTGGGCGGCGAAGTCGAGGACGGCGCGGACATCCTCCTCGGACAGAGAGGCGCCGGTGGGGTTGCCGGGGTTGATGATGACGATGCAGCGGACGTCGATGCCCTCGGCCTTGGCCTTCTCGTAGGACTTCTTGATGGTGTCGAGGTCGGTGCCCCAGGCCTTGGACTCGTCCAGGTTGTACGGGACGCAGGTGGCGTTGAGGAGCGCGAGCGTGGCGGTGTAGAGGGGGTATTGAGGAATGGGGATCAGGATGCCGGTGGACTTGTCGGCGCTGATGACGTTGAGGAGGGTGTTGACACCAGACGAGGCGCCGGCGGAGAGGTAGATGTGAGCAGGGTCGGCGGGGAACCCATCGCGGCCTGTACATGGCATTGGTCAGAGATGCGCGAGGCAAGCAACAGCGAGACGTCTTGGGGAGGGAACCCACGTTCGAGGAACTTGGCAATGCTCTCCTTGATGGCGGGCACGCCCGTGCTGGCGCTGTAGGCGCCCACGGAGCCGACCTGCTTGAGCAGCCACTTGGCGCGCTCAATGACGTCGGTCTTGTAGCCGAGGCCGTTGATCAGGACATCCTCGTTCTTGAGCAGCTCCGGGTTCTCGAGCAGGCTGCAGACCTGGCGGAAGAAGGTGATGGGCTTCTGGTCGAGCTGCTGCGGGTTGCCGATGTTTGCCGAGATGACCTGCTCGAACGGGAGGCTGTCGTCGCCCTTGCCCAGGCGCGCGCGGAACTCCTCCGACTTGACGGCGAGCTCGCCGCGCACCGCGTACTCGGCCCGCCGGACATTGGGGTTGATGTTGTCGACGGTGAGTCTCGTCATGGTGGAGGTGAGGCGGTGTTGCTGCTGCAGGTGGTGGAGGTGAAGCTGGCGATGCGACAGCGGGCGGTGGAGGGGTCGAGTGGTAGTTTTTGGCGGGGCAGAGACGCTGCTGCTAACCAGAGCGGAAAGGCGTCGGGGGCAAACGCGGGCGGCTTCTGTGTAAGAAAAAAAGCCCCGAGCGTCGAGTCAGTCAGAAAGTCCAAATGTCCGTCTTGCGCTCAACAAGAGTGGAACAAAAAGATAAAAAATGTCACGACTGAGAAATGACGAGGCAATAAATCGAAGGGGTAGCAGCGGTTTTGTAATGCTAGCGGGAAATCGGACACAAGCCACAAGGATGCCGTGCGGGAAGAGCAGGAAGAGGACGACCCCGTGGGTGGTCTGAACGCGGAGTCTCTTACACAACGAGATCCACGACGGGCAGGCACGAGACGGGGCGAGCGCTTCCAGAAGCCCCGTACCTAGTACACAAGAGGAGGGATCTGTAGTGTAGGGCGCCAACAACAAGAGACGAATGGAGGAGGGGTAGGCAGCAGGGGGAGGGATCTTTCCTCGACAGGCGATGTGCAGTCCGAGTCGGCGACGATGAGTCGAGCGCCGTCTCGATGACATGCCATGCCACGACAGCCGTAGGGGTCTTCCATGCTGCCGGATGCCCGCCCCTGCCGCACTCGCAGCGTCCTTGGGGCCCGAAACGTGGAGTTCCGGGGCTGGGGGGGCAAAGTCGCCGCCTGGGTAGGGGCGGCAAGGCGCGGCGCACCGCCTGTCGCGCTGCCTCGCAAGCGTTCGGGTGCATCCGAGACCGGGGCCGCCCGGACGAGCAACAGCAGCGGCAGCATCAGCAGCAAAGGTATCATCGTCATCGATCAATCAGACCAAGCAGTTGCTTGCCGTAGCGAATGACCGATGCGTGACCTCTTTTGTCTGCGCCGCACCCTGCAACGTCAAAGCTGCCCTGCTTCGGAAACGGCGGCGCTCCCAAATGCCACCCGCTGACGGGCTGCATCGTCGCGGTCCGACGTTGAAAGAAAATGCGCAGCAAGCTCTTCTCTCACCTTGACCGGTCAGCCCTGTTCCCGCCAGCCTGGTGGCCAGCGGCCTGGTCCTCGTCGCAAACCTCATTGCGACAGAGGCAAAACGTTCCGACGATGCGCGCCGTCTCGAGTCGAACAAATGAACCTGTCGCCGGATGTGCTGTGACGACCCCGCGCAAAAGGTCGGCGAGAGGGGATGGCAGCCCAGCGACTTTTTGTTGTGAGAAGGCGTGCCGCGCCGTTGGGGCAAAGGACTGTGTGGTCTATCTCCAGGGTCTGCCCCCTTTCTGCGGCCCATTAGGTCAACTACGACAGAGAGGATTTGGCGGGCTTCGATACACAGAAACACCGTAGTTGGGCCACCGGTCCATCGCTTGAATCTTGACGCTTTATTCGTATTGACTGCGGCATGCATTTGCGTCAAAATTATGTGAACCCATCTAGCAACCCGCTGGCAATTCCAAGGACCCTGATCGCAAGAGCGCGCCTCACAAAGTCTGCGGGCACTCTGCAGTGCGACTTGGTGATGCCGCACTGCAGGCCCTCGCTCACCTGGAACCGTCTCACCGGCAATCGGCCAGTGAAGCCCCAGCGCCCTGTCAGCCCGTTATCGGCTCCACGCCGCCACCCCTGTCGGTTCCCTCCGCCAGTGCCCACCTCGGCCGCCGGCGCCACCTTTCCCCGAAGAGCTCGCCGCGTCCCGTCTGTCCCCGAAATTTTGCCAAAGCGCCGACGCATCGACGACATCAAGCTCCCTCCGGACCCGACAACCGCCCGCAAGGCACCCGACTGCAGCCATGGCCAAGAAAGGTGAGCTGATGTTCCCCTCTTCCCCATGCGATGTGCCTCGGACACGTCGAGCACTCGGCTAACGCAATGGATCTGCACAGCCAAGGCTCGCCTGATCAATGTTCGCCTGATCTCCATGGCCATGACCGGCTTCTTCTACACCTTCAAGCGCCCTCGGACATCACCAATGATGGGCATGCTGAAGTACGACCCGATTGGTATGTCTGAGCCTCGCCAGAAAGCCCCATGGCAGCAATTGACGTTCTTCAACGCAGTCCGTAAGAAGGTCCTATTCCTCGAGACGAAGAAGAGGTCCAAATAAGGCACGCCTGTTGTCCTCGGACTTCGACAACGACGACGACGACTACGCACAGCTGCCCTCGAGTGAATCGCAAACTACGCGACGCTGCGGACCGGCGTGTAACATCTACTGTACATCAAAATCTTGGGCATATCTGGAGTTAGGGAGCTTTGCATGACGCCGGCGGGTCGAGGCACGATGCCTCCGCCCGCCAACATGATTCGGGAAATACCTGGCACACAGCTCAGTAGATTTGTTGCCAAAATGTTCTTCTCAGATGGGTAGCAAATCGAGCAAGAATAGCTACAAATTCGCTGTGACATGTTCCGGGGCCTTCCGGCGAATCCCCTGTGCGACGCACCACTTCCGCTTCGCGCCACATATCGCGTTCTCCGGTACGATAGCTCAGCCATGAGAGGCGTCAATATCAGTGAAGGACAAGTCCGACACGATCCTCACTCTCTTCATCAACTCTGGCATCTCGTCTGGTTCCTTCCTGTGACGCTTACTGCCAGCCTTTGTGATCCAGCGTTTGTCGAGCATCGGGTTCTCCCTTTCGAAAGTGGCGATGGTCGGGAGAGAGGAAACGGAGTCGACGGACTCAGCCGAAAGCAGCCCGTTGCGGATGTCTCGAACCATCTTCTCGGTGGCCATGGATAGGGAACTCGTGTCTCCGAAGCTGACGCGCCCGTCCGTCCTGCACGCAATTTCCGCGTTCCGATGTGCGTCAATTTCATCTGCCTCCTGTGACGACGACACCTTCAAGATGGGCCGTGGTTTGGCCCCTTCCCGCCGCCGTACCTGCTCCTGCTCAATGGAGGGGGCCAGAGGATGGACAGCTTTGGTGCCGCTGTTTTCTACCGTGACGTCGCGAACGAGAGGGACCTCGAGACAGGGCACATCGCCCAAGACAAGACTGGTTTTGATATGGGGAATCAAGGAGCTTTCCCCAGAATCGGCTGCCAATTGATTCGGCTGCTCAACCTCTTGGGGCACCATCCCGGCTTTGCTCTGTGCTGAAATATGGTCGCGGTGCTTCTGAACCCAGAGTCTCTCCCCAGCCAAGTATTGTGCTGTGGAATGGAGTAGTCGATTCACTTCAGCGATTCGTTCCACGGTGCTGCCCACGTCCTGCACTTGAGGGACCCGGTCCTCGATACTTCTCAGTTGAGTTTTCAGTGAATCGACTGTCCGAATGTCATGCTGCCACCGCTCGCGCAACGAGGCGGTCGCTCTGACTTGACTTTCAAGATCGCGAATCCTTTCCTGAAGTCGGTGTGTGAGCTCCTGTACCGCTGGCTGCGAAGTGCCACTGGTATCGCCGTCATCCGATGCACAGAATCTGGCCTCTAGCTGGTCACTGACAGCACGCAGTTGACCACCCAGAGCTGCCATGGCGGTTTGAGTGTGGCGGAGACTTTTCTCCGACCCGTCCTGGGCGACCTTGAAACCTTGCTCTAGAGATCGTTTAAAAGCCGAGATCACGTTCCGCAATTCAGTTTGCGCGTTCTGCCCATTATTGAGGGCCTTTTCTGCCAGAGCTGTCATCTTCAACGATGTGGCCTCCGCGAGGGATTGGAGTTTCTGTTCCAGGAAACAGATCGTGTCACCGCGCTCATCGAACTTCTTCTTCAGGTCAATTTCGGTTTCAGAAGGGCTGATATTGGCCTGCGATTGCTGCGCCCATTCATTCACGAGACCCTCTACTTGTTGGCGCATGGCGGCAAGATCGCTCTGAGAGGCGTCGAGCCGCTTGTGGAGTCGTTCTTGAGCATCGTTGCTACCGACTTGAGCATCCTCGAATGCTTTGTTTCGCCGACTCATCTCTTGGCTGATGTTATTGAGTTCCATTTGTAAGCCACTGGCCGTCCCATGGAGAGTTGCCATTGCGGCGTCATGCGCCTCGGATGCCGCATGTAGAGCCCCATTTACACTAGAAGCAATTCAGTGAGAACGCCAGACAACAGCAATTGTCGAAAACGTACTGAGCTTCGACCTTCTTCTCCATCCTCCGTGCCGTCTGCTTAATCGCTGCAGGCAAACTGTTTACCTCACAAGCCTCCAGACGCTGGACCAATGCTTCAATTCTGCATAGGCGTTAGCACGAACTCAACTGTAGGGAGGGACTGCGTACTTCTTATAAGCCTCTCCCATATAAGACACATCGTTGTCAAGTTCGCCCCTTGCTTTGCGCGAGTTCGCTAGAACAGAATCGACTTTGCTTTCCAGAGCGGCAATGGTTTTCTCAGTGCTTTTCTGAGCTTCCAGCTGCCGACTGACCGCCGCCGCGAGGTCGTTCTCAGATCGAAGTCTCTTCTCTTGCTCCATCAACTTGCATTGTAAGTCGGAAATGGCCTTGTCCTCTGCAAGAAATAGTTAGCCGAAACGCGATGCTGGTAAGATGGATGCGCATTTTAATCGTCTTACTCGTCTGAAGTTCCTGATCCATGTTGTTTCTGAGCTCTCCCAAGCACCTTTTCATTTCATCGCGCTTCTGGCGGCTGACCCCAAGAGCCTCTTCGATCTTCTTCGACTCTGCCATACGATGCTGATGATCCTTCTCAATCTCCGCCATTGACGTTGCGTGAAAGCCCTTTGATCGATGCCAGAGATTTTGTTGCTCGGTGATTGCTTCATTGATCTTGTCTCGGTATCGCCGTGTCTTATTCTCAAACTCGGTCACTCGGCCCTTTGATTCAAGAATGTGAGCCTGCAGCGACTCAATCTCTCTTTCAAGTTGCTTGTTGCATTCCGCCGTTCTGCCGCTCTCTTCCTGGAGTTGCTGGTAACAAGTCTCCATGTGTCGCAGTTCGCCCTTCTTCTCTTCGAGTCGCGATCGAGTTTCAGAAAGCTTCGATTGGTGGCGATGGAGACTGTCCTGCAATGCGTCAATCTTAAAACTCGCATAGTCTTGCTCTTCGTCTGCGATCTGCATGCACTCATTCCAGTACTGAGCAACTTGATACATGGCCATCTTCTTCCGATCGGCATCGCTTTTGCCGCGAGGTTTTCGAACCGCGCTGCGCTTCCTTGATATGTTGCTAGTGCGAGACTGAGGTCTGTTACGCGCCGTCCGGTTATGCTCCCAAACATCATGGTTTGGAACAGATCGAGATGCGGTAGTTCTCCGTCTCTCGCGAGGGCTTCGCTGAACTGGGCCCTCGAGGTCGCCACAGGTACTCGAAGGGGGTGCCCGACTGCGGGAGCCCTCGATTCTTGGAGACGGGAGATTCGGGGCCTGGAAGTAGGCTGATTGTGTCCAACCTTTGCTGCTTCTACTGCGACCCACTGCGGAAGCACTCGTGTGGACTGCCTGCGGAAGGTCTGATGAGCGAGAACCTTTTACCAAAGTCGTTGAATCAAATGCTGGAACATCGCCCGAGGTTGCTGCTCGTAAGTTTCTGGCAGGGGAAGGCTCTGCTCGCTGGCAGCTTGACAACTTCTGCCCAGTGGACTCTGACATGGCCGGCAGACCAAGCTCCTGAGTCTCAGGAATCTGCGACGGCAGACGGGTCAATTGAGTGAACTCGTTCGTTGGCGATTGCACTGGACGCGCAACCGAAGATTGTCGAGATGGGATGTCCGGCACCGGGTCTTCGAAACGTTCACTTGACTTATCGACAATAGGGGACGTCAGCGACAAATCGAGCCTTCGTCGTGGGGTTGAGTTCAACGGGGACCTCTCAGCTGGGACAGAGATCTCGAGAATGTCCAGAGGCGTCGGTCGTACTTGTCTCGCTGCCTGCACTTTGAACAAAGGTCGTTTTAGGCCAGGGGGGGCCACTGGAAGTTGTGCATCTTGTTTTTCGATGGGCTTGGGCTGCTTGGTAACGGAAGTGCGTCCGAGTGGTCTCTCAGAAAATTGACCAGGCCTAGAAGGCTGCTTTGGAGCAAAAGCGAAACCTTCACCCAGGACGCCCTCCGATATCTCATCCTTGGCTGCGGAAAATTTCTTCGCAGGATGCTCATCGAATCTGTTGCCGATGTGGTCTTGAGAGTCTGGCACTATTGACCTCGGTCTGATGAAGTCTCGCTGGTCAGCCTGCAGTTCGCACGTATCACTGCTCCTCACGCTAATCGGCGAGGACCCCTTTGGATAACGGCCCGGGGAGGGCGTCATGATGACTGTGGTCAAGGTAAGGACACGCAGACTAGTCCGGGAACGACGTCTGTTTGCCCTTGGGCGAGGCACGATAGCTTGATGCGCACCAGGTTCGAGTGTCTTGGCAGTTTCGTCCCGCGCTCGCAGTCTCGTAACGGAACGCCCGCGAGTACAACAGTCGAGCCTCGTCGAGCCAAAAATCCCCTGGGCGAAGGTGGAAAGGAAGGATGAGAGGCAAAAAATACACGTCGCCCATGGCGTGTGGTTGTTCGTAGCTGGTCAGGGAAGGAGCGCCGCACAATCGCCATGACAGGAAGGAGCCGCCGAGGAGCAGTGAGGCCTCGACACATCAACACGGAATACCTGCCCCCGAAGCTTTACAATTGACAGACTTGCAAATTCTCGAAAGATGTCGAGGATGAGACCAATATGATGTCGTCGACGATGAGACATGCACGTTCACCAGTGAGCTCCATTTCGCCGCTGAGGCTTGAATGTGCGATTGAAGATTTTCGAAGCCACTGGAGCAATTTCATCTCTAGCAAGTCTCCCGGCAACAAAATTGCCAGTGTCTATGATCACGACCGAAAGCAAATCGGTTTTGCGACGGTATCGCCATGCTCCCTAAGACCGTGAGTTGGGATTGTGATTGACGGGATCACCAGCATCGGCATGAAGTAACGGTGCTCACTCTACCGCAGGGTATCGTCGAGCGAAACGCTGCAAACACCAACCCCTGCATGCATTGACGTCTTCAAGGAGACCCAAGCGCAAGACCCCGATGTGTGAAGACTGGTCGTCCTGAGATGGCTGGCCGGAGGTTGTCGCTCGGCGCCTCGCCTACCACACCTCATTGGCTGGTTGGGTGCGCAGGGTGCTGGTTGCTCGGCGCTTCGAGAGCGCGCCTCGCCAATCACGATCCCGTCACGTCTCGAGACAGGTCTATTCCGGGTGATAGGCCTCGTCACACACCACAGGGAGCCCCTGCAAGGTACGAGAGGGTTGGCCAAGGGCGGCAGGCGATGCACGTCGCATTGCCGGCGTCGCATGGGGTGTGCTCACTCACGGTACCGCCTGAGAGGGAGAGGGGGGTTACACAGCATGTAAATACCGACAGCCCTTGACTGGACGTTGACTCTTGCTTCTATTTTGTTCACCACTATTCAAGCACGTTTATGAGTTTCTCACTGTGCAGTAGGGCCCTCAGCTAACATGTATCCACGATCATTCCTACTATCGCGAGATGACCATGGCACGTCCCAAGGGGACGCCGGAGGTGGTTCAGCTCCAACTCCCGAATCAGGTGTGGAAGCTGGGGCTTCTGGCAGCAGCTCCGCCATGTCTCTCTCAACAGGCGGTCTGGTGGCCATAGTCGTGGTCGTGGTCGTCGCCACCATCGTTGGTGGTAGGTAGCCCTGCAACTGCCAGTATCCGGCCTTCAATGCTGATACCCGACAGTGACGACTGCTACCCTCTTCTTCATCGCCAAGAAACGAGAGTGGACGATGAGAGAGACGCTCCGAAGATCGGCCAAGAAGGTCGTTGCTGCAATCACGCCGCGGCGATCGGAGTTTCCAGACTCTGTGAAGGGGTCGACGGGGTCAACCCGACGTGGGCGAGCAAAGCGTGCCGACAGTGTGCCGCCCACGCCGCGCCTCCGACCAGAAGACCTCGAGAAAGGTCTGGCTCAATCAACAGCCGCAAAAAAGTCCCGACGATGATTTGTGAGGTGAGGTTGTTGGCGCTTTCGGGTGTAAGGTGCAAGGGTCGTTGGACATGTCGATGATTACTGGTAGGCCCTGTGGTTGAAAGATGGATGGTTGGCTTGTGCTCCGTGCTATTACATCTTTCTGAACGTGTTGGAGCTGGCACTCCGCCGGTTCCCAAAGCTTTTCTTCTGCGGCGCTGGCGTTTCCTCCTCTCTGTTCTTCTTCTTCGATGCTGGGACGAAAGAGACTTGTCGCTCGCCAACCACGTTTCCAGTTCTTGCTCTATCTCCACGACCAAACTTCTGTTGTCTTGACCCCAACGCAGTGTCGCGCATCTTTGCACCATCATTCTGTGACGATGAAACTCGCATGACCACGTCGTCCTTGGGCTTGCGCACCGGCGCGGGCTCGTCATCATCGCTGGACTCATCCTCAGAATCTTTCGCTTGGTATCGAGATGGAGCCGCGGGGTCCGCAGATGGTTCGACGACAGTGCTGGGGTTGAGCAGCTGGAACTCGCGGCTGTTTTCATCGACCATGAAGTCCTCGTCCTCAAACATCTGAGCGAAACGCTCATCTCCGAGAAGGCCGGCGTTGGTATCGACCTCGCCTCTGTTCTCCTGCTTCTTGAGCAGTTTGTCAACCAGCTTCTGGTTGACCTTGACCTTCTTGCTGCCCCTGATTCTGCTGGCGCGCTCCTTCTCGACCTTGTCTTTGACGCGTTTCATTCTCTCCTCTTCCCAGGCGTACGGGTTGGCGATCAGCTTAGCCTGTTCATACAGCTTGGATGCGACAAAATAACCGTGCATGTATGGGCGCAGAAGATTCGTCTTTCCCACAAGATGCGCCAGGCTGAGCTGTTTCAGCTCTGGCAACGTCAGGAACTTGTAGTTGTCGTATGTTTCCGTATGCACCTCCTCGGCCATTTCCTCGACCATGTTGTCCAGGAAAGAGCACCACTTCGGAGCGGGCCCCAGCTGTGGCACGAAAAACGCATGCTGCTGTTTCCCCTCATTCGCGGTGAGCAGCATTCCGGTGTTTTTGCACCATGCCACGTCGTTGATGTCGACGACCGGCTCAACCGACGTCCATGGGTCCCCGGACTGCTCGTCCCAGATTTTGATGATGCGCTTGTCCGCAGACATAATCTTCTTCTCTTGCGATGAGGTCGTCATGTGAATGAGCTTCTGAACCGCAAACCCGTAGCCGTGGTCTTTCTTCAGAAGAGGCACTGGACGCCGGAGATCAAAGAGCTGGATCATGCCTGTGGATGAGCCCGTAGCCAAGGACAGGCCTGATGAGGCGAAATCGAGAGCGGTAACCTCGCCATCGTGACCGCTGAGCAGGGCTGCCCTTGACTTTGAACGGGGATCCCAGAATTCCACCGTCCCTATCGAAGTTCCAAAGGCGAGGAGGTTGTGCGTGTTCTCGGCAATGGCGCCGACATTTACACTGCCGACCCCGATGCCGCCTTGCAAGCCACCGCCGGTCTCGTCGTCGCCGCCCACTTCGATCTGGTATGACTTCATGTAGCGCCCTAGTTCGAGGTTCATGCGGAAGACCTCGCCCTTTCCGTCGGCGTCCAGTCCAACGGCAGGCACAAGGGCCTCGGCGGCATGTCGATCGTACAGCAGGTCGCGGCCATATCTGGGTATCCGTACTTCGTAATGGCATCCCATCGGGGTGTGGAACTCGAGCTTGCGATCCGTTTGTAGGTGCAGGGATTTGGAGTAGTCCTGCGAGAGAAGGACAAAGGAAAGGTTCAACGAGGTCGTGTGGCGTGTAAAGGACAGAGACAGTTGCGGGAGGTTGTGGACGTGGATTTGGGGTTTGTATGTGCCGGTGGACATGACCCATTCGCCATCTTCGCTGATGCGAATGCAGTTGCTGGCCTCTTCGAACTCGAAGTCTTGTAGCAACTCGACGCGGTTCTGGTATTCCGGGTCGTTCTTGAGGCTTCGCTTGCGGCGGCGGGCAAGCCAGTCCGGTAGTGGGCGGGCGGTCGATGCGCCCGAGATCGTGTAGACCGGGACGGTGCCCGGATTTGAGAGCTTCATGGTCGGCGACACTGAAAAGGCTCAGAAATCGCGACGCGGGCTCAGTATCGAAATTATTTTGTCGGACAGGGAGGAGGGAGGGCCGCAAGCCGCAGCGTCTTTGGCGCCCAAGAAAAAAAATCAAGGTGACGGACGGTGAAGAAAACGCAGGTCCCACCTTTGCCAGTGCGTCTCGGTGAGCATCCATGCTGACCGACCCCCACATTGCGCCGCGTTAGTGTCGGGTCTGACCGAGTCAGCCAAACCGACGAGGCAGCGGCCCCGGCGTCAGTGCTGGTGCTGAAGCTTTCTACTGGCGCCCTCCACCTCCCTGACGACGACATCCCACAGCACTCCGTCTCCATCGGCGCGTGGCCCGTCCAGGAGTGCAGCCCACGAACAAACGCTCCATGTCAATGACGCCTGCTAAGACGTTGCAATTCACCACCCTGCGACGGCGTTGATCCCCCCATCGACTGCGAATACCATCTCAGGCCGTGCCCGTCGTGGCGAGCCTCACGAGCAGCGACGGCCGCCAACCACGACCCGCTGAGATGGAGCCCGGGGGACCATTGCGCTCAACGGAAGGAACCGCCGAGGCATTCGATTTCTCCTAAAGACCGGTTCGCAGACTAGGGCATATCTTGCGCAAGCTCAGGCCGAAAGACGCAGAAAAGCGCCGGTTCCCGTGCGTGCCGTCGTGTCGCATCTCAAGGTGCCGTCCTGTGGGCTGCCTCGGGCGAAGCGCAATCGAAGCTGTCGATATGGATACTGCCGAATACGATACTAACACTCTGCTTATCGTTCGTCGCCCTTCCAAGGCGCCTCTCCCAGCAGTCCAAATGCTAATCCAATGTCTAGTCCAATATTGCATCCGTCTGCTATCGCATTTACGAACCCTCGACCGAGTCATCTCAGCGCTTCGCCTCGTCTGCCCTCGACGTTGAGAGTCAACTGAGGAAGGACGGCCATGTCGTATTCTACGATGCTTCCAGGCGTGGGATCTGGCATTTTCGCCTAGCCGGAAAGGAAGGGCATGACAACGTCGCAAGCGAGACCCTCGACAGAACATTAGAGACATGCGGGCACCGGCTGCTGCTTGGTGCGGAGGGAACTCTGGAGCCAGCGAATCTACAAAAGGCCCGTCCTCACCCGCAAATGAGCCAGACTCCGACGACTGCCGTCTCGGGTGCATCCGCCCTCGACCCGTCTCAGCGCAGTACGATCTCGGGCAACACGTCTCAGCTTAGCGGTGCAGGTTCGCAAGAGCACGAATCGCAGTTCAACGAAGTCACTGGGGGCGACTCGAAGGCGATACCGCCCAAGACCGTCTACGAAAACTTCATCACAGCCCTCCTACTGTCGATATCATCCACCTTTTGCAGCCGCTCTGGCGCAACTCCCCTGAACTACCGAACCGTGCTTCTCCCCGCCGTGGGGCCAGGCTCCGAAGAACCCTCCGAACTTGGGCCCGAGAACTGCCCGGTGTTGGCCACGTTGCGAGCGTATCTTACCACAACCGGCGCGTTAGTAACCAGCTTCGTCTTTTCGCGATGCCGAGGGCTTACGTCGCTCTCCGACACTGTCACGGCTAGCCTCTCGTTGCCGGCCACGCCGATCATCGCAGCCCCTTTTGGGGCTCTGACCAAGAACCAGTTCGCTTCAGGCACGGATCCAGGATCCGCAAGCCTGGCCCAAACGCCGAATACTCAGGCACTGAGCCTACGTGGTGGATATGATGCCCACGACTCCATGTGGAAACAGGCTTGCCTGAAGATCCTGAAGCTGCGTGGCGTTGCTCCAGCCAGTCTCTCTGACTGCACTTGGGTGAATCTTCTGGTGCCCAAGCCAAGGCTTCTGGACGCTAAGATTGACCCTCGGCGACAACAGCCTCTCGGTTCTACCGTCACGCTGCCTTGGCCAGGTCCCCTTTGCTTTCGCAAACGAGTAGTGGAAGTATCAGCAACAAGCCGAGTTGGCGACAACCTCCTCAGTGGTCACGAGGAGAGCCACGATCCACTTGGCGATGCAAGGGGCTGGTTCAATTCTGCCCCCGAAAGAGAAGAGAAACTGTCAAAGCGCAAGATCGAGCGAGCAGCAGTAGCAAGGGACCCAAGCCTAGCCGATGCTCGTGCGCCAAGACCCAGCGTGCCATCGCCTGCGACGATTCGACGACCGAGTGCGACTGCTGCCAGTGCCATCTATCCGACTCCCCCTGATGGCGTGCAACATCTGAATGGCGTAACTCCGTCGTTCGACGGCACTTTGTCAAGCCCTGGCAACCCCATGTCATCCGTTCCGGTGCCTGACGTGGATCCAGTCTCGTCAACTGCGAACAACACGGGCGAGGTCTTCGACACTTCAAGCGATTTCCACGACTCAAAACGACAAAGGAGCGACGTGAACTTGCTCAACGATGCGGAACACATGTTTGGCGATATGGGAGGCGACATGTTCGGTGACAACGACATTACCGATGCCGACTTCAATTTCTTCGACGAGGCCCCCGACGAGGAGGACATTGAAATCTCTATGGACGATATCAATGACAATGCCGTCACCGACGGAGGTATCCAGAAGGCAGATGAAGCCACACCGAACACAACAGACGTGAAGGCTGAGCCTGCCCAGGATCGGGACGATGCAGTCTTTGCGAAGCCAGAGTTGAAGCATGCCAGGAGCACACAAAATGACAACGCACCACAACGAGGCAGAGACGCACGGACGGGCTCGATGAAACGAGAATCGAGTCCGTTCGATCCGCATACAGTATTCAAGCGAGTCCGAGCCTCTTTGACGGAAGCTGGGCAAGCCATGAATACGTCCTCGGTTGCTGACGTGAATCGGACGACAAGAACGTTTGAGAGTATGAGCTTCGACCCGACTCTTCCGATGATTAACAAAAAGTACGAGCAAGGCGGGCAGTTTGACTACAAAAAGATTGCCAGCACCGAAAAGCCACGATTGGAACCAGGGTTACTGCCGGAGACGGACTACCTCAAACGGCACGGGAGGCATATGAAGAGATTTAGAGAGCGCGACCTGCAGCCTGGTGTATTGGCCAAGACTTCGACGGGACTGGACCCTCCTACAGCGCGTCTGAGTCCAGCGAGGATGGAGAACTCCCTATCCGAAGATGACGATAGCAGCGCTGGATCTGATGAAGACGGCTCAAGTTACACAACAGAAGAGCCGACCTCGCCGGTCAAGTCCAGCGTCAAAGTTGCTGCGCCCGATGACGACGTTGCGTCACAAGTGACATCCGCACGAGATTTGGATACGTTCGAGGAACCAGACCACCAGCTCGCAACGGAACTGCCGAGACTTTCCAAGCCGGATGCCGTTGAGCTTCCTCTTTGCCAATTATTCTCAGACCCAGAGCCAATACCCCTTGAGCTTTCTCTTGGTGACGAGGATTTCATCCAGGTCGCACAAATATTAACCGATCAAGCGGCTATCGGCAAGCTTGACATTTGCTCCACGGACGATCCGGACTCACCAGGAGGCTCTGGCAGCCTCAGTTCCCAGCTGCGACCTTGCGAAGCGCGCAATGCACTGCAAACGCTGCGGGAGTCAGTACCGTCGCTGCTAAAGAATGCAGGACCGGTCAGCCTAAAAGGGTTCCTCGACATCCCAGATGTACCCTTTGTTGGCCAGTCGAGCCGTGTCCAGCCCCGTCCCGTCCCCGGTAGGGATGCAAGCTCGGAACAGGTGCGGCCGAGCAATCTTTACCAGATTCCAGGCCCGCATCTCGAGGTTCGCAGATCAGATGTCAAGCTTTCAGTCTTGCCGAGCGCTGTTACTTTCTGGGAAAGCCTCGGTCTAGCACCATCATCGGGTCGCAAGAACTTGAACGCTGTATGTGTGTTCCCGGGCTGGCCCGGCATGAAAGAAAACGTCAAAACGTTCCTGGGACGCTTGAAGAGTGTGTACGAAGTCCTGAAGCTCGGCTCACTGCACAGCATGCCGCTCTCCGCAGACCTGGATGACGGGCTGTTGCCGTACGAGGTAGACAGGATATCGACGTCGCCGGATGCCACGATGACCAGGCACGGGTCTAGTTTGGTCGAGAGCATGGAAACGCTGCGAGGAGCGATGAACAACCTGACGGTCACCGAGACGAATATCGTGGTGTACTACGTGTACTCTCCGAACAACCCTGGAACGATCGTCGAGGCATGTTCCGCGTTTCAGCGCTACTTCGAGTCGTACTGGAAGAGCTTAGCCTCTCAGAAGCTTGTGGCGCCAAACGAGCTGGTTCTGCAACTCGTTTCGGCTGACTTGTTGTCTGCGCCAAGCTCGCTGGTGGTGACGCCGGGGCCGGAGCTCGTCAGGCTATGCATGGAGACGTACGATCGCTGCACGCTGTTCGGCGGCCCTATGCCTGCTCCGGCGATCAGATTGGAGCAGCAACTACCGCGCATCATCGACTTCAAGTTGACAGTGTCGCCGTCAGCATCGCTCATCCGGGAGAACTCGGCCATTCACGTGGCATACGCGCAGAGCGTTGACGAGAGGTGGGTGACAGCTGCGTGGACAGATGACCGCGGTAATCAACAAGAGACGGCCTCATACTGTCTGGGGCGAAAGGGGCGGCCACAATCTCGCTCGATGAACGAGGTTGCGCACGAAATATGGGAGTCAACATTGGATCTCATCTCGGCGTGGAAGGTCCATTGGCGCATCATCATCACCAAGTGTGGACCAATGGACCAGCAGGAAATCGACTTTTGGGTTGACCTGGCCCGAACGGAGATCAAAGCGTCGGTTGCGGTCATTCTCCTGGCCGTCGACACGAGCCCATCGCTGCAGCTTGTGCCGCCGGAGGTCAAGCTACAGCCGCCCTCGGTTCCGTTCCATACGACCCCGGTGTCTACACCGCAAGCGAACATTGTGTCCCCGGAGCAGAGCGGCACCCCTGCGACCCCGGCACGAGACAGCAATGCCACTGCTGCCACGCCTGGTACAGACGGCGCGGGCGACTCAGAAGCCGATGCCGTTCTTGTGGATGTCACGGACCAGACTTGGGGTGCGCTGGTCGGGCATCGGCTGAACAATTCGTCGACCGTCCTGGACCTTCACCCTGCATTGGTCAGCGGCTACCTGATCAAGCGCACGGGGACGAGGATCGAGGACGCCCCGGTCCTGATGGAGGTCAACATGGTGCACACCGACGCCAGCCCTCGAGCGTACGAACCGCTCCTTCGCGAGATGCTTAGCCACTTCAGGGGGCTGGGCACCCTGGCAAGAGCAAGAGGAGTGGTGCGGCGGGAGGCGGACGTGCGCCCCTGGCACATTGCTGCCGCTGAAAAGGCCGTAAGAGCCATGTATCTACTCATGTAAAGGGAGGGCGTGACGCCGTTGAAGGAGTCGTGATGATACCACGGGCGGTATTGACGGGATGCAAGGCGTTTGGTATTTTTCTTAGCATGACTTTGAGCAGGAGAGCATTGTTGGACAGCAATCCATTACGGTGTATAAAATGACTTGAGCCTTGCTATGACTCAGTGCCATGGATGACAACGTGAAAGTGCTGTCGTCAATGGCGGTGCCGCAGGCTGACTGGAGCAGTGAATCTGGCTGAGGCTGTTGCGAAGGCCCTACAGTTTAGTTCAGTGTTCACTGTTTTAGGCAGTCGGGTTGGTGGCGGCTATGCATGGACCTAACTAGCGGCCCGCTAATTATGACGCATCTCTGCAGCCTCACCCACACTCACGCTCACTTTCACCTGCACGACGTCCAGAAACTGCAGTCAAGAAATCGCCTCGATTCGCGCCAGGCAAGGTTCGGGACAGCTGCAATGCATTCGACCCTGAACCATTCATATGAGTCAACCATAGAGCCTTGAGGACAGGCGCGCCGTGTCAAGCCGCTTCCGCGGCACTGATATCAAAAAGACGCCGATCGCCAGCGCAGAGGAGGAACATCCAACTATGAACTCAACACCATGAATACACCACCAACGAATCTGGGAAGCCTCCCAGATCACGTCTTCATCGACATCGTCGAGCACATTGACACAGCCCGCGATGTGTCCCACCTCAGCGCGTCGTGCCGCGACACCCAAGCAGCCATGCACCGAGAAGGCTGGAGAGCCTGGGCACGGACGCGGTTTCCCTCTCACCGAATGCCCATGGGCGGCACGGCGGTGGACTGGCGGGCAGCCGCCGACCGGCTGACGTACCTGGATCGGTGCTGGGAACGGCGCGGCCTGCGGTTCTGCTATTTCCGCGAGGACCGACGTCAGCGAGACGCGGGGCAGAACCGAGCCAGGTGGCACAGGGGCGAGCAGTCCGTGGCGTTCAAGTCGGTGCTGGATGTGTGCCTGACGTCGTCGGGCTCGCAGCAAGACGAGCTGCTGGCGTGCGGAACCGGAGAAGATATACGGGTGCGGTGGCGGACAGGCGGCGACAAGTCCCAAGACACATGGAGGACGCTCGCGGGCAAGGAAGCGGGATATTCAGCAGGGAAGGGCGACGTAACGGCGGTTTCGACCATCGAGAGGGGCGATAAACCAGAGCTCGTCGTCGGGCGGGCAAACGGCGACATCCAGCTGCTCTCTGCTGCTTTCGACGATTCTTTCGGCCAGCCAGCCAGGACACTGCTCCACGTGGACGAGACAAACCAGAAACTGGGACGCTCGCTCGGCCAGCGCGCCGTTACTTGGACAGAATGGCAACCCGAGTCGCGAATCATGGCGACCTGCCGGAGCACCCTCCTGACTTTATACGATCTATCTTCGGCGGACGGCTCGGAGAAGGAGTTGAAGCCGATGATGTACTACGACGTGTCGCAGGATGCTGCCGACAGCGGCGGGTACGTCCCCATGATGCACTGCGTCAAGTTCATGAGCGGGGACACCATCGCGTGCGGCATGAGCTGGAGCAACGAGCCGCTGCGGTGGGGGAAAATCCGGCCGACCGGTATCGAGCTCTCTCCGCCACCGAAGCACCGTCACATCAAGGGGGGTGTGCCTCGCCTCCCTTCGTCAACGACGAAACATACCGTGTGGGCCATCGAGCCTGTCGGGGCCCAAGGGAATTTGCTGCTGAGTGCGTGGCGTGACGGCAGCTACAGGTGAGCACTCTGGCTCTCGCCTCGTTCAGTGTCGCGACGACAAGAAACGCTAACATGTATGGGCTTAGACTCCTAGATATGCGCACACCCTCGGATCACGATGCCACGTACCGTGACCCCTTTCAGCCTTACAACCCAAGCAACGCGCTGCTGGTCTACGGCACTCAGCGCTTCGTCGCTGCGGGAGCAACGGAGCCGGCCGTGCGCATCTTTGACTTTCGTTACCCGAAGCCTTACTATCACTCGGACGCGCTGCCATGCTCGGGCTACCAACCCACCCCCCGGCCGTGGAGAGCAGGCCGCGGCTACAAGGAGCCTGTGGTTGATGGCGCAGGGCCAAAGCCGTCTCGTTACTGCGACGCCAGCAGAGGAATGCGCTGCACCTGGCACGCAACGTCCAGGAACTCCCTTTGGCGACCGGACGCGACACTATACTACTCGAAGGACAGAGGCGAGGAGGCGTGCTCGCTTGCCAAGTCATCAGACATTGCGGACAACTTCTACATTGGTGTCCGCGGGGCCTTTATCGAGGCCGAACTGACGCTCGCGGAGGACGCTTTCGCCCAGGGGGAGGGGGCGAAGGCGCGAGTGGCCCCCGACGGCTGGAGGGCGGACGAGGATACCTCGGCGAGGGAGTCGCTCGCCATCGCGGAGACGAGCGTGAGCCTCTGTGGCGGCGAGAGCTGGCAGTGTGACCGGCCAATGCCGACGGTGCGCCTGAACCGGCACCTGGACACCCCGGTGGGGCCCCAGGCCGCCGGGAGTCGGCTAGACGGGCGGTGGCAGTTGAACACGGCGGCGGAGAGATGCCAGTTTGAGGATTATTGGTAACCAGTGCGCGTGCCGCGAGCGGGGCGAGGATGAGGAACCGCCTCCTGGCTTAGGCGACTGGATTCTCAGATACAAAGGAGGCAGACTCGGGCGGTAAGCTGCCCATGATGACGACAACGGCTTAGATGAACAGGGAGCTTCGTCATTCTATAGACTATACTGTAAAATTCTACACGCATACATGCATACATGGCTCTGTGTAATAAATGTCATCTAAAGCTTGGAGTCGGACTTGATGAGGGAGAGGCGCTCCTTGATGGCACTCTCGGCCTCGCGCTCGATGCGGTTGACCAGCACGTCGCATGTGGGGATGTCGTGGATGAGGCCGATGACCTGGCCGGTGGTCCAGACCTAGAGAGAGAGGAGACTGTCAGCGAAAAGAACAAAAGACACCAGACTTGTGTCTGTTTCCTGGGGGGCGATTTATACGTACACCGTACTCGGGGTCGCCGTTGACAAAGACCTCCTTGCCGCGCTTGCCGCTGACGAGGGGCGCAATCTCGCTGAACTCGCCGGTGGTGCTCTCCTGCTCAATCTTGAGGGCCTCGAGGGCGACCTTGTTCTTGTAGAGGCGGCTGGTGTTGCGCCAGCGGCGCAGCAGCAGGGTCGTGTCCGTCTCCTGGGCCTTGACAATCTCCTCCTTGATGCGCTGGTGGACGGGGGCCTCGACGGTGCACATGAAGCGGGTGCCCATGTTGATGCCGCAGGCGCCGAGGACGAGGGCGGCGGCGAGCCCCCAGCCGTCGGCGAAGCCGCCCGAGGCGATGAAGGGCACCTTGAGCTGCTGGCGGGCGCGGCTCAGCAGGATGAAGTTTGTGATGTCGCTCTCGCCGACGTGGCCGGCGCACTCGAAGCCGTCGATGCTGAGGAAGTCGACGCCGAGCTTGACGGCGCTCTCGGCGTGGCGGATGGTGGTGCACTTGTGCAGGACCGTGACGCCCGCCTTCTTGAGCTGCGCGATGACGGGGCCCGGCGAGTTGCCGGCCGTCTCGACGATGCGCACGCCCTCGTCGATGACGGCCTGCGCGTAGGCGCCGTAGTCGGGCGGCACCATGGCCGGCAGGAGCGTGATGTTGACGGCGAAGGGGTTGGGCGTCAGGGTGCGGCACCGGCGGATCTCGTCGCGCAGCGCCGCCGGCGTGGGGAAGATGAGCGCCGTGATGATGCCCAGCCCGCCGGCGTTGGAGACGGCCGACGCGAGGTCCGCGGTGCCGACGTGCATCATGCCGCCCTGGACGACGGGCACTGCGCTGGCGGGTCAGAAACAGACATCTCGACGTTTGACACGTGGGGGAGGGAAGAGACGGGTTCAAGGAGACTTGAGCTGGCACGCACCTCGGATGCCCAGCCGCCGGGTCAATTCAGTCGCGATCGTCATGGCAGCGGTGTCTTGCTGTGTGCTGCGCGACTTGAGGAAGGGGGCGCGTTGCGCTGGGGGGAGGTTGTTTCGGTGTAGCGAAGAAGGCGGTGATGTGACGACGACAACGGGGTCCGTTGGCTCGTGATCGCGAGGGTAGGTCAGGTCCGTGTCGGTGCTTTATCCACAGCAAACACGCACACCAAGTGCAGATGCCGACGCAAAGCTTTCTATGTATATATGTATGGCGATACGATATGACGGTGCCGCCCCTCCACACGAAAAAGTGCCGTCTTAAGAACTATCCCGTCCCGTTCAAACAGCCGAGCTTCTTCGTCGCCAAAAGGGTCACGACTCGCGACCCCACGGCGGCGGTCGTCCCTCCCCCCCAGGCGGCCCTACGAACGAAGACCGGGGCTCGGGACCAACTTGGAGAAGCCGAGGCAGCGAGCGTCCACCCCCTGGGCTGCCCCGCAAAATTGAGGTCATGGCCCTCGGCAGCGGCGGCCAGGGCTGTGGCTGCCCTGGGGGATGGGCTGGGCTGGCTTCCCATTGGCCTCTGCGGGTACCTAATTGGGGTCCAGCAGCGCGGCCCCGTCCCCTGCTTTGTGCTTCGTGACCTGCGCTTTCTCACATGGGACTCGACGCTGTGCGAGACATTTCGAGGGCAGAGTGAAATGTACCGTCCCTGCCGCAGGTGCTGCGTCGGTACTTCGTCCATTGCGTGCATCCACCACCTGCGCAACGTCGTTCACCGTGCTCTGCTGCAGGACAACGGGTTTCCGCCAAAGTCCGGGGCCGCCGAATCAGGACATCCACGCCGGCGCAGTCCAATAAACCCAGCGCCAGAGCCTTCTTTGACTGCGGCCATGCATCGGCTCGACCGTTTGCAGCTCCGTGTTTACCAAACAATCCCGCCCTTTCCTACCCAATCCCGACGCCGGGCCGCAGCAACTTGCCGATCCGACTCCCAGCTCTTTCACACCATCGATTTCTCACCCTCACAACTGTCGTAATCAGGATTCATCAGGTGTCATTCATTAGCCTAGGTCACAACGAGGTCGACCATGTTCTTGCACAGCCCTCTCTCTGTCTACATATATCCTGCGAATACCGCCGCTCTGTTTCTTAAACTCCCCGCGCGGCAGAGGGCCGCCCGACTCCATCAGCAACTCATGCCACGCCCCCATCTGACGCGATCCTGCCCATCGAACTCCTCCCCGGCGGTTTGTCAACCAGATCCGCATATCCATCTAGGCTTGCACCCATGACCTTCACCAGGTCGAAGATGTGAGTTCCCTTGAACGTTTCCGCCCAGAGCCGTACTACCGCACTCGCCAGCTGTCGCAGCTTGGCGCTATCGCTGCTTGCCATGTCGCCTTGTCCTCCACTCGCACCCGGCCCCGACAGAGATGGATCGATTGGCACCGCGAACTCTGTCTCATCCAGCATCCGCCTGACCGTCTCCAAGAGACTCCTTTCCTCTGGCGACACTGGTGGGTCTGAAGGCGTTATGGCGGCAAGAGTGAGCAGCCACTTGGCAAGCAGCAATGCGCACTCAAAGTTGCAGACTGATTCCAGGTAAGCATATTGAGTCAAACGTCACGACAGCGCTTGGGGAAACGTACGGGAATGCTGTATGCTCCACTCGGTCGACTTTGCCCTCGCCACGTAGTTCACCCCAGCCTTGACAAGCATCGACAAGGCGTGGACGGCCTGGAACACCGCCCGGTGTAGCCGCAGACTTCGCAACAGCATCGGCGTTGTGCTTAGAGCAGACGCAATTAGCATCGAGTCTCGAGTTTCCAGCGACCGGCTTGGCGGGATGTCTGTGTTTAGTCTGATGTACGCCAGCCGCAGCAATGCCGTGGCATTGAAAGTCAGTGAACCGCCCGTCAACGAGTCTGCGCTCATGTAGTGGCCTGATTCGGCCGCCTTCAGTTGGTGCCGGTGCTCAAAGCTCGTTTGCCACACCCGCAGAGCCTGAGTCACCTCTTCCACGTCCTCTGGTTTCAATGTCCGCTGCACATCGTATGGCGAGCCAGCCGCAAACGATGTCTGCTTCAGAAGATATACATGCTGAATCAAAGCGTGAATTAAAACGTAGTGGCCAAGAGCCGAGAGATTCGCTGGGAGACCCTGGCTTGTCCGGCCAAATAGACGCGAAAACGCCTCGTGCACAGTGATCTCGGCAATGGGCGTTGACTGCCGCAGCTCTTGCCACTGCCATGACGTCTCGGCACGCCACAACTGCGACCGGAGAGGCAAATAGAGGTTCAGCTCGGACGTGAGAAGTTGCGGCGGCATGTCGTACGCTGTGCTGCAGAGATTGAAGAAGCAATAAGCAATGAGCTTGGTCCGGTTGGCACCCTCGAGTCGTATCCACGCGTCCCAGTCGGTAAGCACAGCCTGACTGGTCTCCACGCTCAGTCCCTCTTCACGGATCAAGAACGCCAGTGTGCTCTGCAGTGACAGGGCGTCCTGTAAAATCGTCTTGGCACCCCAAAGGCCGACGGCGAAGAGGAGCAGCACTGCTTGAATAGTCTCCAGCCGAGCTTGTGGCGTGTTTGGGGAGCTGTCGCCATCTGTCAACACCGTTTACCGAAAGGTACCTGAGAACTAAACTTACTATGGTTCACGGTGTGTGTCCTGTGTCGTCGGTCTTTCGGACTGAGCAGATGCAAAAGAGTGACGGTAACTTATGCTCGGCGACGGTCGCGTAGAGTGTGGACTGTACGATGCTGCGGTGGGCAGCAGAGCGTGCACCTCAGAGCTATGCCGCCTCCGGATCTGCTCTGTAGCGACGGCTTTGGCAGCGTACCAAAGAGCATATCCTCGATTAAACTCGAAGCGATACTGGGCGCCAACAGCCAAGATTGCAAGCAGTAGCTCTGGTGCCAACTCCGAGGGCGTCAGCGATGGCAAGTGAAGAAAAGGAAGGTGCTCGTGGAACCCGCTGATATAGCCTTCAAGAAATCTGGTCAAGGTATGCCGGGATGGGAAAACGAAGTCGCTCGGGAGAACGCTGGAATACTCGTCGATCCGGTTCTTGATGACGTTGTGGTCAACAGCCGATATGCGGAAAGAGGGCGCTCTTGCAGGGTCTTCATGTAATCGGGGGCCAGACTCTCCAACATCGCGAAGATCTGGAGCGAGGGAAGCAAATCGAGAGGGAAACTGAGACGGCGGTCTCGAAATGCCTCTCGGGTGCATCTGCGTCGGTGTGCGAGACCACACAGCCATCTGATGGTCCGGCTCAAAATGAGGGGGCAACAAATGCGGTGCAGAAGAAAAGTCGTCAAGGAAGAGATTGTAGTCGTCGTATGTTGGCTGAGGTGGCTGCGTCTGTGGAGTGAAGCCAGTCGACATGACCTGTTGCTGTTGGTCTTCTCGCGACCTCTCCGCGTAGTTTCCGACAGTCTCGGCATAGCCTTTGATTGAGACATGTCCGGTGTGATGCTGACCCATCTCTCCCATCATGGGAGGCATAGAGTTGACCTCCGTGGCCAGTGCCGCGTCTGACAAGACATCCAGATTACAGGCGGCCGATCGAGGCGTGCCGCGGGGATCGTGCGAGTTCGGTCCTGGGGCCCCATTTTGGGTGACAGGTCCATGATGATAATGCTGCTGTGGAGCTGCCGGTTGCTGATGCTGTGGTGGTGGGGGCAACGGCCGTGCAGATGCTTGATGCAAACCGCTACTCTCTGTCTCAACGTGCCCATCCGACAGGGATGGCTTGTGGTTGGATGTGCCTGATGATAGCTTTCTCGGGCGGTTGTTCTCTTTACTGCCATCATTAAGGTGGACTAGTTTCTCGTGCCTGACGAGAAGATCACTGATGTCCATATAAGTCAGTCGTCACTGCAACACAAAGAAGGAGAGGCTCGGGGTGATTGCCGGTGGGCTCAGACGTTGAGTGTGCAGGCGGGGGGGTTTTATGGGCTTTAGCTAAAATGGACCGGGGCGCGGAGCGTGAACGGAGGAGAAGGGTGGCTATATGGGGGAGAGAATGGGTCCGGCTGTAGGTGGTGGGAAGAAGAAGGGCCGCAGGGTATCATGTGCGATCTGGGCAGGCAATACAATGCAACTCACCGACGGCCAAAAGTCTTGCCACATCGGTCCCAGCCGCAGGCGAACGGCTTTTCCTTCGTGTGAGTTCTTTCATGCCGTTGAACGTGCTCGACACGTCTGAAAGCCAGTAACGATGCTCAAGTCAGTCACAAGGCGGACGACAGCAGAAGGTGGGAAGGGAAACTGCCACTGACCGGAAGCGCTTGTTGCAGTACTTGCAGGGTAGGGTCTTTGGTTTCTGATCGCGGCTCTGGCCAGGCTCGCTAACAAGGAGAGTCGCCCCGGTTCCGTGAGGAGGCGAACCCTCCAAAGAGTGGTGGATGGGGAGCATTACGAGCACCAAGGCGTACCATCGGGAGACCAGCCCGCCTCATGTGTACCTGTCAGTGAGGCGGGGGAGAGAGTCGGCCTTCCAAAGGTTGTTGGAGGAGAAGGAACAGCTATGCGGGGATGCCCAGCACTGCGAAGATGGATACGGAATGGGGCTGGGAACCGCGGTTGACTCCGGCCAGCCCTTTTTACGCGCACTTTTGATGTCGGCGCAAGACGGCACTGGCTGGTCTGCAGGCCCAAACGAGCAAGAAGCAGGCCTCGCTAGCCAACGAAGGAGACAAGACCCATCAACTGCCCAGTCGGAAAGGGGTGGCCAGGGATGTTGCGGAGGACGATGCGAGTTCAGAGCAGAGACCAATGGCTGGGCGAGGGCGGAGGCAGAAGTGCTTTCGCGCGACGAGGCAGACTCCCACAACACGAGCCCGCTCGATCGCGCCGGATGGGGTAGGATTGGGACCGGACAAGGAAGCTGTGAGCCTGTTGGAGTGTCTGTACGTGGTCTTGCACGAGACAAGGCAGTGAGGATGGCGTCTCCAAGGAAGAAGACTGCCGCGGTTCTTGGGCTGGGTTGGGTTGTACTGTCCAGCCAGCGGCCAAGGCTTGGGGCGGCGGCCGAGAGCGGAGGAGGGCGGCGGCGGGGAGGAGGGAGGAGGGCGGCCGAGGATCAGATCAACGAGCAGGTGCGGAACAAGAGCCACAACGGCGTCGGGGAAACGGGTCTTTCTGAGACAGGTACTCCGCAGACAGGCCACTCAAACGGGCACCAGCTCGGGGGCGTAGGTACCTGGGCGATGAGTGGGCAAGCCGCAGCCTGGTTGCAGGACAGCCTCGCCGACGAGGATGAAGGAATGGAAGCAGCAGTGGCCGGTGGGCGAGGGGCACGACGGACGGAGTAATCAGTCGACAAGGGGAAAGGCGCAACTTGTAAGGAGCAAAAGGCGGCGTCTGTTTGGCTGCTTGGGGCCGGGCACTCGCGTGCGAGCGAGTCCTCACTCCTCAGTCGAGCATGAGTGAGCGTGTGAGTGAGTGGGTGTGGGTGGAGAGGGAGGGACGGCCACAATTACCTCGCGCCTCTCCAAATCAACGAGCTCGTGCGCCGGGTGTCAGTGTGGGGGGATGCAGCGGATAACCCCCCCATGGGGTTAAAACCTGGGGTTAGGTTTGACTCCGCATTGGAGAAGGCGTGGGTTGGCCGCCCTGCTGATAATTGCCTGACCGACTTGGCGCGCCGCCATTGTCCTCGGACGGAGCTGGGCCAGGGCGCTTGGCCGGGGGCTGCCTTGTTCCCCGGAGTTTTGGTGCTGCCATCCTTCCAGGTTGTCCAGGTTGTCGACGACGGGGAGGAGCCCGGATGCCCGGGTGGCGTTGGCAGGCACTTGGCAGTCCCAGTCCAGTCAGTCATGTCCCAGAATGCCACCGGACGATCCTGCGGCCAGGCCATGATGACATTGACAATGGGCATTGGGGGATCGGGGGCCGTGCCGAGTCGCAAGCGCAAGGCCCGTGCTGATGGTTAACGGAGTACTAGTACGTGACGAAGTTGCTAGAGGCAGATTGGGGAATCCAGGGGCGGCGCATGGAGACGGAGAACGGGCCTCTGCGTCAGGCTGTCGCGGGCGGCCCGCGCCTTTCTTGCCTTGGCCTGATGGACCGGCCGTCGAAGGATGCTCTTGCCGTTTGCCGCCCCGGTCCTCGCCTCGCTCTTTCCGTCACAGCATGCCTGCCCCTGGCAAGCCGCCTATCACCAGGCGGGCTCCATGCCCCAAGCTCTCCAAGACGTGCGGGCTTGCAGGACAGGCGTACGGGCCAGGCAGGAGCGAGCGGTCAGGGAGGTTTCGGGTGGTCGTTCCAAACTTCGCAGCCTGCCGGGGAACGCGCAGCCCCCCTTGCCCTGTCTCCGCGCCCCCCGGCACCGCATCCAGGGTGAGGAGAAGCTCAGGTCGGGGCGCCACAAGCGCAGCAACTGGAGCTCCAGTATCTGAGCTTACTCTCACCTGCATTCAGCCCGCTGCACCTCATCGACTGCGAATCTGCGGTGAACCTTCACACGTCGTGCCGTCACCGCGCCGGCCTCCTCTGATCCTCCGTGCTCCATCGCGTACGCTCACCGGGCACGTTGGATTGCCAGATTGGGCGCCTTGGCTGCAAGAGATATAATTAGACGGGCTAGTCGCTGCAACCATCCCCTCCCGCAGGTCCAGGAAACGAAACGATTTGGAAGTGCGCACGACGCTACGCTACCGACGAGCTCGCAACGCTACCCAGTCCCAGGGGCAGGCAGGGCGAGCGAGGCCAGCGCATGCGCGCCGCCCGCCGCCGCTGCACCAGGGCTCCCACGCACCCGACGATGGAAACTGCGCGTGGCGGACCTTAGCGGCGTCTGGCGACCAAGCACCCCGGCCTCACTGGGTCAGAGGCATCAACTTTGGCCCTGCTCCCCCGCCGGTTCCGCCGGCCCTCTCCGACCTGGCTCGACGCCAAGGGGCCCGGGCGATCTTGGGTGGTGGACTTGTCGAGTGCGGCCAGCCTGCGTCCGCATGCTCCCGAGGCACGCAGCTCGATAACTACATCCTGTCTCTCCGGGCGGCGAGCGCAGTCGCGAGAAACCCCGTTCGCGACTCTCACGAGCATGGCAGCTCCGGGTCCGGGAACAGCAATGCGCGGCCCAGTGCCAAGCACGGAGAACCCTGTCCTGCCTGCCTGCACCCCGCGTGTGCCCGACCTGCACGCTTCCCAAATACATTAGGGATCAAGATCTCGCAAGCACATGGGCCTTTGAATCGCGCCCGAGGTCGGGTGTGATCGTACATGCTTCGTACATGGTCCAGCTGCACGTTAGGTCCGTCGCTCGGCCACCTGCCCGTCGCGCACCCCGCCCGCCAATCTGAAACACGGGAACGCCTTGTTTGTTGTGTCGTCCTGGCACCTGATTCTCGATTTCAGAGAGTCATCTCAGCGCATGACACCGACGACGCCGCCTCACCTTAGGCCCGCGGCCGCAATCACGGCAGTTGATCCCGACGAGCCATGCCCGCGCAGCGCGACGACAGCGTCGCCGACGAATCCTACCAATCAGCACGAGGTGGTGGTGGTGTCACATTCAAACAAGATGGATATTCCAAAATACGGCCGAGCTCCTGCCCTTTATCACCAAGGGTGGTCGGATACCCTGCCAGCCTTCGAGGACCAGGAGGTGTTGTGCTTGTGCCCGATGCATACTCACGCTGCTGCAAACGTCTTGGCGCATTGCGCCTTCGCCAGATTCACTCCAACCGGCGACGTGCTCGTCATCACGGAGCAAGGAAGAGCGTTTGCTCAGGTGACGGCTCATTGCCGCGGTTTCCACCATGAAAGGTGCCCGGCCGTCGAGATGGCTCCTCCTATCTAGACGCTGCGGGGCTTCAAGGTTACCCCTCCTCTGGCACTTGTCCACCGTAAGTGTGCCACAGTCCACGCCAGGGAGTCGCCATTGGGGCTTCGCCTGCCAATCCACGCACCATCCTCTGGCCTTCGGGGAGTGCGTCGCCAACGAAGATGCGTGACTCGTGTCACAACCAAGTGGCTTTTGTGGACAAACTTGCCTGGGCTCATGGCCAGAGTTGGAGACGATGCCCGCCCGCCACATGCCCTCAAGGTCCACAACGGTTTGTTGAAGACAGACACGGACTCCAAACATCCCCGCATGAATCGGCTAATAATATCCTCACCCCAGACGCCTGAAGCGCTGCGGCCACAGACATATGCCCCCACCGACCCCTGCCCGGTCACCTTGGTTTGGGCGCTGTCGCGCTGCAGCATCCACTGCTCCGACCAGGGTCATCACCAGACTTCAAACACCACGGTGTTGGGCAATCCCAGAATCTCCGCTACGCCTAGCGGGGATTTACGCGGCCGTGACGGTTGAGACCGTTAGATTCGCGAGGGCACTGGCTGGCAGGGGCTGCATATACGAATCACGTTGTCGACGAAGCGTCACGCGACCATCGAACTCCATTGAACTCTATCGAATTCCATCGCGCCTCGTCCTCGGATCGCTGTCATTTAACCCGAGTTTGCAAGCTCCTTGTCGCGCGTTTTTTTCCTTTTCGAGGTACTGTATGGCTGCGTCTCATTCTTCGCTGTTGTCAAGACCCATCGCCATGAACAAGCGTTCGGCTGCTTCACGATGTCTGGCAAGTTCCACCGTAGGTAAGATTACAGGGCATTACTTCTTGTGCACGAAGTACTTGGTCACTTCCGAGATGCGGTATTCAAGAGAATGCCATCAGAGGTACCGCGATTCGGCTCCAAGTGACCCTCGATACGGGCCTCAGCCCTGTGCGTGTTGCAAACGCAAGGTGAGAACAACAGATGATTCACCCTTCCAGGCCTGAAGTCTGCCTGGCGAAAGCTGTGGTCGTCCATCAATGAACCGTACCGACACAACGCTCGAAGCATGTTCCTCGGCCGAAAAGCAAGGGCCGATCCGTATTCCTTGTGAGAAGATACTCTCGCGGGGCACCCGTGGAATGAGAATGTGTGGAGGGCAGGCAGCAATGAAGCATGTCATCGGCCAGGGCGGTCGACCTTCCAGACACAGTAAGTAATATCGCTGTCGCGAGCTGCACGCATATCGGCTTCGCCTATCACAGCAGTCAGATTGGAGATGATCACCTGGACATCAGTAGGCGACATTCGACGGGACATGGCCTACTCGTACAAGTCGCCAATGCTGCTCCCGAACCGCATGACCGTCATGTGCCACGCTTGCAGACAAAGCTGGCGCACCTACCAACGCAGGGCCGGCATGTTCTGTCGATATCCTATCACATGGTGGTCACGCAAGAGTGTGGGAAGCACTGCAAGGATTGTCTGCTCAAACGGCGTGCATGCTCCGTGACCTACAAGTGAGCGCAGTACATAAAACATCTCTTCGTTTTCAACGCTGGCAGAGAACGACTTGTACATATCGCTTCCATCCGAAACCCCCTTTTACAATTCGAGTCCTTAACCCTGGAGTGAGTAGCCGACGTCACCAGCTTCCGACCCCAGCTTGACCAATCGCTTGCGCATGGCCTCGGCGCGCTCACGCTCGCTTTCGCTGAGCTTGGAAAAGTCTACTTTGTCGACATAGGACCCGATGCCGTGCTGGAGGACGTTCCGTGCGCGAAGCTTGCTGCCGCCAGAGTGGCCAACGGAGCCGTGCAGGGTCATGCGGTCCTTGGTGTGGTCGTAGACGCCACGGTGCAGGATGTTGTTGTTGTAGAAGGCAATGTCGCCAGGCTCAAGTTTGACGATGAGCTGGTCGGGCAGGACCTTCTCAAAGGGGTCGGCGTTGCGCTCGGTCTCGGTGCGCGCGCGCTTGTGGGAGCCCGGCACCAGAACGAGGGAGTCGTCCTCCCAAAGGGCAAAGTTATACTGGGCATGGAAAGCCGGGCGGCCCAGACGCTCCATCTCCTCCTCGGGGGTGGCCTCGGCAGGAATGTCGTCGCGGTGCCACCTCAGCTCGAAGTGGCCGTCCGGGCGAACGAGCATGTTGAAGAGCTCCATGACGAGATTCTCATCCTCGCACTGCAGTAGCTCGCGGACGATGCTCAGGACCTCCTCGGAGAAGTACAGGCTGGTGTAGATGTCGTTTCCGGGCATGTCCGGGTTCATGAGATGCTGGACGCCCCAGATGCCCTTCTCGGGGTTCCATTCCCAGGGCGGGAACTGCTTGCCGACGGTGCGGATGTGAGGCCACTGGCCGCTGCGGGCAAGCTTCTCGACCTTGAGACTGGCCTCGCGCAGGGCCTCGAGCTTTTCCTTGCTGACGATGGACTTGACGACGACGAAGCCGTCGCGCTCCAGGTCGGCGAGGTAGGAGTTGGTCTTTGTGGCGGGCATGTCGGCGGTACGTGCGCGTCGCGGGACACGGCTTGATCGACGGTGATGAGTGAGGTTTCTGGTGATGTTTGGATCGCGCGAGAATGGATAATGGGCAGGGGTATCTTTGATTTGCTAACGACGAGCCAAGGCACGACTAAATGCGTCGCGGATGCTGCTTCATATTTATCGACGATGGCGGCTCGTCCGTTACAGTGCCATCGGCAACGCGTTCTCCATCTTTTTCTCCGTCACACTTGTCCATTTTCTTACCCGACGGGAACCACTCCCGAGCGTGGTGGGCTGAGACGACTGCTCGCTCAACACATTGTCCGGTTTCCCTCCACAATCGCAAGCCAGTGATGCAATACGGGCTTCCTCCAGCGGCTTAGGGGGCCCCTCTCGCACCTCTCCCGCCGTGTCAGCGTGTGAGGCGCGGCGTTTCGCCTTTCCCCATACTTTGGTGCTCGGTATCATATGGGCACAGTTAAGCCGCGGCGGCGAACCGCGCACTCCACACTGTGGCGGCAGGGCTGGGCGTAACGTATCATTGAGATCCCTAGCGAGAGGGAGATCTCCAACCACCCGCCGGGCGAGGGGCAACGACAAAAAGACGACGCCGCGTCCCGCTCCACCACCACCACCCGCGCTTCGCTTCACTATTGCTCGCTCCTCTCTTGCTTGTGCGGGCACAGCGCGGGGCTCCACAAAGCGGCAACACGGCCCCGGCAACGAGCAAATCGCTGCAATTTCTATTACGAGTCGTGACGGCACGAGGGGCTCCCTCCGGGGAATTTCGTTGCAGTCTATTGAGCAGAGCTACCGCTACTATTACTTGTATATGGTCCGGTAGCAGCAGCAGCGCCGTCGGCCCAGCGGACGACGAAGCCCTTGACGGTCTTTTGCACGTCGAGGTCGCCCGGGTCGTTCTCGAAGAGGGGCTTCTCCAACTTCCTTTCCGAGACCTGCTCCACCGAGAGACCCGCGTCTCGGGCAACGTCGAAGAAGCGCATGTCGAGGTCCTGCTTCCAGGGCCGATACGACGTGAAGAAGACGTACGCGGCGCCACGTTTCGTCATGGTCTCCTTGATGGTCTTGACGAGGGCCCCGTGCTCCGAGTGGCGGAAGAGCAGGTCCGCGAGGACGAGCACATCGAACCGCTGCTCTGCTGCCCCGGCATCGGCAGCAGCCTCGTCCGAGGCGGCGAGGCGGGCGAGCAGCGGCGCCGGGTCCGCCCCCCAGACGAACCCCATGGCATCCACCCTCGCGGCGACGCTGCCCTCGGGTTCGACGGTGGCGTCGCACTCGTCAATGTTCTTCTGCATGTTGGCCACGAGGTCCGGGTCCGGGAAGTCGGTCATGACGACCCTTCGCGCGCCCAGGATGGCGGCCACGAGCGAGGGCAGGCCCGCCGCGGCGCCGAGCTCGAGGACGGCCTTGCCGCGCACGCGCGCGGGATCGTCCTCGAAGTAGTCGGAGATGAACTTTGCCCCGTTCCAGAGGTGATGGGCCTCGGTCGGGCTGTGGCCCACGAGGTGCAGCGTCACGGCCTTGCCGCTCTGCATGGTGAAGATTTGCTTGGTCGGCGGCGGCGACGGCGGGTAGTAGTCTTCCGGGTCCTCCATAAGGGCCCCCGTGTCGTAGTCGTCGTCCATGGCGGCTCACCGGGGCTGTGTGTGTGCCAGGGGTCTGGCCCGTGATGTGTGTGGTAGTAAGATGTGCTGTGATGTGATGTGATGTCAAGCCCGACACCGGTCGTCGTTCCTTGACGCTTCTCCCGCAACGTCAACAAAGGAACCAGAAGCAGAAGATGGGCTGACGCCTCTTGGCAGGCTGGCGCGCACCCCTGCTGCCCGCAATGATCGACCGGCTCTGGCTCTTGGGGCGTCTCCTTCCCGAAGGCCCTAGATCTGCATGCAACGGCGCCTTTAAGGCGAGCCCGGAGCAGCGGCAGAACAACGAACACGAGAGAACGGTGTGCCCAGCGGTGCCCACACCCTCCCCTTAGTGGCAAGGACTCGAGGGGGTGTTGCCGTTACGCTTCACCGAAGTAGTTCACCCCCTGGCCGCGTCCTCGCGAGCTGGCGTGTAGTTACTTTTTCGGCTGAGAGCGGGAAGCGAGCGAACTAGCGATACGGAGGGAAAGGGAGAAACACCAGGGGGTGTGGGTTGAAGCAAAGAGAGGCAGGCAGAGGGGATGATGATGATGATGATGAGCCGCGTCCATCCATTCGTCGTGTTTCTGGGCAGCCCTGCAAGAATTTTGGCGGTTTTTTTTTCAGAGGTGAGACCCACCCCTGCTGGCGGTGGCCGACCACGCGGAGCATGGAGCAACAACAGCGAGAGAGAGAGAGTTTTGGTGGCATGGCACTTTATTTTTTATTTTTATTTGGCCATTGAACCAGCAGAGGGGCAAGTCCCTCCACAAAACCCATATCAGTATGAGCAAAGTCTCGCGCCCGTCTCCCCGCCCCTGAGGCGAGGACGGAAGACGAGGGAGAGGAGGGAGGAGGAGTTGGAGCGGAACGGATGGGGTGAAAGTGAAGCCAATCCCAAGCAATGCAGCAGCAGCAGCAGCAGCAGCAGCAGCCCGCGGGGCCCCGCGAGGCGTCCCGAGGATGCCCGCTTGCATTATCAGATGGTTCCATCGACGGACCCGGCACCGGGGCCACTCGCCGTGATTGGGGCGGCTGGCCACCCTCCAAGCAACGTCGTGTCGTGGTGTGCCGTATGTGTCATACATGATGGGTTTCTTCAACAGGAGGCCATGGACGAAACGAGAATGTGGTGGAACAACAAGGCGCTCGCTTGCTTGCTTGCTTGTTGCGGTTTATCCTGCCGGGCTAGATCGCCGCCATGCCGCACTTCATCGCGCCCGTGCCCTTGCCCCCCTTGCCCGCTTGTCGCCGTGAACTTGTGATACGAAACGTGCCAGGGCAGGCAAGGCTAGGTTCCATCAGACTTAACATGGCCAACTCGAACGTATCCCGCGGCTGCACGCCACACCACAGTGCCTGCCTGCCACATGGCCAACCCTCGCAGGGCGCGGGCGCCGCCGCGCCAGAGATGCCGTCGTCACCCAAACCGCTGCCTCGCCAGCTCCTTCAGCATGCTCACCGTCCCGTCCTCCCTCTCCTGCCACGCCCTCCTCCGCTCCTCCATCTCCTCCCTGCGCGCCCGCTCCATCTCCTCCCTCCTGATCTGCCGCTCCGACTTGCGCTTCTGCTCCCGCTCCTTGGCCCGCTTGTACTCCTCGAGAGAGTCCCCGCCGCCCATCACCTCCTCCTGCTCGTTGTCGCCGCCGCCGTCGCCCCCGGGGCTCTTGTCCCGGAACTGCCGCATCTTGTCGTTGACCTCGCGCCGCTTCTCGAGGCGCCGCTCGCGCGTGCCCGCCTCCGCCCGCGGCGCCAGGTCCTCGAGCCGCTCCTTTTGCAGCGCGCGGTCGGCCTTGCGCTCTGCGCGGAGGGACTCGCGGTCGGCGGCCCTCGACTCCTCGATGAGTTCGTTGCGCAGCGAGAGGTCCTGCAGCGAGGGGATCTGCGCGCCGACGGGACGCCGTGCGTCCGCCTGAGGCAATATCGGGCCGTAGTCGTCGTCTTCGTCGTCATCAACATTGCCGGCACCTCCAGCCCGTCTCGAAGCAGCCTCATAATCGTCCATCTCCTCCGTAGACCTTCTCCGTCGAGCATGCGGGGCGGGCTCGTCCTCGCCGGCCGGGGCGGGACCTCGCGCCGGGCCGAGTGCCGCGACCCGCGCAAACATATCGGGATCGTACCACCCCTCGGCGAGCTCGCCCCTGTTCCACTTGCCCACGAAACTCTTCCACCGGCCCTTGAACTCGCGCTCGTCCATGTCCTCGGCCTCCTTTTGCTTCTGCACGGCGAGGTAGTACACGAAGAGCGGCTCGAACGTCTGGAGGTCCGACTTGCCCAGCCGACGCGACGAGAAGGGGAGTTGCGCGTCTTCTGCGGCATTGCCGGTGTCGTCCCGTGTCTTTCCGCGCCTGTGGTGGTGATGGCGGCGGTGGTGGTGGCGATGATGTCGAGAGTCCCTCGCGTCCGTGTCTGGCGACGCGCTCCGCCGCCGCTCGTCTGTCACTCTGCGCCTCTTGCGGTCCGGTGAGCGGGATCGCCTCCTTCCATGGCCCTCCTCGGATTGTTCCCTGGAGTGATCGGCTCGGCGGCCGTCCGAGTACTCCCTATCCCCGTGTGGCCGGTGCATCATGGTCGCTGGTGAACGCTGGCCAAGATGCCAGAGGGTGGAATGACGTTGACTTATGCTCTCCGTGACAGCGCTAGGCTCGAGGCAGTATCTAACGGCGCAAGTACCCCCTGGGCGAGAGCTGGTGGCGGGCGCAGGATGAAATATCAGTTGAGTCGCGAGGTGTAAAAGTGAGAGTCGTCGTGCGTCGCGCCTGGCTTGCGCACTGTCCGGAGGCTCTGCGTGGTGGCACACTGGCACCTGCGCAGACCCACTTTTACCGGTACGGCCACCAGTGTGCTGGAGGCGGCGTTGACTTGGATCGTAAGCCGTCGCTCACCTCTCGGTGAGTATTGTTCGAGGGAGCAGCTAGCCTGAAGCTGTCGAGCTCATACTGCTGTGCATCGTAGGTTCCTTTTCTCTGGAAGCACGGCGTGATTTGCCAAAGCCCGAGGTGGGCGTTTTATACGATGATGCGCTGCTTCACGTGTCATGGCTCGCTTCACCACGCCAACAATTCATCAGCCCGTCACTATGACTCGGTAAACGTAAAGATATGTCATATCTCCTTGAGTGGGATTATTTCCATCCACATGTCATCTGCCTCACGCGGTAGATCATGCGTCTCATCTACCTCTCTACTCACCACCGCTCTGGGGTATCGTTCAGCATATATGCCTTCGAGCCATCGTCGCCTGATGCAGCTCGCTCGGCTCTCCTGGGCCGTTGTCACCACCACACGCTATGCCATCCTGCAAAAGACATCTTTTACGCTTCCCAGGCCACATTCCAGCCCTGGTTTTTGTCCGTCTAGTGCTCATGTGCCAACCGAACCACTGACATGCGTCCAGCGCATCACAGAGATGGATGTTCTCTCGTCTCCTCGGGGCCGGGATTGTTGTGGATTACGCATCCGATGCACTGGCAATCGTCGCCGCACGGACAGCTGGAGGTGTCGCCGGCGCAAGACTCCCCGAACGGGTATGATACGAAGAAGAAGTCGTTTGCTGAAAGCGTCTGTTCGTCGCTGGCGCCCGACGGTGCATCCGATGGGGTTTGAGGGGCCGTAGGCGAGACTGTGCCGTCCGCTTGTGTTGTGACCGGTGTCGCGACTCCGTTGGAGGCCCGACTGCCCGAGCGCTCGTGGTGCCCGTTCGCATGGCTCACATGCCCACCATGATGGGCGTGCATCTTCTGCCCATCCTCCATCATAGTGTTCCACGCTGAGCGGACGTAGTCCTGCGTGGCCTCGTTATAAGGGTGCGCCGCGCATCCTATACACTGGCAAGAGTCGCCGCAGCTGCACTGATGGGATGTCCACGACGCGCTGTTCGGCACGCTGGGGGGTTGGACAGCCCCTGGCGAAGGCATCGGAAAGCCGTTTGATGCAACGGGCTGCCCCACGTTCATCGTGGCCATGAGCTGTCTCCACTGGTCGGGCTGTAATGGCTGGAGGAATGATCCGAACTGCGGCGGATAGTTGAATATCGTGGGCTGAGAAAAGTATGGGTACATGCCGTTCGGCATGGCCATCAGAGGCTGGTACGGCTGCATCATGATGCCGTTGAGTTGCGGTGGGTGGTTCAGTGACGGTGAAGACATGGATGAAGGTGGCGAGGCGGTCTTCGGAGCGGCCTGAGGTGCTGAGCAACAGCTCCTGGCCTTGGTGGTCCCGATCTCGTTCGCAGTCGAGACTGGAGCTGCCATCGGTTGCGGCGCAGGCTCCGCCTTGATGCCGTTCGCACCTCCGCCGCAACACCCACCACCATTAGTCGAGGTTCCGTTCGAGGTGGCCGGTCTAGCCGCAGTCGCTCCAACGTGACCGTTGGGGGTGGAATTGGAGGCAGCTGGGCCCATCAAGGGCGGCTGCATCGGATACTGAAACACAGGAAACATGCCTGGATCAGACCTAAATGATCCCTCTACAGGGCTCAGCCCCAGGCCAGCATACATCGGCACCTCTGGCATTGTCGTCGTTTGACCGTTGGAGCCTGTCGCTGGCCGTTGCATGCCATTGTATCCGGATAGGATGTTGATCTGGCTTGCGTCCATACGTTCCAGCCCCGTGATATCGATGGATTGCTTTCTGCTCGATCCGCTTCTTGAACCCTGCTTCTGAACGCGGAAAGCCGCGCCGGCGGCCTTGGACGGGCTCGGTGGCGTGAGGTCGCGGTTGGCGACATCCTGGTCGGTTTTCCCGTCGGCCGGCGCGGCCTCCGACGTCCCACAACGACACTTTTGCTTCCTCGGGATGGCAGCCGTGACGGCGGCGCACGAGCAAGGGCGAGACGACGGATGCGGGCATGAGCTCAAGGGCCGACCCGGCTTGCGGACGGGAACCATCAGCCGCTCGTTGGCGTGTGTGCATTTTGTAGACCGATGGCCGCGGATGCAGGGCTCGCTGTAACGGAGAAGGTCAGTCGTCTGTCTTGTCTTACGGGCGCACAAGCCGCGGACGAAGCGCGGTCGCGCGCAAGCGGCACACTGCCGAGGCAGCGAGGCTACTCACCAGGCCATCTTTTGCCCGTTGATGAGGGGCATCGTGACAGTGTTGCACGCGAGGGCGCGACTCGGGGACAAAGAGAACTTCAGAAGCGGCCGCGAACGGTGGTCTAGATGGCGGTGCCGCAGTCGGCCGCGAGCCAGGCTCGTATAGGCCTGGGCTGCAGATCCCGGACGCCGGCTCGATAGACCATGAAGGTCGCGGTCCAAGGCTACACGGAGCTCTCGCAGGCGCTGCGCAAAACTGGCTCGTCGAGTCTCGGGTTCGGGATGCTCCGCAGGATGGAGGAGGGGCGGGCGGGCAGACCGTCCCCTACTTTCGGAGCCTCAGTGAAATGAAGCCGAGTTGGTGAGACGCGAAGCTGGCCAACGTGCTCGGAAGACGGCACGGCAGACCAACGAGCGCAAAGTCAGGTGATGTTGTAGGAAGGAGAAGAGGTTCAGTCGCTGGCTGGCTCGCCGGCTCAGTGGTTGGCGATGTGAACGGTGCCGGAAAGAGCACCGACGGAAATGGAACGCTTTGGCCGGGTCACAGCGACAGACAAGCGGCTGCCACAGTGGAGGGGAGGAGCGGGTGGTGGTGGGATGGAAGGCACGAAAGTACCTTGGGTGCCCGGGTGCCCGTGAGGGGACCACCGCGGGCAAGCCCAGCGCCGAGGGATACCCTGGGGCTTGGCCGCGATCCGCTGTGGTGGGCTGCTGGGTTGCGCCGGGGGCTTGGGTGACGGGCGGTGCGAGCTGGAAAGCCCACCCGACCTCAGGTCGATGGATGGAAGCCCGCTAAAGGGAAACGTGCCGCCGCATGGAAGCAACGGGCCCCACGTGCGGGGGTCTTGGACCGCCCGCCCTGGGTCTTGGGTGCCGAAGCCGCCTGGCTCTCGGCGGGCGCGGAGAGCGGACGGTACTGGAAGCGCAGGGCGGCGGCAGCTGCAACAGCGACTCGCCCTCCAAGAGCGGCAGCAACCCAAGCCGGCGCATGTCCGTACCCGTGGAGGGCATCAACCTCAACAACAACTGGCCTGCCTGAGCTCAACCTTTCCCATTCATGGCGGCAATAGCACATTGAACACCTCGAGCTCGGGACAGGCTGGCCTGCGCCTCTCTGCCCCTATGGAACCTGACGTGAGCCACCACCACCACCACCTCCGCCACCAGGAGGACGGTACTCGGTACAGTAGCGCGAGAGTCAGTCCAAACGCACCAAACTTTGAAACGCCCGCTGAAGCGACTCGCGCTGTGGCCCGGCCTAATGTGGCACGTAAGGGTGCCCTATTTGGGCGGTTGGCAAAGGCTGCAAAAACGACCGAGCGTTTTGGCAGGCCGTCAACCAGAAACGCTCGTCCCCTCTGATACGGTGTGTATCATGGTCGCTTGCTTGCTTCCCTTGTCGTCCGTTCTTTGTCGAAACAAATCTACGGTCACCAACCAAAACCCGACCGTCAACGCTTCGCTTTCCCCCCCCTCTCAGTCGGCAGTAGACTCCAATCGGGGGATAGCATGCATTGGCCGGCCCAGCCCCGGCTCGTCATGGCCAGATTTCCGGGCATTCTGTGCAGCAGCTCCAGCAGCTGCAGCGGTATGGAGTAGCAGCAGACATGGTGGTGGGTGGTGTTGTGGTCCCTCCCTCCTTGGAAACCCATGCAGGCAATCATGCACGCACGTCTTGGTTCGGTTCGGTTCGCCCACGGAAGCCCGTTTGCTTCGCAGTGGTAATATTGACATGTCTTTGTGTGTGCAAACGGATGGGCTTTGCCGGTCCCTTGCATTCGCGTTTTTGAGGCCGGGGCGTGTGCTCGACGAGGTGAGCTCTCACGCATCGCGGCCGTGCTGACTGGGCCTCGCGATAGTACGAGGAGAAAAAAAGCGTCGGTGCTCGAGCATCCGCCCAAAGAGCCTCGACCCGTAGGCAAGCATGCCCGCCCCTCTCCCCTTATCCACCCCCATACCCGTGCGCGCCACTTGGCTCAACCAGGAAAGCCCACCCAGTCGTCAACCGCGCGCTCCCTCGACGACGGGCCGCTTGGCTTGTTGGTGGTGAGGAGCACGCCTCAAAGTGAGCAAGTTTCTATTGGCCCTCGCGCCGACCCTGGACAACCCTCGCCCTCGACCAGACATCCGTCATTCTCTGTCAGGCACTGATCCATGATATCTCGTACTGTTTTCCGTACTTTGTACATTACTGTTGCCGCCGGTGCGTGATGCCTCAAGCTAGCTGGGTACATCCATGCGTCTTTGGCCCGCTCACCGTTGCGGAAGCTGTTGGAGTTGCACCCTCGGGTCAGCTTCGTGCCCTGCGCATGGTCCCTTCCGCCAATCCGCCACGGTTCGCGTCCGACTGCTCTGCATTGTATGCGTCTGGTACCCCGTTTCCGCCCAGCGGGGCCAAACGAGATCCAATAACCGCTTACATATATCATGGCAACATCTTGGCCCTCCATGGCGGGAGCCTCTTGCTGTGACTGGATCTCACCAGCCGTGATGCAGATTCCTGTGGCCCATCGAGCATGGCCCCCGTCGCCGTCTTTCCTAGGGCGGCTTTGTGCTCCTGGCACAACATCAGGTGAGCCTCGCCGTTGGGGGGGCTTTTAAGCAGTCGTGCAACCCCGATTCAACCTCAGTCAGACGCCGCACCACAATCCCAGCCTCCTGCCTCGGTTGTCTGAGATTCGCCCGTAATCATCGCTCATACAGTTCGTGTAAGTAGTCTCACAGGGTATCTCGAAACACAATGCCGCCAAACGCCTTCGTTGGACACCCCTCGACGATCGGGCTCCGGTGCGGCCATAACGCCGGTCTGTCGCAGTGCGCAGCTCAAGTCGAATCAGCAAACATGTCGACTGCGCGCATCCGCTTCCTGGGAGGCGCGTTCCGTTCATCTTTGGAGTCGGGTCGGGTGGACCTGTCTGGGTTGCCGAGTTGCCTATCCGCGCCAGTGCTAGCGTCCCGCTGTACTGTCTGTTCCTCTGTCCGCTGTCCTGTGCCCGGCGCAGCATTCGAATCGTCCGGGCTCGTGGCCATCGCAGCATCGCCATCGGTGTCGACATCCATGTCGTCTTCGTCGATAGGTTCGCCCTCCACGTCGTCATCGTCGATTGGCTCTCCCTGGACGTCATCGTCCTCGATCGGAACGCCGGCAACATCTTCATCGTCGATGGGCTCGCCTTTGACGTCTGCGTCTCCAATTGGCACCCCTCCAACATCGTCGGCCCGGGCCTCATCAGGCTGCGTGGTGCTTGCAGTCTCTGGTGCCACTCCCACTGCTTTCCACTTGCCCTTGTCCGCCTCTTCCTGAGGTTCATCCTCAGTCTTCTGAAGAGAAGGCGGGTTCTCAAACGTAGAAGTGAAGTATGCTTGACTCTTTGTCGAAAATACGCTCCATCCCTCCCACAAGTTGAGTATCAGCTTGATGCTGCGTTTCCACTTCTCAGCCCGGAGACGGCCCCAGCCCTGTTTCTCTGGCATCGATCCAAGAAACTCAAAGACTTGTCGTTCTTTAAGCGCCTTTTCAAACAGCCCCCGATATCGCCAAGTGTGGCGATAGACTGTCGTGGCCGATGTGGCGAGGATGTCGCTGACAATGTACAAGCCTACCAGGCTCGCCGCGCTGGTGTCAGCGGCTTCGCTGGCAGGCGCATCATCCGATTTGACGACGTCTGTGGCTGGCTTCGCGGCCGGGTCGTAATCAGGGTTGGCAGATGTCAAAGCAAAGGGACTCGCAATGTTAGTCACGATCATGTCCACGATCTCTGCGGGGCCACGATCGGCGTGGGAAAGCGCGAAAACGGACACTCTGGCAACATCCCTTTTCCGAAGTTTGGAATGGCTGTCCGGCAGGCGCCCCAGGAGAAATGTGAGCCTCGCCTGGTCCAATGGGCTCAAGAAAGATCGCTCGACTTCACCATTGTTTGCCGTATTGCCAGCTTCCAACTCCTCCTCCTCATCCGACGAGTTGTAGTCCGGATCGGAGGCGATCTCGCTGAATTCGGAGACGCGTTCGAACGGCATATGCTCGGCGGCCTTCCACGGTGGGTTGTCATCGCAGACGTGGACGTGAGGCTCGTTCCGAGGGTCGGATTTATATGCCGTGTTGAGCTGCCAAAGCCGCCAGCGGTAATATACACCCGCAGTGCTTTTCGAATCCCACAGCCACGACCATTTCTCGTCTCGCTGTATGTCCGGTCGTGCCATCAGTCGGGTTTCGTACGCTGGTCCATGCTTGATGATACGTTCGACAACAGAATGGATCTGGCGAAGCACCTTCACATCGTCAGGGACCGCCACGGGCACGTAGAACTGGTCGACTCTGTCCAAGCCAGTACCAGGTCGTGCGTATGACGAGGGAGGCGCGAAGCCACGGTGACGGCTCTGGTATGTATTGTTTCCACGCGGGCCCAGATTCTGCTCCATAGCTTTGGCACCAAACGGCTGAGGTGTCGAGGACGCACCAGATGACGCACCAGCGGGATTTAGGACCGCCGAGGACAGGTGCCGCTGAACTGATAGATAATTGCCGTTACCGAGATATCGATTCTGGAGAGAGCCAACGGCCGCATCCATTGCACTTCCCGGGGTCTCCCTCGACAAGGTGATGACGGCACTTGCATATTTCCTCTGGCCATTGCTGGCACCAGAGGCGGACTCGATCTTGATAGCCTCGACCTTTAAATCCGGCAGGAGAGCTCTGATGGCTGCCGGGGAGACGCCCGGTGGTATGTTCGTCATTCGAAGTTGGGGCTTCGCGACAGCCTTGATTTCGGCTCTCTGCGCGGCGTCCCTCTGGATTTCGTCTTCCTCGTCGCTGGCATTGTTGAAGGCGGATACTGACAGCCTGTTAGTATGCACCTCTTGAGTGCCAACCGAAGCGCCGGTATCCCTCGGTGGGCGAGAGTAGTCGTTGAACGAACGCCGACTGTCGAATCCGGGGGCAGGTCCCAAGGTTCCCGGCCCGCTCTTCTTCATCGCCGACGCAGCAAAGTGCCGCCTGCCTGTGTTAAAGCCAACAGACGGTTCGCTAAAGCGAGGTCGCGATGGTTGCGCCACGGGGCGGCTCGGTCGACCGCCATCGTCGTCATGGTCAAATGACTTTACGAACTCCTTGTACACCGCTTCGGTCTCGGCTTGGTCGCGCTTGCGCTTCGCTTCTGCCTCAGCTCTCGATCGTTCGAAGGCGGACTGCTTGGCGGGCTGGGCCAGCTTGGCCTCGGCGTCGGGGAAAGCTGTAGGTGCCTTTCCGGAAGACATTTTGTTCGGATGACGTCGGTCGTCAGGTCATGCTCGAATCTCCGGATGTGGAGAGGTGCGGCTTTGCTGCCCAGATGAGGATGGAGCGACGCGGGCGTGCAGGTGCAAGGTGACGGTGCAAACATGGAGCTTCAGTGGGGTGTGGCAGTTCCAGGCACACAACGCTCAGCGGGCGCGTGGTGCCAGCTCCGTGTACTGCGATTATGTCATGCACCCGATAGAGTCATAAACTCGCAGGTCCAGGGTCCTGCTTCCAGCGGGCAACACCAGCAAATGGAGCAAGCCCCATGTCCTCCATTGAATCGCATTTAGTGATCACAACGTCTTCAGCGAGGGGCTGACTCTTTCTGCCCAGCATTAAGCTTTCAGATAATCTATTAGGCGACTGCTCTGGCGCTACGCCTCTAGTTCATCCGCGCAAGCTCATCCTGCAGAATCATGCCCGGGTATCCTCCTCTGCTCCCATCATTAGTGATGAGTCCACGAAACTTGCCGTCCACCTCCCGGCCGGTCACTTCGTCCGAGGGGCCCTTCCACCGCCACTTGTGCCCCAGCTCCCCGCCCTTGCCGAGCATGCAGTCCAGCACCCGCTCGCCCAGCAGAGGCAGGAACTTGTACCCGTGGCCGCTGTCCCCCGTCGCGATAAAGAGCCCCTTCCAGCCGGGGTGCCAGTCGACGAGCCAGTCCCCGTCCTTGGTGTCCGAATACCAGCACAACCTGGTCTCTCTCCATGGTCGGTCCTCGAGGCCCTTGATGGGGACGAGGTCCTTGAGCGCGCGGCGGAGGTCGACGTCGGCTTCGAGCGGCAGGCGGCTGAGCGCCCCGTCTCTGTGCGTCGAGGGGCGGGAGACGACAATGGGCCCGCGCTCCGCGGTGGGAGATGGCGGTAAGGCGTTATGAACGGTTGTGGGATTGAGATACCCGAAGCTGTGGCGTGCGACCTTGAGCACGGTTTCTCGCGGCGGGATGATGAAGAGGCCCGACGACAGGTTCAACACAACAGGCTGCTTCGCCAGCACGGCGAGCTCCTCCTCGGTGATGTCGACGTATCCCAAGACGTGGCCAGTTGCCTCGACCTGGCCCCTCAGATCGATGAGCTCGCCGGTCCAGGCGCCGGCAGCGACAAATACCATGTCGCCTGTCAGCAACGTGCCGTCTGAGAGCTTCGCCCCAGTGACCTTGTCGCCTTCTGTTGCCAGCTCCTGCACGCTTGCGTCGACAAACTTGACTCTCCCCGTGGCTGCCACTCGCTCGTAGAGCCACTTCATGCCCTTCCCAGCATTGGCCCAACCGGATAGGGTGTTGAAATATCCCCAGTCGCCGGGGTGTGCGTCCGTCCCCAGCGCCGCGTTGAGCGCGTCACGGCTCTCGAGGGTCTTGATCCTGTCGGCAGCGTATCCGTTCTTGGCGGCATACTCGGCGACGTTCTTCCAGCTCTCCTTGGTGTAGTACATGCCGGACTTGGTGCCGACCTTGACCTCCTTAGGCTCGTCCGCTGTCAGGACGAAGCCCGACTCCGTGTACCGGCCTTGGCCGCCGAGATCATCGTCCCCCTGCTTCCGCCACTCCTCCTGCGCGATGGTCGCGAGAGCGGTGTAATGGGGGTCCGCATAGTCTGCTCTGATGATTCTCGACGTGTCCACGCTCGCGCAATCTGTGGGAGGGAACTGCCCCCGCGCATGGTCAACGACTGTGATGGCCGTGCCTGCAAAGAGGGGGCGCTTGGTCAGCGCCCAGGCCGTGCTCAAGCCGAACACGCCAGAGCCGATGATGAGGACGGATGAAGGTGGGTTGCTCTCCATGGCAAGCTCGCCGCAAGCGCTTGATCGAGCCCGTGTGTCTACTTGCAAAGAACAGATTGTGTCTGTACGAGATGCCAAACATGATGACGGCCACTGGGCCCTCGGAGGTTTAAGTCGGCTTAATGGAGGTGGGGAACCAAGATGGCCGATGATCGGGGAGCCTAACGCACGGAGTCCCCACGAGTTGGACTTCGTGCGCCCTTGCGGAGGCAGTCCGTTCGTCTTGACCACGCCAGAATCCACTTTGTGTCTATATGTGCGCCTTTACGAGTACACAATCATTGGCCTCCAGGTGAGTGACACTTCGCCATGTGGCACGTCACAGGTTGTCCTGTCACGGTAGGAACAAATTGGCTGCAGAGGCGTAAAGAGTATTCGTGTCTATCTTAGGATATCCCGCGAAAGACGGGCCACCAAGAGCGCCGCCACGAGTCCGGTTGCACGCAGCCTGGACAAGCAGGAAACCGCCTAACAAACCAGGAATTCTCTCCACGTCTGCCTCTTCGCATTCATCCACCTCGAGCTGCAGCTCGTCTGCAGCGTCCCGCACTCCAAATCTGCTCTGCCGCAGCCTCCACCACAACTCAATTTTCCCCTGAAAGCATTAAAAGTTGGTCGCCATCAAACCGCAGTTCGCGACGGACCGAAAGCAATCTATGAACCGCGGAAGTGGTAGTCTTTGTTCTTTTCGACGCAAAACCGAGTCCTTCGCAGAAAGGAAACAAAGCCGCCCACGGCCTTTCCTTTGCCAACGCCAATGCAATGCATAAACGAGAATGATACATGAATGCCCCAGCAAAGCGACTCGGGTTGTGGCCTACCCAGGTCGGAGCATCCAAATGTGTGAAAAAAGCAATCGTGGTATCATGACCAAAGGTCTATTCGTACAAATCGACAAGGAGATCTGGGGCTGCACAGAGTGCAACGGGCCAAATCGTGATGCGTCTAAACCTTGCGGAAGTCTAGAGGCACCAGGTTAGCAAAACTGATCACATGAGCAAGACAAGAGCTGACGAACCTTGCAGCACAGGGTAGATCATCTCGAAGGCCTGGTAGATCTCCTCGCGCACCTTGGCACCAGTGAGGACAATCTTGCCGCTGACGAAGATGAGGAGAACAATCTTGGGCTTGATCATGCGGTAGATGAGACCAGGGAACAGCTCAGGCTCGTAAGAGCTGAAGTTGTGGTGGCGAGACGCGAGGCCCTCGAGACGAATCGGGAACTTGATGTCGCAGGAGCCGACAATGTTCTGAATCTTGAAGTCGGTGAACTTGGCGTTGAAACCGAGCTTCTGAATGATTCGGGCGTACTTGCGCGAGGCAAGCTTCGAGTCGTCCTCGGACTTGGCGCCGGTGACAACCATCTTGCCACTGGCGAAGATCAGTGCAGTGGTCTTGGGCTCACGGATACGCATGATAACGGCCGCGAAACGCTGAGAAAATTGTTAGCACCTGTCGAGCGCAAACGGAGGAAGCTGCAGTGCGTGAACTGACCTTGGGATTGTACTCAGCGTTGCGGGCATGCAGAGCGATCGTCTTCAGATCAAGGCGGCAGTCAAGGTTGACCGTTGCGACAATGTTCCTAGAAAGCACTGTTAAGCATCACTGCAATTCGACCTAACCTCGCCACAGCCAAAGACATACTGCAAGGTGGGAGTGATGCCACTGGGGCCCTGGTTGGCCGCAGGCGTGGCAGCGGGAGTAGCGGGAGTCACCCCATTTCCGTTTGCTGCCTGCTGGCCGTTGACAGCGCGCTGTCCGGCGTCGCCATTGCTGGCGGGCGGAGTCAGCTCGTTGGTCGCTCCGGGGAACGATAGCGAGCCGGGCGCGGTGAACGCCTTCGCCTGCGCGGCGTTGGACGGGTGAGTCTGGATGCCCTCCATGACGATCGTAGTGCGATGCGTGTTGGAATTGGGTTTGAGCGCTGAGCAGATCTGATGAGAGTCGTTAGTGACTGGTCGGATGAAGGCGGAGGCGAGAGAGCACCGGGTAATGAACGTGAGGCTGGTCGCGCAGCTGGTTGTTGCGATGCAGAGCGTGCAAAACAGTGCAGTGAAGGAGGGAAGTTGCGTGCAGTGAACGGGCTTTTATAGTTGTTCGGGGACCGCGCAGATCAGCCTGGCCGCGACTGGCGGCCAGCTGGCAGAGGGCTCGAACAGAGTGATGCGGGACCCGCGAGTACGTGAATCATCGAAGCAACGGGGCGACGGGGCAACGGGTGTGTGCGACCTACCACTTGCGGGAGATGAACAAGCGAATGTCTCCCCTACAGAATGAATGCTCCAGCGGCTTGGGCTTCTTGCGCTGCGGCAGCCGTGAGGTCAGGCGCAACGCAGAGAGTAATGACCGGCGAGATGTTCGTGGGAATTCGGATCGATCGACGTTGTGACTTTTTTGTCGACGTTCGCAACCGCACCGTGCTCAACCACGAACTCGGGATCTCGTGCAAATCAAGAGTATTTTTGTTTTGTTCTTTTTTTTCTTCTATTGTTGTCTACGCACGCGCAACGACCCGATGGCGACGGACAACGATAGATTCGCTCTTCTGTCTTCGTCGGAGTCAACGAGGTCGTTCGCAAAAAGAAAGCGACGGCGCAAGGAAAACGTATTCCAGTTCTCTTTGTGCCGGATCGCGGGGACGTCGGACGCCGGTTCAGCCTGAGAGGGCGGGCTCACTCGCTTGCCAGGGACCACGCGCGCGCGATCGCTTCGCCGACGAGTTTCGCAGGCAACGAGCCTTTTCGCAGGGTTTGCAGGGAGATGCAGCGTCCGCGAAGAGGGGCGTCTGGCGATGCAGAAAGAGAGAGTGAGGTTTGGTTTGTGGAGGTAGCGAGCCGATACCAGCCAGGTGAATGTGGGGCGTGACGTCGTGGGGAGAGGGAAAAATTGAGAGGTGTGGCCGACGCAAGTGGTAGGTACGTAGGGCCACCGGTCGGGACTTCCGCGCGAGAATGGCGAAACGGGCGGGTTGGGGGAGGCCCGGGTACTTATAATTTTGACACCCGCCGACCCAGGCAGCTCTCCCAGGCAACAAGTGGCCTTGTGGCGCCTCCGGTGGCAGGCTAGCCCAGCTTTAGCGTCGGCGCTAACAACACGGCTGCCCAATCAGCGTGCCGCAAAGTGGTGATTTTATCTCCTTTTTCCCACCATGGAACCCCCGTCCGGCCCCAACAGCCCCCCGAGGTACCTCGATAGCACCGCCTCAGTCCATGTACCTGTCGGCTTGGGGGCACTGGGCACTGACGCTCAGGGCACGGACGAGCCCTGGAGCTCGGGCATCCCTCCCGTGCAGCCGTCCTGCCCTTTGTCGGGCAGCTCGGCGTCATGGGCTCATTATTCTCACCTTCTTCCGTCACGACTCGTGGGACGCCGTTTGACTCTTGTTCTTTCCCTCACGTTTGCACTTCTCGACACGATCGTCTTCCGAGAAGACGTTGCCGGGACGAACCTCGCGATGCCAGACCTCGCCACCACGACAAGCCGGCCGCCGCCTCGGTCCTCGAGCACGAGACGACGATCCGAACATCGACGATGCGCCGAGCCATGACGAGACGATACCCGCCGCGTTCGCACCGCACCGCACGGCGCTGCTGCATCGTGCCGTCTCGACGATAAAGCCGGCCCAGAGAGCTCCAGGGAAAAGGGGGCTGGAAATTATGGGCCGTCGGTTGGCCGCGTCGCGCCGGGCGTCGAATCCGCGCCGCGGCTCCCCCCATCCCCCCTATCCACCAATGCCCACCAGCCCTTGCCCTGAAAATTGCCTCCTGGCCAACCCTCGACAGCCCCTCTCACACACGTCCAGACCTCTCTGAAACACCCACTCTCGCCCCCTTGGGTTGATGCGCCGTCGCTGTGGACACGCGTCCTGGCGACCGACAGGGAGGAGCAAGCGCTCGCCTGCCATCGCCTCTCTCAGGTTGTCGCCACCCATCATCGAGAGACAGCGCGTGCGAATGCGCGGCGCGCAGCTGCGGTGCAGGTGTGCCGTATCTGCATCGCGCATCGCACATCACGCATCACGCACCAGAAAATCACCAGTTCGACGCGCGCTCCCGCCCACTGGACAACAGACTCGCGTCGCACTCGTGCGCGAAGTCGCGACGCCGGACAGAGTTTTTCGTGGTCAGCACGAAGAGAGGGGAGGGGGGGCGAATGGCTGTGAGTCATGGGCCTTTGAGTTTGGTCCAACCATCTTGCCGTGTGCGGCTCCAGCCAGAGGCTCGCTGTTTGCGTGCTCTGAGTGGCTGGGGCTCCAGGTCCTGGTACTTGAGGCTCCGGCTCGACAACCCCCTTGAAGCACAATCGTCACGGAGCATCACTCGTCCCAGCAGGACAGAGAAGCGTTTTCTCTGCAAGCAAAGCGACCAACTTCATCCTCAGCCGTCTGGCTGACGCTCATGGGGCCTTCAGGCCCATCAGAAACGAGCCGGGGTTGCGCCCCCCTGAAGCCCATCGTCAGCTCGACCCCGTGAGAAATTGATGTTCATGGGCTGGCGGGGTACTGCTACACGACACGGCACAGCCCCAGATCCGGGCCCTGCTCGTGAAAGTACCTCACTAACAATTTTCATTTTGCGCGACCTGCGACCTGGCCACCTGGCCCGTCCGGTCATGCATGTGCAAGGGTCTACAATGTGGAAAAAGCAACTGATGCGCGCCATAATGACGTCCCAGAGCAACGGGCCCTTTGAATGTTACTGATCTGTTTTTTTTCCTCTCGAGCTCACTTTCGATCCGAGCATTGGAGGCCGCATGCACGGCCTTTTTTCTTTGCGCCCTCATGCATGCAGGATGTCGTCGTGCTTGCTCGCGAGCCTTGATGCTTTCGGTTCACTGGAACGGACACGTGGAATTTGGTGCTCCCTCGGATACCTCATGTACATTCAATACTCGGATGTCAACAATTCCTCTTTTGCCCTTGCATTCTTCAGATAAGGCCACGTTCGAACTTTGAACTGACCGAGTGGTTGGTTGCTCTAGACGCCGCGAGGCTTTTGCGGTTTCACCCAGGTTGTAGGTATGTGTATGTACAGGTGCCAAGAGAAAACATTGCGCAGCGACGCTGCTGTTTCTTCGCAGCGCTCATCAGGGGGTGGTTGAGGTATCATACAAGGCGAGCCTCAAGTCATGTAGTACTTGGGGCCTTCGCCTCCTTGCGGCACTTGCCAGTTGATGTCTTGTTGCGGCGCCTTGATATCGCATGTTTTGCAGTGAATGCAGCTGCGTGAGTGGTTAGCACCAGCACTGTAAAAAGCTGAGCGGTCGCAGGGGCAGGACATGGACCTACTTTTGCGAGTTGATCTGGAATCGCACTCCATGAGGCTTGGACTCGTCCTCGACGTATTCGTAAACGCCCGCCGGGCAGAAGCGGTTCTCCAAGCCCTTGAAAGGGGGCCAGGCCTTGTCCGTGTGCGCGTCCCAGTCCTTGACCTGCAGATGGACAGGCTGGTCCTCCTCGTGGTTCGTGCCAGTGCGAGAGACACTGGTCAGAATGTCAAAGCTGATCTTGCCGTCGGGCTTCTCATACTCGATCTTGGTGAACTGGTCCGCGGGCTTGGTGGCCGCATAGTCGGGCTTCTTGTGCTTGAGGGTCCACGGCACGCGACCCTTAAGGACAAAGGCTTCCAGGCCCGAGTATGCCATGCCGCCGTAGAGACCCAGTGGGGTGTGGAACGAGGGGCGCATGTTGCGCACCTCCTTGAGCTCCTTCCAGATGGAGGACTTGCGCAGAGAGTCCTCATAATCGTAGAGGAAGACTGTGCCGTCGTTGCTCTGGTTGAGGGCACCCCAAGCAGCTTCAGCCGCAAGCATGCCCGACTTCATGGCATTGTGTGTGCCCTTGACCTTGGGGACGTTGACGAAGCCAGCTGAGTCGCCGATCAGGGCGCCGCCGGGGAAGGCGACGTTGGGGATGGACTGGAAGCCACCCTCGACCAGGGCACGGGCACCATAGGAGATGCACTTGCCGCCCTCAAGGACGTTCTTGAACATGGGGTGGTGCTTCATCTTCTGGAACTCCTGGTACGGCGACATCCACGGGTTCTCGTAGTCGAGCGCAACCACGAGACCCAGGGCCACCAGGTTGTCGCCGAAGTGATACATGAAGGAACCACCGTAGGTGCTGCTGGGCAGGGGATAGCCCATGGCGTGAACGACCAAGCCCTTTTCGAACTTTTCCGGTTCAACCTCCCACACCTCCTTGAGGCCGATTCCGTATGTCTGATGCTGGCTGTCCTTGCGCAGGTCGAACTTCTTGATAACCTGCTTGGTAAGGCTGCCATGGCAGCCCTCGCCAAACATTGTTACTCTGGCATGGAACTCCATGCCGCGCTCGAAGGTGTCCTTGGGCTGGCCATCGCGACCAATTCCAAGATCATTGGTGGCCACACCCTTGACGGAGCCGTCCGAGCCGTAGAGCACCTCGGCTGCAGCAAAGCCAGGGTAGACCTCCACGCCGACCTCCTCGGCCCGCTCACCGAGGAACTTGACGAATTGGTTCAGGCTCACGATGTAATTGCCGTGGTTGCTCATCTGCGGGGGCGTCGGTACGGGTAGGGAAGACGTCTTCGTGAGGAATCGCATCTTGTCGGTGCCGGCGGGGGTCGCATGCTCGAAGCGGTTCGGGTTGGACTCGTCGAGCCAGTCGGGGATGAGCTCGTTGATGGCAGTGGGTTGGATGACGGCGCCGGAGAGGATATGGGCGCCCATATCGCCGGCCTTTTCGAGCACGAGGACCCGGAAGTCCTCATTGCCGGCCTCATTGGCCAGCTGCTTGAGCCGGATGGCGGCGCTGAGGCCCGCCGGGCCGCCGCCGACGATGCACACGTCAACCTGGTCCGACTCGCGCTCGATGCTCGACGGATCAAAGGCCTCCTCCGCAGAGTCCTCGACGCGCAACCTAGCGCCGGTGCTAAACGCCCGCGCGTCGGGCAGCGGCACCGAGGCGACGGTCCGCAGGACGGCGAAGGTTCTCGGGGCCGCGACCGGACGCAGCGCCGCCGCACCGACGGCCCTGCGCGGCCGCAGGCGGGAGACGGCACGGGCGCTGCGCTGGACGCATCTCGACACTGGCAAGGGGGCCGACATGGTGCCCTGCCTCAACGCTCTTGGCGAACGTGGTGGGCTCTTTGCGGTGCGTGCGACGAGCAGGCGGCTGAGGTGGGATGAGAGACGAAGGCGTGGGTCGACGACGTAAGAACTGAAGTGTCATGGAGCAGCCGCGTTACAATTATCTGCTCGGCAATTGGCTGGTGGGGGTGCTGCTGTGGCCCGAGCCCGGTTCAAGGCCTGTGGCATGATAGCCGACCCAAGCCGGATGGGCCGGTCATACCTGGAGGGTACCTGTCAGGCGGGCCGGGCTGCGGGGCTGACATGTGACGGTTCGCGGGTGCATGACGTACCCTGGAGGTACTCTTTGGCCACCACGGCTCCGGGCCAAACTCGTCCGGCAACCCGCTGACGAGAGCAGGGGTCCGGATGGAGCTTGCGGTCACGGGGTCAGATGCCTCGAGCCGAGCGAGGGGAGAGATGAAAGTTTGAAAGGATGTTCAATGCTCGTGTGCATTGTTGCTCGCTTTGGCTTGCTTGACGCTGAGTCTTGGGGGAGCTGGTTGTGAGATGTCCAGGTTGGGCCCACCGTAGCAGATGGCAGCGTACTTCAGGCTGGTTGTCGTGACTTACACTGGTGGTAACGGACGCAATATGTTCAAGTAGCGATGCCTTATAAAGTGCATGAGCTGGCGGGTAGCTGCGCATTGATATGATGATCAGACGATGCATCAATTGTGTTGCCCCGTATGTCTATCGGAGCACTTGCATTTTTGGTAGTCTTTTCCCCTGCTCGCAAGGTTGAAAAAGGCTGCTTGTCAACTGCCGCTCCCAACGGCGCAAGGTCCTACCCGGGAACAAGCGTCACGGTATGACGAACCAACGTCGCCAGCTTGGCAAGCAAGACATTCACTCTCGCCCGCACCCACGCACATCCGCTCATCTTGGCCCTTCCCCCACTCTCACTGCCGATCTCCAACCCATCTCCGACCCCAGATCCTCGACCCTGGTGGATCGCAAGCCACGAGGGGAGCGGCCGCTGATGCGACACAAAGGTGGCTTATACGTTACTATCCGCTGTCTACATCGACACGGTACGGTGCAGCAGTGCATCGTGCTCCAAAACCATCCAGTCGGTTGATCGCCCGACCGTCAAAGTCGAGCCCCTCCTCCCCGGGCATCGCGCCGGGAAGCACACACCATCATCAAATCTCGCTCGTCTCGAAAGGGCAGCTGCACGAAATGAAGAACAACAACCGCACGAACCGTGCGGCACACCGCGGTAGTACCGAGCGCGCCTACATGGACGCTGCAGCACCGACATAGATCCCCCCCTGCCGGCGCCCGCGCTCAATGCAACACAACCACCCCGATCACCACCGACCGCCTCCCAAAGCACTCCCCCCCCAACCAAGACCTAGATGGAGCTAAGACACACGCTGTTGGGCTGACGGACATCACGACGAGCTGCATAAGGATTCACACGCTACCCCGCATCCTCCTTGTGACGGGAGATTGTGCCCCTCGTGTCCCCCCTTCGGCCCGTTTTCAGACGAAGTCGCGATGGACCATAAAGGCGCCTCCCTCGCCGTCGTGGCAGGTGAGACATGGACGGCTACCTAAGCGCGTGCGGGCCTCGACCTTGACTCGACCTGACCTGACTTGACCCGACTCCTGGCGCGTCCAAGGTGCTCTCTGCAACTCCGTACAGGCAGGTGCGCGCGTGGCACACGATGAAGCAGACTGCCATCCTCGCCCTCGTCGGCGCGAGCGTCGTCTCGGCCGCGATCCCGTCAGACTGCCCGGCCTATGACACGTACGCCGCCGAGCGTCACGCGCCCTACTCGTGCGGCAAGTTCAAGTATCCCTACCAGCGCCCCGAGCCGCGCTGCCGCACCTACGCAGTCCCCGAGGTCGAGGATACCCTGAAGAAGGTCAAGAAGGCCGTCAAGGACCAGGATCTGTACAGGCTCTTCCTCAACGCATGGCCCAACACGGTAGACACGACCATCCTGTGGAGGGGTGCCGCCGCCGACAACAAGGATGAGGAGGTAAGTGAGCTCCGCCGCCCGTAGGGGTCAAGCACCAAGGCCGCCCTAGCTAACACGCGAAGCTCGCCTTTGTCACCACCGGCGACATCCACGCCATGTGGCTTCGTGACAGCGCCAACCAGCTCCAGTCGTACAAGCCAATCCTCAACGTCACGTCGCACAATGAGACCAACAACATTGCCACGCTGTACCGCGGCGCCATCAACCTCCAGGCTCGCTACATCCGCAAGTTCCCCTACTGCAACTCGTTCGAGCCGCCTCCGGAGTCTGGCATCCCTGTCGTCCACAACAGCAAGCGCGGCCTCTACAAGCGGGGTGACACCGTGAGCCCGCCGTATGATCCCAATGTCGTCTTCGAGTGCAAGTACGAGCTCGATTCCCTGTCCGCGTTCCTCCAGCTCTCCTGGGACTACTACGACGTCACCCGGGACGCGGAATTCTTTGGCAAGTTCCATTGGGCCGAAGCCGTCAAGACCATCCTGCAGCTGGCAAAGGACATGATGATAAGCACCTACACCGAGGATGGGCATGTCCAGAAGCCTGTGTACAACTGGCTCCGCGACGCAAACAGCGCGACCGAGGTTGTCTCGAATGGCGGCACGGGCAATCCCGTGGCTGGCAACATTGGTCTCGTGCGCAGCTTCTTCCGACCTTCGGACGACTCGACCATCTATCAGTACTTCATCCCCGCGAACATGATGTTCTCGCGCTACCTCAAGGCCTGCGTGCCAATCATGGAGACCATCGACAAGGACACGGCCGCCCAGATGGACACGCTCTCCGACAGCATCGCCAAGGCCGTCGACGAGCACGGCATTGTCAAGCACCCCAAGTATGGCGACATCTATGCGTTCGAAGTTGACGGCTTCGGCTCCTTCAACCTTATGGTCAGTGCCATCTCTTCGCCCGCCACCACCCACGCTAACATGAGTCTCAGGACGATGCGAATGTGCCCTCTCTCCTGAGCATTCCCCATCTCGGTTTCAAGCCCGCCTCGGACGCCGTGTACAAGCGCACCCGCGACTTTGTCCTCAGCAAGTCTAACCCTTACTTTGGCTTCGGGCCGGTCCTCAACTCCACCGGCGGCCCGCACCTTGGGCCCGGGATGGCTTGGCCCATGGGCGTCATCATGCGCACCATGACGTCGACCGACGACGACGAAATCGTCTACGGCATCAAGCAACTCATGGGCTCCACCAGTGGCCTCGGTCTCATCCACGAGTCTGTGAATACGCACGATGATACTAGGTGGACGAGGTCTTGGTAAGCTGGCATATACTTTCACTCACAACACAGAGAATACTAACGCAACGCAGGTTCGCTTGGGCCAATGGCTTGTTTGGGCAAATGATACTGGACATTCTCGATAAGAAGCCTCACCTCTTGGAGAGGAGCTACCAGAACTGATCGTCGCGGGGAACCTAATTTCATGCTCGCTCGTACACATCGTCTGCCAGGGGACGAATGCAAATTCGCTCTCAAAACAAACCAAGCTCCTCTAACAACTCCGCCGATGCTAATGGAACGATGACGCCACACGTATGTGCCATGTTCTAGCTCAGATCAAACCCTGCGCCCGATGTCACCGCGTAGAGCAGCCTCTCCCGTAGCGTTTCCTCCTTGCTGTACCGTGGCAGCTTCAGCAGGTTGACACACGTACTCGTGCTGGGCAAGCGCTGCTCATCCGTGCCGCCGTCTCTGATGCTAAATTTTGGCCTCAACTGGGAGAAGCCCAGGAGAGGCGCCCTCGGCGTCGAGCTCACGTACTTGAGCACGTCGCGCCGTTGCGAGTCAGTGAACCCTTCCATAACCTTCCAAAAGAGCTTGATTGTCGGGTGTTCCTCGTTGTCGTCACCAATCTCGTAAAGTCCGCTGTAGACGGTATTGCGCCGGAGGTCCGCTATGTCGATTTCGGAGGAATCTCCGCCCACAAGTCGTTGAAGTTCGGATTGGTTGAACATGGACAGCCAAGATGGCTTGATAATGGCCCGAAGGCCCCGCAGGAAGGCCGCCGTCTGCAACGAAGGTTGCACAACCAGGCGGTGTCGAGCCATGTACGAGATGTACAGCAGGCGATTGTCGTTGGTCACGGGCGTCTGATCACCATTGGCAATCAGCTTCCTCGTAATCGTCTTCACGGGCTGGCCTGGCGGCGACACCTGGTCCTCCACGGTGAAGTCGAAGCCCAAGTCGGAGACATCGCCGGGATAGTTCTTGAGCGTCAGCATGCCCTGGTACAGCTCGGCATCCATGTCTCGCAGATCGTTGATGCTGCCCTTGTATGTGTTTTCCTCTTTTGGGCCCGTAGATGGCCACTTCAATAGGAAAAACCCGGCAAAGGCAAGGTCGACGAGGATACCCTCGTACATGCATTTGCCCACAATCCGTCCCAGAAACTCGAAGCGCTTGAAGAGGCTCGTCATTGCTTCTTTCCATTCGTCGTCGTCTTCTTTCAAGCCATACCGACGGAGTAGTTCGCGTCTCGTGTCCGCCGCTGTAGGGTTGGGGTACAGGAGCCCCTGCTCGTTCGAGGTAAACATGCCCAACTCACTTTGGAAGGCTTCAGAAGTGACACTGGTCAGGAACTCCTTTGTGACGCCTCCGCCGTCAATGCCCGCCTCGGGAGTACCAAACTGATCCACAAACGTGATCTGGATCGGGTCCTTTAAGCCGTCGCCCAGTTGGTAGAACTGCTCGTACGCGTCGTCGAACAATTGGCCCCGTCGAATTTTGGCGTGATGTCGAGCCGAAGGATGCGGCGGGAACATGTGGAACGGATTGTTTCCCGCTCTGCGCATCCCATCGAGATGGACGAATTGCCTAAATATCTTCACGCGTGTCTCGAAAGGTACCACAAAGGGCATATGCTTGAGGATCTCGAGCTTCGGCCCCATCTCTGCCAGTCTGCGCTCTCGTTGGCTCCGTACCTGCTCCGCTCGAAGCCTCTCTAGTCTCGCGTGGCGAGAGAGGCGCTGGCCAGCGAACGTGGAGTATATCCCTGGCTCTCCATCTATGGGGTCGGTCGCGGCAGCTTCGTCGTCGCTGCCTTCGGCTTCTTCTTGGTTCTGCCGCTCCTCCTCTGCTATGACCGCGTTGATAAAGTCTTCCTGTTCGAGTTTGCCGGTCATGAGCCAGTGACCTGGGGGTAGGAAGCGCTTTCTCGAGTCCCTCTCGTACAACATGCGCAACGCGGTTGTCAATATGGTCCGAAGGCTGTCCAAGTTGGCCCGAGTGGGCGACATTGCGGGCACCGTGTCCACGTTTGCGAGCGATGCCCTGTTCGCAGCACCAGCGCCGAGATACGAGTTGAGACGAGAACTGGCCGCCGATTCCATGTTATGACTTGACTTGGAAATTTCGTTGGCTTTATAATGAAGCGCGAAAGCCGTATTCTTGAGGAAGATGGTGAGCGCCTTGACGTCGTCCAGTGACAAGCTGCAGGACCGAAGGAGGGATGTTGACGAATTAGACTCCACTATCCGGCTACTGATGCCGCTGAAAAAGTCTTCGTCGTCGCTGAGGCGGAGAATGAAGACGTAAAGCTCGAGAAATAATAGGACGGTGCGCCACTCTTGTTCTTCGATTGTTTCGTCTGATAGCTTCGAGCTACCGTGAAGGTATCGGCGAAGAACATCGGTCGGCTTCTCCTGTTCCGACTTCAACTTGCGGAAGACAGAAGTATGCTTCATAATTTCCCACAAGAATTTGACCGTCGGGACTTTCCCAGACGGCGTTGGGATTTGCTCGAGAAACAGGCGCATGCGGATGTCATCTGCGCTGCTCGGGAACACTTGCAACAGCGTGAGGATATATCCCGAGAGAATGCTGGTCCCTTGGAACGTTTGCTTCGACCCTTGTGTTAAGCAATCGGAGAAGTCACGAAGCAGTCGCGAAATGCCGTCGTTATCGACCAACGAGCCTAGCTGCTGTGTGATGTAAATCGGGAGAGGCTGCATGCTTGAAGAGGGTTGCGTCTCTGGCGACGCATCGGGGGAAGCAGGTGAAGCAGCACGGGTGTTGAGTTCACCAGCGACCGATGACAGCTGAGGCAAAAGCGCACCCAAAATCTCAAACTTGTCGGATGATGCCATGTGTAGCCGAGTCAGGTCGATGAAGTGAGCCAACAGCCAGAGCAAGTCGTCTTTCGACGCAAAGGCCCTGGATCCCGAGCCGGTGCTGTAGCCCGCTCTGATTGCCCGGGAGAGCTTGGCAGTCTCGATGCCTCTTGAGAAAGCCTCGATGCGACGCTCGAACTGAACCAAGTCGCTGCGAGCTAAAAAGCTAAACGCGAGGGCTCTGTATGCTGCGGATTCGTCTGGAGACTTGTTAGAATCGGGTGTCCGTGCGGCTGGCCTGGCAGGCTCGCGGTGACACGGGATGCAGAACGTACTATTGCCAGTCGCTACACTGAGGGGGCTTATAACAGCCTCTGCCAGGAGACCATCTAACCGGACGGTTTCGTCTGCTTTGCATAGCTGAGCCAAGGCATTGTACAGCCGGTCGGTCGACTTAGTTATTGTTTCCGGCAGTTGTTGTACGATGCGAAGTATAAGCCTTAATAGAGGCACTACCTGAGTTGAGGCATCACTGGCTCGCAGTCAGTACACAGGCTTCGATGCGGCACGGCCAGGCGCCGCTCTGCGTCAGTAAAGTGAACATACCTCGCCGCCTGAGACACTTGGTCAAGTGCACTGACCAACAGCGTCATAAGCTGTTGGAATCGGGATGCGTGGGCGTTGCGGGGAGCAATCTGGTCGAGGGAGGCATGTTCCGCGTCGTGACAATAGAGACAGACTCGTCGGATGTCGTCGACGCGGCGGGCGGAGTAGAAGGCAATGAGGAGGTTGAATGCCACGGGGGCCCGTTCGGACGGGTGAATGTTTGAGGAAGGGCTGTAGAGCTGGTCGAATATCGTCCTCCACCGGTCTGCCGAGGCGCGTCGAGACTTGTGACCTCTCCAGACCCGTTGTATCCTACCAGCGGCCTTGAGTCGCTGTCTCTCCAGCTGCCGCTTTTCACGCTCAGCTTGGGCATCGGCAACAGTCTTGCTAGCATTCGAGACGACGGCAGGGCTCCACGAGGTGTTGGCGAAGGGGTTGCCGGCCTGCCCGCTGAGGTTGACGTTGCGCGGCCGGCGCGAGCTGCCCGTGAAGGTTGAGAACATGGTGGCAGACGATCTGTTGCCTATGCGCAAGAACGAGTCGGCGAGCCAAGAGGCATGATCATGTCTGGCTACGGGACGCGACGGAGCCGAGGCCGAAGGGCGAGTTCTAGAAGATTCAGGGTTGGGATGGTTGGCGTACGCAGGTAGGTTGCCGTATCAGTCAGCAGGGCAGTCCAGGCAGTTGCTGAGTGCTGAGCAGTGTATTTGTGGCACGCGGCCCTGGAGTCAGGTTGGTGGGGCCTGCTTTTGCCCGCCCGGTCGATGAGGTCAGGGCGCCCAGCTCCCGCCCCGATAAGATAATGGAACCTGGAAGGGTCGTGCGGTCGGGTGTCTCCACCGACGACTCCGGCCGCTGCGGCGATTACCTTTATTTGCTGCGACCGTGGTGGCCCAGGGTACAGTGCGCTTCTGTCGCTGCACGTCGCTCTGTAACCTCGTGGCTCGTGTGAGCAGCAGATGAGGCGCCAACAGCCTCGAGAACCCGCGATGCACTACGAATACGTAGGGGCCAGGCCTTCAGAAGGGCCGGGAAGTCTCCAAGTGAATTCCAAAGCGAAGCGGAGGCGGACGGAGAGACACATGGTCTCCGGGCAAGGCTCGTTTGCTCTGCCCTTCGCTTTCTTGGGGGTGGCCCGAGGAGAGCAGGTGCCTGTATACGCGTACGAGTACCTCTGGCAAGTTTTAGGTACTGACTACTGTTCGAGACTTTGCACGAAGCATGGAGCATCAAGTTGCAAGTTGTGCTGGGCGGTGTCGCATGCTTGTTCGAAGACCCCGTCTCGCGCACCCAACATGCCGCGCAGATTGATGCGCTGCGGCTGGCGGTGAGGGCGCCCTGTGTAAGGTGAGGTCGGGTGCCGCTGACAAGACCTCAGCCTGCTGAAAGACGGTCCTGCCAAACACACGACATCCACGGATGCTAGCGCACACCACCTTGTCGAGCACCAAACCAGACATGGGCCCCCATCCAGGTTGCCATCGCAGGCGTTGGAGGGGGCGGGCGTGGTGCCTCCGTGCTGCACCGCGCCTGGCACGCACTGTGCACTGTACCTGACCGGCACCTGCCCACAGCGGCGCGAAACCCCCCGCTCAGCAGAAACAAAGGCATCTGCGGGGCCACCCTGCACGTACTTGACAGGTACGTACTCCGTACGAAGAACCAGCCACGGCAAGGGCCCTCCGCACTGCATGAGGCGCCCAGTCCATGCTAGCAGCCTTTGAAAAAAAATATCGGCTGTCGACGAAATTTCTCTCTTCTCCTCTTCTTCCCTCCACCCAACCTTTATCTCCAAAACCCCCAAACCCATAACGACGAGTCGGTTCAGAGGTACGGTCTTCGTACTCATCTCTGTTCTTGCTCTTGTTCTTTCAACCAAGAAAAATCAAACAAAAAAATTTGAAAAACCACCAAAAAACCCCCCGCTCGACTCCTGTCTCGCGACAAGACTCGATCTCCCAACGCCAAACCAAACACCTCTTCCTCTGAGCCAGCCTCCCCGCTTCTCAGACTTCTTCTAGCCTTCCCTCGACGCCATTTCGTCAGGACTATTCACGCCCGACCTGTGCGTCCCCAGACTGCTCTCTCGCGCCCCCTCCCGCGTCCTTCCCGCGTCCCTCCCTCAACGCGACCGACTCTTCAGTGCTGACTCGCCGCCTCCTGTGCAGCTCACGCTCATCCTCCCCGTCAACGACATCAAAATGGCCGCTAACACCACCTCCGGCGCTGTTGATCAGCTCGCCAATGATCTCACCAACACTTCCCTCAACGGCAGCGATGCCAAGGCCCCCGCCATCGACACCAACGTGAGCGGAGGGTCCGAGGACGCCTCGGCTCCCACCCCCGGCTCTGCTGCCCCCCAGCCGCAGAACTCCGCCTCCCTCTACGTCGGCGAGCTCGACCCCTCCGTCACCGAGGCCATGCTCTTCGAGCTCTTCTCCCAGATCGGTGCGGTCGCCTCCATCCGTGTCTGCCGCGATGCTGTCACCCGCCGCTCCCTCGGCTACGCCTACGTCAACTACAACTCGACTGCCGATGGCGAGAAGGCTCTTGAGGAGCTCAACTACACGCTCATCAAGGGCCGCCCTTGCCGCATCATGTGGTCTCAGCGTGACCCTGCCCTGCGCAAGACCGGCCAGGGCAACGTCTTCATCAAGAACCTCGATGTGGCCATCGACAACAAGGCCCTCCACGATACCTTTGCCGCCTTCGGTAACATTCTGAGCTGCAAGGTCGCCCAGGACGAGAACGGCAACTCCAAGGGCTACGGCTTTGTCCACTACGAGACTGATGAGGCTGCTCAGCAGGCCATCAAGCACGTCAACGGCATGCTTCTCAACGAGAAGAAGGTCTACGTCGGCCACCACATCCCCAAGAAGGACCGCCAGAGCAAGTTCGAGGAGATGAAGGCCAACTTCACCAACATCTACGTCAAGAACATCAACAACGAGGTCACCGATGACGAGTTCCGCGAGCTCTTCGAGCAGTACGGCGAGATCACCTCGGCCTCTCTTGCCCGCGACCAGGAGGGCAAGAGCCGTGGCTTCGGCTTCGTCAACTTCACCACCCACGAGAACGCCTCCAAGTCCGTCGAGGAGCTCAACGGCAAGGACTTCCGCGGACAGGATCTGTACGTTGGCCGTGCTCAGAAGAAGCACGAGCGTGAGGAGGAACTTCGCAAGTCGTACGAGGCCGCCCGCCTTGAGAAGGCCAACAAGTACCAGGGCGTCAACCTGTACATCAAGAACCTGGGCGATGATGTCGACGATGAGAAGCTGCGCCAGATGTTCTCCGAGTTCGGCCCCATCACTTCTGCCAAGGTCATGAGGGACAGCCTCGCGGAGACCGAGGAGAAGGAGCGCAAGGAGAAGGAGGAAGAGAAGGAGAAGGAGAACCAGAAGGAGGAGCCCAAGGAGGAGAAGGTGGAAGAGGAGGAGAGCGAGGAGTCGGCCGAGAAGAAGTCTGACAAGAAGGACCGGAAGCTCGGTAAGAGCAAGGGCTTCGGCTTCGTCTGCTTCAGCAACCCCGACGACGCCACCAAGGCTGTTGCCGAGATGAACCAGCGCATGATCGAGGGCAAGCCACTCTACGTCGCTCTCGCTCAGCGCAAGGACGTCCGCAAGAGCCAGCTTGAGGCTAGCATCCAGGCTCGCAACCAGTTGCGCATGCAGCAGGCCGCCGCCGCCGCCGGTATGCCCCAGCAGTACATGCAGCCCCCGGTCTTCTATGGCCAGCAGCCCGGCTTCATGCCTCAGGGTGGCCGCGGCATGCCCTTCCCGCAGCCCGGCATGGGCATGGGCGGTGTGCAGGGCGGACGCCCTGGCCAGTTCCCCGGCTATCCCCAGCAGGGTGGCCGTGGTGGCGTGCCTCAGCAGATGCCTCCCAACATGTACGGCATGCCCGGCCAGTTCCCGCCTCAGTATGGCCAGCCCGGCACGCCTCAGTTCATGGCTGCGATGCAGCAGGCCCAGCAAGCCGCACTGGGCGGCGGCCGTGGCGGCCCCCAGGGTGGCCGCGGTGCCATGCCTCCTCCCACCGCCCCTGGTGCGATGCCCGGCTTCCCCCCGAACAACCGCCAGCAGGGCAACATGGGTCGCGGCGGTAATGCCAACGGCCGCAGTGGCAACTTCCCCAACCAGCCCCGTGGCGCCGAGGCCAACAACGGCTCTGCGCTGCAGGCGCAGCTTTCCGCTGCCCAGCCCGCCCAGCAGAAGCAAATGCTTGGCGAGCTGATCTTCCCCAAGATCCAGGCCATCAATGCCGACCTTGCCGGCAAGATCACTGGCATGCTGCTCGAGATGGACAACACCGAGCTCATCAACCTGTAAGCTCCCCCATGAAACCCTCTTGTATATGATCACGCGCTGACCTTTTCCAAAGCATCGAGGACGAGGGCGCTCTGAAAGCCAAGGTCGACGAGGCGCTCGCGGTCTACGACGAGTATGTCAAGACCCAGGGCGGCGCTGAGGGCGGCGACGACAAGAAGGAGGAGGAGACCAAGGCATAAGTCTGCCGCCGTCTTCCTCCCAAGAGAAATAATTTTCCTTTGTCAGTCTTTTCGCTTTTACGGTAAATGCGTATCCCGGACCCCAATCTCAACAAAAGTTGAGCCGACTGCATGACCGCCATGACGGCCGTCTAGCAGGGATTGCATTTGTACAGATAGACTTCGTTGCTATTTCTTCTCAGGAAGGGAAAAAAATGACTGGTGGAGAGGTCGATGGAGAAGCATCGTCGGGAGGCGACGATGAGGCCTTGCGCCGTACCTGCTACGGCAAGCCGCTCCATGGAAGGGAAGGGATCAGTCGGAAGGCGTTGGAAGGATGTCGGTTTTCGTGCAGACCGCCTGGAGAATGGCCTATACCCCTCAACACGACACGGCACGCGCTTCTCGGGCAGACATTGACACGGAGGTTACGCGGATAGGACTTCTAATACATCAATGTTCAGAACCTAAGTGGCTTGACTCGCGTGACGCACCTAACACCTGCGTTGTTAGGCGGACCAGGCCCACGTCTAGCATTCGACGTGCTGAGTGACACCATCGACACCCATTTTGTCTATGCAAGAATTGCAGTTACTACTACCTAGCTAGAAAACCCCACCTATAAGCCAACCATGAAATCCAGGTATATACGTATGAGGAGTGCTATTCGTAGAGCCATCTTTTGCTAGTTATAGAGCCCTGCTATGTTTTTCTCTCGGCCGCACCCTACCCCCATGCTGCCCTAGCGATTTTTACTGCGCAATGGCGCAGGCATGGGACGGCAGTGGCGCGCTGCTTGTTGCTGTCGTTGCTCTCGTTACTTTCGTTGCTGTTATAGCTATCGTTGCTGTCGTTGCTGTCGTTGCTCTCGTTGCTCTCGTTGCTCTCGTTGCTCTCGTTGCTCTCGTTGCTCTCGTTGCTCTCGTTGCTCTCGTTGCTCTCGTT